AGCGGAGATATTGTCTAAAACCAGAGGATGGGAAATGGTGCAGTGCAGCGCGTCGGATCCAGTGGCAACATTAGCTGCTGTTTCTGATGCTGCCGTCTCAAAATTAAGGCAGAATTACCAAGTCAAAAGTGTAAATAAAAGAACAGATCGAATGAGAACCGGCCGACGACGGCGAGATCAGACAATCTCACATGCACACTTCATTCCGTCTTGTCCCGGCAGCAGCAGCAGCAGAGGAAGCAGCAACGACGAGTACGTACGTGTCTTTGCCTTGCATGGTTTCATCGGCCATCATCAGCGCCGCAGCAGCAGCCCAACAAACCGCCGCCCGGCCCAAAACCGCCAACTTCCCATTCTCCCCCCCCCCCCCCCCCCCCCCCTTTTTTTTTTCTTTGACAGTCCAACGCTTGTTGCGAACGTAAATCAAGTCTCCAACGACTTCCGTCCTATTTTACAGCGTCGTCTCCGTCGCCCTCCGCAAAAAAGCCCCGAGCGACTCCGGCTTGACTTCTGGATACTTGCCATTATCCAGGTCGCCCAGATAGCATTGGCCATTCACGCAGTAGTACAGGTAGAACATTGCCATATACTTGAAGGGGTTCTCAGGATATTGCTGCTCTAGCTCGTGCATCCGCTTGTACAAGCTGTCCAGAGTGCCAAGAGTCTCCACTTGGACCTGGACACCGCGAACAGATCGGATCGCATTGGGGATTTGGCGGTTACTTTTTCGGTCGCCAAGGACTAGGTATATTTGGTGCAAGTTGGATGAGCCGGGATCGCTGCATGCGGTGATAAAGGCGGGTGATAGTGGAGGGAGGAGGGTGTTGGTTTTGGCGGTGTATTTGGGCAGTGGTGTTGACGGAATTGGTGAAGTTCTTTTCGCCGCTGATTTCGGTATCGTAGAGCTTTCGTGGGTGGTTTGCGGGCCAAGCGCAGGGGTTTGGCGAACTTTGCATGAAGTGTCTTCGGTCTCAGGATGATGAAGCACTAGAAAAGCGTTGAGACTTAATAAGCACCGACTGGGACCCTGCTCAAGTTTATCAAAAGTCTGCCATTAGCAACAAAAATGAGGGTGAATACACGGTGAAGTTGGTAGAAAGCCTTGGCAAGATCTCTCATGGTACACGCATGGATCGATTCGGGAAGGACCTATAGTGGAGTAGCTCTAGCCAGCGCTATGTCGCAAGCTAAGGGGTAGCCACTAAGGAAGCCGCACAGTTCCGCCGCCTCTGCATGCAAGTGTGATGTAATGTCTACGTAATCCACCAATCGTGCGACGAAAGTCAAAGGGCAACGCGGGCCAACTGGAGCCTGGCCAATAGTAGGCGCTTGAGCTTCACCTAAAAATGCACAGCGGCTCATCCTCATTGGCTCTTGTAAGTGCTGCAAGGGACCTTTTGCCGTACTTATGGTGGATCTGGTTGAAAGGCGACGTGTGTCTCCTTCTCAGTAACGCTCCGTCTCCCTCCACTTTTCTCTCGCCATTTCTAGCTCTCGTCCCCTGCTCTTTGTGTTTTCATCTAAGTACGGCTTATCATGGCAGTATGCTCACCTGTCTCACCTGCAAAAAACAATTCTTTTCCGCCAACTCGCCGGGAGGCCCCGAGCAGCTGGAAGCACATGAGACTCAGACCGTGACGCCAAGGAATATGCGTGTAGCTGCAGAGCTCGGTTGTGCGCTGTGCAAATTCCGCTTGGCACAACTGACAGAGGAAGAGTGGCAGCTTGTTGACGTCGACCTGCCAATCAATGTAAAAGTACGGTCCATACAGTGGCCTGATAAAGAACATATCATCATAGAAACCTCATACCCACTTTCGGCATCCGCCGTGCCTCTGTCCAAGTCTTTAAGGGTCATTCCACGGAGCGGTATGTAGCTGTCCATGTTTGGTTTAATCTTTCTGACAAATTATCAGAATACTGTGCTCTCGGAGGAATCAGTGCCATCCCATCAAGTACTTGGCCCTTCTGCCCCAGTGTGGCTGCCAGATGGCTTCGGAATTGTGTCAAAAATCACCAGTGTGGAAACCAGGTGGAAGGTCGCCCAGACAAGAAACTCCCTACAAGGCTACTTCAGATCGACTTCGCATCTGATGACTCGGCCATCTACCTTGTTATGGGGGAGAGACTACCTCACAATACACCATACGCTACCTTGTCCCACTGTTGGGGTGGCAAACTGCCGATCAAACTCACGACGAAGAACTTGAAAAGCTATACGCAACGAATCCCAGTAGAAGATTTAACGATGAAGTTCAGACAGGCGGCCGAGGTGACTAGTGAAATTGGAATCAACTACCTATGGATAGATAGCCTCTGCATCCTGCAAGACTCGAAGGATGATTGGGAAAACGAATCATCTCTCATGGGCGACGTCTACGAGGGAGCCACAATCAACATCGCCGCAGCAAGCGCCTCAGACAGCGATGACCCACTTTTCTCGAACACATCCCGGGATGGTTTCTTGGATTGCTTCGTTCATGTTCCGCACATGAGCGATAACCCGTTCCTGTGCTGTGACGAGGGCATCTGGCATAACAACATCAATGTCAGCCCATTGCTACGTCGGGCGTGGGTACTACAAGAACTCTTGCTCGCCCCGCGTATACTCTATTTTTGCCGAGATCAGATGTTTTGGGAATGCTCCGAATTCCAAGCCTGCGAACAGTGGCCCAATGGTCTTCCGGAAAGAATCACTGCGGCAGAACAAACGATTCGGTTACCCAGAAGGGATGAGAACCATTTCCCCGGCATCAACAGGCAGACGACTCTGTTAGGCGACCATTTTATCCCCCTCAGGCTAAAGAAGACAAATAGCACGTCTTTTTCGCGCAAATCTCACAGCCCAGATACCGAGCGAACGCGCTGTAGCTCCTTGTTTCTGGCAGCTATTCTGTCAACATTAAGACGCCGACGCAAAATGGGGAGAGAGTCAAACAGCCTCCTGAACGGCAGTGAGCGTAGGGTGCGAACAACCGCGCTGTTGGAGCAACTGGCCGAGGAAGACAAGCATGACTTACGTCACCTATGGCCTGAGATCATCAGGAGATATTCCCGAGCCAATCTGTCCTTCCCCGAGCAAGATAAGCTCGCGGCTATCTCTGCAGTCGCCAAAAGGCTTTATCCGCTGCAGACGAAGAACTACTTGGCCGGGCTCTGGAGGGACCAAATGCCATCATGCCTCGCATGGAGAGCCATAGGTTTCGTGGAGCGGCCAACAGGATACCAAGCCCCATCATGGTCGTGGGCTTCGGTCAACGGTCCTGTACGGATAGCGTCTTGTGGTGCTTACAACCCCCACCTGAGGGCTTCCGTAATCCGCGCCCGTACCAAGACTCCATCGAAAGATCCTACGGGCCGCGTCAGTGGCGGGTCCATTTTACTCCACACCACGATGCTAAAGCTCGAATGCCGCAATCCTCGCAAATCGACCTACTTTGTTGATCCGAACATGTTTACCAACGTCACTCTGTGCCAGGCCGGCAGTTGCCACTTACGACTGTATCCTGATTGTGTGCATCCCCAGCCTGGGGATACCATTCATCTTATGGTCTTAGAGGCGTCCGTTGGTGATCGAGAAACTCCGCAAGACTACATCTATGGACTTTTGATTTCTCCCACCGGGAAAAGAGGTGTATACCAACGTACTGGTTATTTCGAAGTTTGTTCGGCAATTTCGGTCGACGTCAACAACCCATGTGGCAAACAAGTTCCATTGGATGATGAAGATGGAAAAGCAAGAGCGAGAAAAGGATCTTTCTGGGCTTTTATCAGGCTGTGTCGAGAGTTTTATAAAGATTCTGCGTCGCTAGCGGCGCGCCGTTCGGTCAACAATCACCTCGTGCGTTCCGATGTCAAGAAGCTAATGGGGGCGGTTGAGTTTCGCCGACCTACAGACAAAGTCCAAGTTCCTGGTTTTATCATTGAAATTGTATAGCGCCACAGTGCAACGAATTTAATCCCCTACACACCATACCAATCTCACAGTCTGTATTGTGTCATTTCGTGAACGCATCCAGCCACTGAGGCGTCCAACACTGCTGGAGACGATAAGATGGAGAAATCAGTGTAGACTGTCTGAATGCAGTGGTTTAGGGATCTTTACATAGCTAGCCTCTGTTGGTCGCCACAAAGTGCAGAGCTCTGGTTGGCAATAGCTACAAAGGGCTAAAGGAGTAGTTGGACGAATAGCGTGGGTTGCCGCCCCTGTTGATAAAGCCGATCTCGCTTGGATAAATTGAGCCGTATGGCCTCTATAGCGTCTAGATTCCCACAGATGGTGGTGGTGGGGAAGGGGAAGAAGGGAGGAGGTGGAGTGGTGATCGGGAGGGCGTGGTTATTGGCCCGTTTTCTGCATTTGTTTTCTTCTCTGGGTGTGTGCCGGCTTGAGCAGGCCACTAAAGTTTTCTTCGTTCCGCTGGAAGGACTGCTTCTGTAATGCTGAACGCACACGGATGGACTGTGTCCAAACGCCCTTGAGACGTTTCGCATATGACATACACCGGAAATAGTCATACTACGAAGGTTAGTTGCCATGAATGTACATAAAAGCCGCCGTCTCTGCTTGCTACCTTGAAATTCGTCAGCGTGCAATTTATCTCTGTTCCGAATCTCTCCTTCTTCCTCTTCCCATGAATAAGTCTCCTCCATTATCAAAAGCCATGAGTTCTTTAATGAGGCAGTGTCGAATCTGTCAATGAATTTTATTCGTCACCATCAAGATCCCAGTGCCACTCGAGAAACGTAAATACATGTTTAGCAAATTCCTTCATCACCATTAATCACGGTAGTTCTCTAAGCTACGCACCGAAAGTGTCACGGAGGGTGTACTATCTGACCACGCTACAATGAACCTCAGCAATTCAGTCCATTCCATGGCGCAGTGGGTAATGCAAAGCCTTACATTAAGACCCTCGCTTGCAGAAAATCAGAAACCATTTTCAACCCAGCAATTCCCGAGAAACCGATCCCCATCCAGCAACAGCTGACCCACCCACGGCTCAGTGTTCGCAAAAGTTGAATCTCTCCTACATTCAATCAAAGTTAGCGACCAAACAATCAAAGAAGAACGGCGGCCAAACTCACGTTATACATCGCATCTTCCGCCTCGCTCTGAATGCGCATGCGTTCCTTCATCAGCCTCTCGCGAATCAACTCCGCCTCGTCCCACGAAAAGGGGAAGTCGTCGACTCCTTCGATTATAGCCTCGAACAGCTCCTCGGGCAGCGCCGCGAAGCGCTCCACCTTCCGCACCTCGGCTGCCCACCAGTCGCGGCGCTGGGGCGGCACGTTGGCGGTCGAGAGGACGGGCGTGTGCGGGTCGACGAGGAACATGGCGAGGATCTTGCGGTGGCCGGGCTTGGTGGGGTCGGCGAGGCGGAACGACGAGACGCGGTGCTGCATGACATTGGGGAAGGCTAGGAGGCGGCCTTGCGGGGTGGCGACCTGGCCGAGCGACTGGACGTTGGTGCCTTCGTATTCGATGCCGTAGTAGGCGCAGGCGGAGGACCATTCGCTCTGGTGTGAGAGATTAGTAAGGCGGAAGGAAGCGTTCGGTGGGTGGAAGCACACTTACTTGCGTGGTATTGGAAAGGATTTCGTCGGGACTAATGGACTGCTGGAAAGCCAGGTGGCTGGGCTCGATATTGTCCGAGTCATAGTAGTAGATGGCGGTTGCGCAGATGTGTTCATTTAACGCGCCCTCGATGTGCCACTTGGATCCGTTGTATTCCGGGTTCTCGGGAGTCAGATGGATGTTGGCAAGCTTGAAGATTACCTGAAGGCCAGAATCCTTGTATGTGGATCTCAGGTCAACACGGCTGATGCCTTGCAGATGGGGACGCTGTAAGGTTTCGCTGAAAGGGACGAACGGAGACGGCTCCTTCTGCTTGAGGATCCTGTGCTCCTCGAACCATTCTTCGTACTCGTCTTCGAAGCCGTGTTCTTGCGCCCACTGCTCGTCGTCCATTTCTTCTTCATCACTGTCTTCCTCCTGATAGCCATCTTCGGAGGTTGGCCGGGACCACTTAACGCCTTCGGGTAGGAACCAATCTTCATTGCTGGTCCCGTCAATCTTGATGCGGCGGCGATCGTGGAACCAAGAAAGACACTCGTTCCACAGTGGGATTGACCTATCAACGAACTTCTCCAACACGGCGTACAAGTCGGCGTGGGCCTGAGGGTGCAGGTTGTTGATGTAACTTGTGATTCGTGGCTGACCATCCGGCGCGAAATCAACCTGCGCCGGCAACCACTGGTACCCACCCCAGGCTTTCTGGGAGTGCTTCTGGTACCCACCCCAGGCGTTCTGGGAGTGCTTGGCATGGAAGGAGCCATCCATGCATTTTTTGAGTTCTTGCATTGTCTCTCCCATGCCGGTGAACTGAGCACAGTCCTTAAGAGGCACTCGTCCAGAGGGAAGCACCCTCGAACGGCCAAAGACGAGGGGGAATAAGGATGGGTGCACAAGGTCAAGAACTTGGTTTCTGGAACCGGGATGCCAGTCCTTCAGCCGGTCGGGAACGTCTTCCAGAGGATGGACAGCTCGGATTAGGCTCTGGCGCAAATCGTCGGAAACTGCGGAGTCGGACTTGACCACGGTTGCGTCGGCGTCCATGACGGCCACCAATCCCTTTTCGCGGTGAAGCGATGCTTTATCTTGAAGTTCGGAGATGCACTAGAGGTGAGGTAGTGTTAGAGGTAGTATTGTAGCAGCGTGTGGCCTTCACTTACGTAGTTGAACATGGCCTGCGAGAGGTATTCGTCTTTAAGGCTTTCGTCGTACCGGCAAGCTTCCGTTCTCCACTTAGACACAATGTCATCGTCGAAGACTTTGCTGTCCCATCCAGGCTTGTCGGTGATCTTGTTGATGAAGTCGAGCATGCGCCGCTCGCGCACGGTTAAGCCATCGGTGGCGAAGTAGTCGGAAATGGCGTGTGGAAAGCGCTTCTTGTTATACCCGGGGGCCCACGTTGAGAGGGCGTCGACGGGCAGCCCGAACCCAGGTAGGGTGATTCGCGCCTGTGGATCAGCCATTGGGTTCGAAGTGAGTGAGAAATGTAGAGGAGTGGAGGTTCGCGCGCCGGGGTTTTAAGGATTGCCAATCTGGAAGCCGCGTCTCGCTTAGGTAGGCAGCACCCGGACTATGAGCGGTTGTTTAGGCAACAGGACCAATCACTATCGACCTTATCTTTCTGCGGCGTAGATGTGGTGTAAGCTTGGGGATTCGGCGGCTCTTCGGGTCAATTTTCGAGCTCCTATCCATCGATCCAAAAGAGATGTCATGTGATTGTCTACAATTAAGGAAGGAACCACCTTGAGTCGCTCTCCCCGCCGCCATTCTCTCTCACCGCCGCTTTCGATCGCCGCTGATATCAGCTGCCACAATCGCCGATCACAGACGCAAACATCTTCGAATATTCGCAGCCGTCCTCACATCCGACCTTTTTACTTGCAGCTGTATTTGCAGCTTCTTTCTTAAAGTAGTATGGGTCACAGTAATAGGCTCCCTAGACCCACGCTTTGCGAAGCTTTACTACGGCTCCTTGTGTTAATATATCGTCCTTAAATCGCGCGCCCATCATATTTACACAAGACCATAACGCACACCAACCAAGCTTCCAGACCAAGAAGATGGGTTTACGAGCTGGATTGGTCCCATCCGCAGCGGATACAATTAATTCTCACATGAATAACTGAGTATTTACACGAGACGGTGCTGCTTATTGAGGCGACGTGGGCTAGCAACTTGTATTACGGCAGAGTGCAGCCCGTGGTTTTGATTGGTGCGAGACCATCAATAATCCAGAAGTACACACTAAAACCAAAAAGACTACCATATAGATCTGTTTCCCGACATTGCTCAACCTGACTTTTTTTTTAAAAAAAAAAGAAATTCTACCAGAAAATTGCTTCAGCTGCCCACTCGTGCAGCGATGGCTCGTGAGATGGGCCTTTTCTTTTGGATACGAAAGAACAAAAAACGTACGTCACCAAGTCCACGGCACCGTTTGGTGAAGAACCCGGTTGTGAGATAGGTCGACGTCTGATTGGGTGACGTGAGCGATTGCCAGTGCTGATGTCTATCTTTGGGTTGCATCTTTCACACTAGCTAGTTTGATATTGTTATAATGAGCTTTTCCTGGTATGAATTTCTTAGCTCAGCCATGACAAAATCCTAAAGACTCCAGAGTGGGCAACGTGCATACAAGATTGGGATCCATGTATTTTATTTCGCGCGCCAAGCGCAGGGTACCCGCTCCTCGCTTCGAACAAGATCTCCGAATACCGGAGAGGTGTGGTGGGGTAAGAAAGTTAAGGATCAGGCTAAAATGTTATCGCGGGCCGCAGCTACACATTTTCTCTGCCGCCTCTATGAGCCCTTTCATACAATTTACGGCGTACCATGATCGGCCGCAGCAACAAGCAGTACGCGGCGCTGCCGACCGATGACGTACAGGGCGATGACGCTCCGGCCCCCAGATCTTCGGTGGAGTCCACCGTCTCGCAACAGACCTTACCATACCCGGTAGTCAGTGAGAAGCCAAAGCCAACCTCACTTCCAACCTTCGTCTATGTCGCGTATGTCAACCCTGGCCGCTTGTTGCAGTCAGAGAATAGAGCTGACATCCATCCAGAATATGGATCATTCTGAGCTCGAGCATCATCCTCTTTAATAAGTGGATATTGCATTCACTCAAATTCCCTTTCCGTACGACCCCATGCCCGCTGAGCGGTAGCAACAGCTAACAGGTGCCCTCAGCTCTCTTCTTAACCACTTGGCACATGGTCTTCGCATCCATCATGACGCAGATCTTAGCCCACGCCACGAGAATACTGGACTCTCGGCACAAGGTGTCTATGAACCGCACTTTCTACCTCAAGACCATCGTCCCCATCGCCATCGTCTACTCCGTCTCCCTCATCTGCGGCAACATGGCCTACCTATTCCTCAGTGTCTCCTTCATCCAAATGATGAAGGTAAGCACCCCACCTCCCCTTTCCCCCGCACCACCTCCTGACCCACCATCCCAGTCCACCAACGCCGCCGCCACCCTCCTCGCAACCTGGGCCTTCCGCCTCGCGCCCCCGAACCTGCGCCAACTCGCCAACGTCTCCGTCATCGTCTTCGGCGTCACCCTCGCGACCTTCGGCGCCGCCGACTTCTCCATGTTCGGCTTCACGCTGCAAGCCTGCTCCATCATCTTCGAAGCAACACGGCTCGTCCTCGTGCAGCGCCTACTCAACTCCGCAGACCAAAAAATGGACCCGCTCGTCTCACTCTACTACTTCGCGCCGGCGTGCGCCGTGCTGAACGGCTTGACGACGCTGCTCGTCGAGGCGCCGACGATGCGGTGGGGGGAGGATTTCGCGCACCTGGGCGCGCTGACGCTGCTGGCGAACGGCGCGGTGGCGTTTGCGCTGAACGTGGCGGCGGTGATGCTGATCGGGCAGACGTCGGCGGTGGTGTTGACGCTGTGCGGCGTGCTGAAGGACGTATCGCTCGTCATGGCGTCGATGGTGCTGTTTCGGGATCCGGTGACGGTCACGCAGGCGGGCGGTTACTCGGTCGCGCTGGGTGGGTTGGTGTATTACAAGCTGGGGTTGGATAAGATCAAGGAGGGCTGTGGGAAGCTGCGGGATACGTGGCAGGGGTCGTGTGAGGAGCATGGAGAAGAACTGACGGTGTCGATGGCGGCGGCTATGGCTACGGCGCTCGCGATGCTGTTTTTCGGGACTTATGTGGCTTTTCAGTTCTCTTTTTGACGAGAGGATAGAATATTGTAGTTTTTTTTCATGTCAAAGCGTGCTGGAGGAGTTGGTCGAGAATGTTGATGAAAGCAAACTCCACTCAAGCCGCGGCGCTGGCACGCTGATTTTACAGAAAACACGGTCTCGGAGATGGATCCTTAGGCCAGTGAATGACGCGTAGACCGGAGAAGGTTTGAAGCAAAAAATAGCCGAAAGATGGGCAGGCGGATCAATAAAGGCCGCTGAGATTGAAGAAGTTTGGGCCCAAAACTTCGACCAGCTTCTCGTGAAGCGTTGTTTCGGCGAAGCCTGTTGAGGGCGGATGTCCACCCAAGCTACCCGATGGCACCATTTGTTAGTGAAGTGTCGTGCCGCTGGCCGCCTGAAACATTGGAACCTGCACTCCAAGAGCCCGGAAGGTCAGTGGAACAAAGTTCGGTGGGCCAAAAACGGAGCTCGGATCAGATAACTCCATTCAGACCACATCCTTCGGATCTAATCTCCGCCACAGGAAGGTCGAGCGGGCGCGCTGATGACGGAGGAAGCCATTGGTGGGATCATTCGTGGTGGTCTTGTTCAATACGAGCTGATTACGTTATGTGAACACCGTCGGCTCTTCCACCGGAATCGGACGTAGCTGAATCGATAGACCCCGCGGAGAAATACAATACAGACACTGAAAGTATTGAAATAACAAATATCTTTACCGTTTGTCGTCTGTAAAAAAGAGCTGAGATAGGATCTTTGCATTGAGGCATTGCATTGCCCCTTCCGAACCTTTTTTTGTCCTTTTCCTCACGATTACTGGTAAAGTGGAAGAATTCTTCCATCCATGGCGTTGGGAATGATGAGTAGGAGTGCTGCATGACGAGTTGGCCCTTTTAAAGACCTTAATGAACAAGGTGTCTATATCGCAGCAATTACTATTTATAAGAACCTCGGCAGTTTCCATTATTCACGAGTCATAGCATCAAAATACTCACTCCGCATTATACTACTGCTAACATTGGTTGCGCCGACGGCATTCCCGAGTGAGGAATGCGGTGTTCACTAATCCAGTGCGCCCTGCCACTGACGAGCAGGAACGATTGTAATCATGCCTCATTGCCGAGGCCATCGCTTTCCATGAACAGAATAGTGTCAACGCCTCACCTACACTAAAGGATTGAATACTAAGTAAAGTAGTAGTCAACATGATCGCATGCTGCTCATACTGCTAACACTTGGTCAGGTACCACTTCTCTCTCAAAATTTGCTTTCTCCTTTAGCTCAATGTTACTGACATACCAACGCAATTCTACCTACACCATGATCACAATAGGTGCTGTCGGAGTAAGCTGCGGCTCTGATATTACTTTACAGTCAAAGAAGACATCTGTCTAGTCTGTGTTCTGTTCCAAGTAGTACCCCGCTGGCCAATCATATCCTCCCCTCGGCACAACATCTGCCACCGAAGGAGCACGCCAGTCTCGATTGAGACAAGTGTTCCTGTCGCCATGCTTCCCTCCATTACTCACCAGCGTACTTCGGTGTTGCAGGAAGGCCGAGCAGATGTGATTAGTTTCTGCCATGTCTTAGGAAGAACTCATGTAAATAAATAGACGGGCGCTCTGCCAAGCCCATTCGAATGCTGTAGCATCCATTCAGAATGGAGTTAATCCCACCTGCTTCAGCCGCCGTGCTGGCAGACCCGCTCCCCTCCACGAACGATTCAGCCACCGTGATCGCCCCAATCGACAGCGACAGTAGCAGAAGCTCAGTGACCAAGGATGACGTCGAGAAAGGAATCGAGTCTCTACCCGAAACACCACCAAGAATCACCGGCCCGCTGGATTGGGATGGGCCCAACGATCCGGGCAACCCACATAACTGGAGCTTTCTCAAGCGCGGGTGGATCACACTGGTGATCGGTATGACCGGCTTCACAGTGTAAGTGTCACTTACCCATGGTGTGCGAGAAGAGATGCATCGCTGACCCATCCAGAACCATCGGTAGCTCCGTATACACGCCCGCCATCCCGGAGATAGTCCAAAAGTTCGACGTCTCAACAACAGTTGCCCTGCTCGGCCTCTCCCTCTACACCGTCGGCCTCGGCTTCGGTCCGGTCCTCGCCGCTCCCCTGAGCGAGATGATAGGCCGCAATATTGTTTACAAGACATCGATTCCCGTGGCTGCCCTCTTCACGCTCGGCGCCGGCTTTTCGACCAGGTCGTTTGCGTCGTTCCTGGTGTGCCGGTTCTTCGCGGGCTTCTTCGCCGGGCCGGTTCTGGCAGTTGGGGCAGGGACAAGTGCGGACATGTATCCCGAACGCCTGGCGACCGTCGGCGTGACATCGTTCGTCCTCTGGCCATTTGCCGGGCCGTCACTTGGGTAAACACTCCCCATGTCCAATCAGGGAACCCAACTAACAGAGGCACCGCCCAGTCCCTTCATCGGCGGCTTCGTCGCGCAGTACAAAGACTGGCGGTGGACGCAATGGGTGATCCTCTTCGCCTGCGCCTTCATCTACATCCTACTACTCACGCTCCCGGAGACGTACAAGAAAGCCATCCTCAAGCAGCGCGCGAAGAAGGGGCACCTGCCTCCACCACCGAAGGCCGGGCCCACTGGCGCCGCTGCTATCAAGTTCCTGCTGACCGTGACGCTGGTCAAGCCGGTCCACATGCTCTTCACCGAGCCCATCGTCGCCTTCGTCAGTCTCTACGTGGCCTTCGTCTTCGCCGTGCTATTCTCCTTCTTTGAGGCCTTTCCTATCGTTTTTGAAGGCGTGTATGGGTGCGTCCTTGCTCCTCCCCTCTCCTCCTCCCTTCCCCCCCGCCCCTCCTCGCCGCACCCATTAATCCAACCCCCTTCCAGCTTCACCAAATCCCAAACCGGCCTCACCTTCCTCGCCGTCGGCCTCGGCGTCGTCCTCGCGGGCCTAACAGCCGTCTACTGCGACCTGCACTTCTACCAGCCGGCCTACCGCCGTGCAGCCGCCGCCGCAGCCTCCTCCTCCGCCGCCACTGGCCGTACCACCACACCGCCAGAAACACGCCTCTACGTCTCGATGCTCGGCTGCTTCGGCGTTCCGGTCGGCATATTCTGGTTCGCGTGGACGGCGCGGGCGGACGTGCACTGGGCGAGCTGCGTGGTTGCGGCGGTGCCGTTTGCGTGGGGGAATTTGTGTGTTTTTGTGAGTAGTTACATACATACCTAGCACCCACCCATCTGAGGGGGGGAAAAGAAAAAGAAGGCGAGTGCTGACGGGGATGATGCAGATCGGCACGTCGCAGTACATCGTGCACGCGTACGGCCCTTTGACGGGGGCCAGCGCGATGGCGGCGAACGGCATCGCGCGGTACACGATCGCGGCGGCGTTTCCGCTGTTTACGATACAGAGTGAGTAATTTGTGTTCTGTAATTACCGACCTGCTGCGGGAGAGAGTAATGCTGATGACGCGATGCGTGGCAGTGTACGACCGGCTGGGGATCCACTGGGCCACGAGTCTGCTCGGCTTCATCTCCGTGGCAATGCTGCCCATTCCGTGGGTGCTGTTCAGGTGGGGCCCCCGGATTCGGGCGAGGAGTAGGTATGACACGGTTTGACGCATGATTGTTGGAATGAATTGGGAGTATCACGGCGGGCTGGGGATCTGCGGTGCGCGGACTGAGTAAGTAATTGTGGAGTGTGTTGAAGTTGCTTCAACTATGCACGCTCGTCGGTCGTTTCAGAACTGGCGCCGGTCCATTGTTTATTATCACATCGCATGAACAGCGAGGTATTCGTAGAGGAGTCGGCTGCCTTTTTGGGAGACGGAGGAGCTGAGGAGGAGGATTGCAGCGTAGAATAGATCCCCATTTCAAATAATCGATGCTTGATTGGGTGCCGACGCGGCGTTTCGCTTCCGTATATGCATCCCGATTCTGGCAGTGCAAGAGAATCCGAAACCGACTCTGGAATATGAAGTACTCGGGAGAAGGTGTCGGCTCCGTCGACGTGAAACTGGCCCCTGGCCTAGATCGTCAGGATCGAAGAGAATCGTGTGCAGACGCCGATGTCGGATGGGAGGATTTTTCAGAGAGGACGCCTTGTCTATGCTTGACGACACAAGCTGAGTTGGAGATGCAGAACCGACCAACGTTCTGGGCGACTGCCTACAGCGCCATTGTTAAATTTAGAGTGCTGACATTGTTCCCCTCTCGATCGCGTGACGGCAGCTATTGTCCAGCCCTGTCGTCGGCCTTCAATAAAAAGCTTATTGGCATGTTTCATATAGCACGTGTTGGATTTGTTTCGTGCTCGATCAGCTGCAGGAGTTATATGGAGAAAGACGCTGGAAGGGTATAAAGAAGCGAGGGCGGCGACGATTATTACTTCTCGCGGCAGCGCCGCGATGACGGCAGTTTGTTCCCCACTCCCGGATCCAGAGCGGCGGAAGAAACCAATGACCAACGCCTCGGACGAGAAGTGTGGCGCCCCGGAGGGTACCGGGTGTGGCAGCTCGCTCGCTACGTGGCCGGCGGCGCGGAGAGGGGGTGCGCTGAGGGTGAGGCCACAAACGCTGTTCAGCGCGGTGGTGAGGAAAGCGGCGCGGGAGCAACAGAGGTCGAAAGAGTGTGAATAGACTTATTTTTAACGTTTGACCAAGTCTTACCCTTGGACTCTGGAGAGATCCCCACTCCGGCGCTGGATAGGACTTGTGCCAGCAATCGGCGGCCAATCAGACAGGGGCCATTAGACGGGTCGGCACGTCTGGCCGATTATTAAAAAGACGGGAACGACTCTGGCAATGTTGCAGCAGGCTCCGCAGCGGCCCCACCACCATCGGACTTGGTTGCTTTGATCGTCGGCATTAACCGAATGCCAGAGTCGGATTTGTGTGCAGAAAGGCAGGCCTCGACGGTGCCGATGGCCTAAAAACTGCTCTGCACCTGCAAGGCTCCCGGCTGGGCGGTGGAGTTGCGTCTGATGGTCGGACCACGTCCGGAAATTACCGCGTATTCCGAGCCATTATACGCACGCAAAAGAAAAAAACACAACAGGCGGCGCGTCGATCCGGCTTGCGCCAGCTGGGCTTTTCTGTTGGATTTGGGTCGCATGATTAAAAAATACTAGTGCTTGGCGCGGTGCCTGACCACCTCGCGAGGGCTGACGCGGCTTCGGCCGCTCCGAAGCACGCCTTCTCGAATGTTTCAATGCAGCAGCTGAAAGCGGAGAAAAGCGAAGTGCTCCTTGCAGCTGCGCGGCACGGCCGGAGCGAGAGCGGCACAGTTTGGGGAGTGCAGCTGGCTAGCCAGGGCGGACGGCTTCGAGAGCAGTTGGCGGGCCAGGGCGAAAGGCTTCGAGAGCTTCTCCCCCCTGTCGATGGCGACATTAAGCTTCGTCGAATCAGGGCCAAGGCGAGTCCGAGGTGGTAGAATCTTCACGTCACCCCACGGCAGCGTCGCATCGGCGGCACAAGCCGGATCGGGATGGCCGCACGGATCAGATTAGATCCGGCGACTGGACTCGATTGAACAGACTAAGGCGGTGGCGGTGGCGCTTTTTATGCACTCGCTCCAGTTGTGAGCTCGTGATTGGCTGACGATGGGCCGGTCTCGCGGACCCACGATTATCTTATCTTATTAGATGAATATGGGCTACACCTTAGCCGTCGGCAAAAAATCTGTCAAGGGTGCGCGGGTAGATCATTTATTAGACGCAGGGCGGCCGCCCAGCTTCTGTGCTGCACCCCAAGACTTTCCGACCACCACTCCCCACCGCTGCCAAGATGGGCATTCTCGACAACGTTAGGGGCCGCAAGGACGCCGTCATTGCTGAGGCCGCCGTCCAGCCGAACGCCGAGCCCAATGCCGAGTCCAAAGACATCTCCACCGAGCCGCCGTCGTACAGCAACTCGGACCTGAGCCTCGAGGCCCGCAACGAGCGTGAGGTCGAGAAGCACCCCGACGAGGTCACCAAGGATGTCTCGGAGGGTGTGCAGAAGGTGCAGGCCGCGGCACTGGTCTGGAGCAAGAAGACGGTCTACTGCATCTACGCATGGTGAGTTCCCCGCACGTTTTTCGCTTACAGTGTCTAACACCACTGCAGGATCTGGGTCTGCTTCTTCATGCTGGCCTTCCAGCAGTCGATCGGCAACAACGTCAACTACTACGCCTACTCCAACTTCTCGGCGGCGCCGCAAATCTCGACGGCCAACATCCTGGCGGCCATCGTCGGCGGCATCCTGCGTCTTCCCGCGGCCAAGATCCTCAACATCTGGGGCCGCGCCGAGGGTCTGTTCGTCTTCTTCTGCATTTACGAGCTCGGCATGATCATCATCGCGGCGTGCAAGGGGCCCGACGGCTACGCTGCGGGCTACACGCTGTACTGGATCGGCTACGACTGCATCTACATCATCCTGGACATCTTCATCGCCGACACGTCCGGGCTGCGCAACCGAGCCTTCGCCTTCGGTTTTGTGACGACGCCCTTCATCTGCACGGCCTTCACGGGCCCGCTGGCGGCGCAGTCGTTCCTGTCCATGACTTCGTGGCGGTGGGCGTACGGCGCCTTCTGCATCATCCAGGTGGCCGTCTTCATGCCGCTGGTCGTCGTCTTCAAGTTCTACCAGAAGAAGGCCGAGAAGATGGGCATTTACAAGAAGGAGTCCAGCGGCCGCACCGCCCTGCAGTCGACCCTGTACTACCTCGAGGAGTTTGACGGTAAGTGTCTGTCACTAATATATTAAATCTTGGCAACTGACAGTCTTTTAGTCATCGGCTGCCTGATCATCATCGCGGCGTTTGTCCTCTTCCTGCTGCCGTTTAGCCTGACGTCTTACGGCATGGCCGAGTACCACAGTGCCAAGTTCATCGCCATGGTGGTCATCGGCTTCTGCCTCTTCCCCGTCTTCTACGCGTGGGAGCGGTACGGCACGCGCAAGACGTTCGTGCCGTGGGAGCTGCTGCGCGAGCGCACCGTTCTCGGCGCCTGCATCACCTCGGCCGTCCTCTACTTCTCCTTCTACTCGTGGGACCTGTACTACTACTACTTCGTGCAGGTCGTGTACGACCTCAACATCCAGGACACGGGGTACATGACGCAGATCTACAACGTGGGGTCGTGCTTCATCTCGCCCGTCTTCGGCCTGATCGTGCGGTACACCAAGCACTTCAAGTACATCTGCCTGTGCGTCGGGCTGCCGCTCATGTTCCTCGGCGCGGGGCTGATGATCCACTTCCGCGGCTCCGACGGCGACATCGGGTACATTATCATGTGCCAGATCTTCATCGCGTTTTCGGGCGGCATTCTCGTCATCGGCAACCAGATGGCCGTCATGGCGGCGGCGGACCACGTGGGCGTGCCCATGATGCTGTCGCTGCTGATGATGATGTCCAGCATTGGTGGTGCCATCGGCCAGGCCGTCGGCGCGTCCATCTACTCCAACACGTTCCCCAAGGCCCTGATTTCCAGGCTCCCTGAGAGCGAGCAGGCCAACTGGTCCACCATCTACCTCGGCGGCACCACGACCCAGATGAGCTACCCCATGGGCTCGCAGACCCGTGAGGCCATCAACTACGCCTACGGCTACGCCCAGAAGTACGAGTGCATTGCTGCCACGGCTATTTTGGTGCTTGCTATTCCCGCTATCGGAATGTGGAAGAACTACAACGTCGACAAGAAGCAGATCAAGGGCAACGTCTTGTAAATGGCGTCTGCCTCGCGTGGAGATTTCTAATAATATTTAATGAGAGATACCAACCAAAAGGAGGGAAAAAGGGAGGGGGAACGAATGATGAAGGGGAGTACATAGGTGTACAGCTATTTCCTTACCAATCTATATTTTGCACAACTTTTTCTTCTCAAGCACACTCGTGAACCTCAATCCTTCTTTCACACCGCACATCTAATCCCTTCCCCCCTCCATAAGCCCCTCCCCCTCCCCCAACAACCCCGTCTTCGTCTCGGTATGCTCCCGACTCAACACGCTCCTCTTCACAAACAAGCTCGCCACCACCCCGCACCCAGCCACGCACGCATACAAGATCCACATATTCCTCAACCCGCTCGCAAACGCCTGCTCCGCCGCCCACCGCTGGCCCTCATCCGCAATCCTGCCAATCATCTCCACATTCGCCGCCGCCTCGGGCCCGGCCAGCATCTCCGCCACCGCCTCTTCCATGCCCGCAGCAACCAACTTACCGCGCTGCATCGCGACGCCGTTCTGGAACACCACGCCGCCCACGACAATCGACAGCGCGGTCGCGATATTCTTCACGAACCCCAGCGTCCCCGTCGCCGTCGCGACGTCCCTCTGCTTCACGCGCGCCTGCACCGCCGTCATGGGCGGCTGGAAGCACAAGCCAATGCCCGCGCCGGCCAGGATCTGGATCCCGACGACCGTCGCGGTGCTCGTCCGCGCATCGAACAGCGTGAACAACCCCACCCCGACCACCGTCACCAGCATCCCCGCCTGCAGAAACGGCTTGTACTGCCCGCTCGCATGAATCCCGACGCCCGTCCCCACCGCCGCAACCGCCTCGGTCGTGATGAGCGGCAGGATCAGCACGCCGGACAGAATCGGGTCGGCGGCGCGCGACGACTGGAAGTACAGCGGCAGGTAGTACTCGGCCGCGATGAAGACGAAGCCGGAGCAGAAGGCGGCCGCGAACGCCGCGACGTTGCTGCGGTCGCGGAATAGGCGGAGCGGCATGATGGGGTGCGTCGCGAAGCGCTGCTCGCTGACGACGAAGCCGACGACCATCAACACGCCGAAGACGAGGAGGCACACGATCTTGGCCGAGGACCAGGCGGCGACGACGCCGCCCATGTTCAGCGCCAGCAGCAGCATGAGGGTCAAGCCGAGCATCGTCGCGGTCCCGAGCCAGTCGACGGCGGCGAGGCCGGCGCGGAGGCGGGTACGCGGGTTGTGCACGTCGAGGAACAGCAGCGTGAGGACGAAGGCGGCGCCGGCGATGGGCAGGTTCAACCAGAATATCCAGCGCCAGGACACCTTCGCCGCCAGGACGCCGCCGAGCACGGGGCCGATGCCCGCGGCGATGGCCCACATCAGCTCCGTCAGCGCGATGAAGAGGCTGCGGCGGCGGAGGGAGAATAAATCGGCAATAGTAATGTCGACGAGCTGCAGCAAGCCGCCGCCGCCGACGCCCTGCAGTGCCCGCCCGCTAATCAGCATCGGCATGGTCTGGGCCAGCGCGCAGAGGATGCTGGCGGCGAAGAAGAGCGAGAGGGACGCCAGGATGATGGGCTTGCGGCCCCAGATGTCGGAGAGTTTGGCCCAGATGGGCATGGCGGCGGATTTGGCGAGGAGGTAGGCGCCGCCGATCCACGTGTAGCCGGAGGCCGAGTGCAGGGAGGAGGTTATGGTGGGGATGGCGGTCGAGACGATGGTTTGGTCGAGGGCGGCGACGAAGAGGGCGAGGTAGAGGGCCATCATGATGGCTGTGACGCGGAAGTTGCTGCGGGAGGGCGCGGTGGCGTCGGGGACCTGGATGTCCATTGCTTCTATTATTGCTGGTTCCTCAGTGGCTTCCGTTCTTGGGTCGTCGTTGGCGGGGATTGCCTGCTCCACGGCCCGGGAGATCTCTAGATCTTGATTCTGCGTCATCCCGGTGGTCTGGAGAACGTAGGAGAAAACAGGAAGAGGAATTGATGATGGAGAAGAGCTCGTGGAGAAACCACGCCAAATTTTGTCTTTATGGTGGTCGTCGTCGTGACTCACCGCCGCATACTGCCGGTAGACAAGCTCCACCCCCGCTGCGGGGCTGGCTCCATTTCCGCTTATCGTTAGTTGATTGCTAACCAAGAAAAATAAATCGCCCGAGTTGCAGCTTGTTCCTCTTTGGACGCTTAATTGGTTGCGTGCTGAACTCCGGACGTGCGGTCTCCAAAAGGGCACTTTTCGCATCAATTGAGACGAAACGACGTTGTGGATTGTTCCTGCTCTGTTGAACTGCTCTGGACGTTTGTTAAGAGGATTCGGAGAAGCGCGTTTTGAATCATGCAGTGAGCAGCCGCGGGCTTCGTTAGTAAGGAACTTTTGGCCAATAGCATTGCTTGAATACTTGCCATAATGCTGCACGAGCACTCCTTCAAAACTGGCAGTTATTTGTGAGAGCTCCACGTTGTAGAGTATCTACTCTTATTCAATGGACACTCCATAGGGCCAGAGTATCTATCGGTGTGAAAAGCGGAGCCTTGTCGACTTCAAGATAAAGTTGTGAATCGGCCCCCGGAGGTCCGTGCTGCATGCATGCTTTCTGTAGCCTCGTGCTCGCACTTTTGAAAGATCGTCTTATGGGGGCGATATAGTGATTGACATGCAAGGTTCAACCTCCACCTCGTGTGTTGTCGTACAAGATGAAAGCAGCTCCGAAAGCAGAAAAGACAGAGTGGGGTCGCCTGCAGTGTGCCGCACATCGTCGCTGCTGCCTGGAGAAGGGGGCACAAACTGTAATATCCACATCTTACCCGCCGAACCTCCAATCGGGTTCAGCGGAATAATCCCGCCCCTCCAACTGGCCTGTCACACGAGGAAGAACTCGCCGCAGATTGCAGCCTCGTTGCCTGGAGCGCCCCACCCTTGCGGGCCACGGCCGTTGCGCTAAACCAAGCGGCAGGCTTGAAAACTCAATTCTTAGCTCCAGGAAACGTCGTGCTCTTGTAGTTTTATCCACACACGCCGGTCCTTTCTCCGCTTATCACCGTCAAAGGCCCACAGGCACGACGCCAAGTGTGGGCTTGCTTCCAGCCCTTGCCGCAAAGGTTGGGGGCCGGGCCGTTAGCCTCTCTCGAGCGCTGGCGATTCAGGAAACACAAACCATGCAAGCGAGGGTGGATGTGCTACGTTTCAATCCCGGACCAGGGCGCTTCCCCCTTGAGCGTCCTGACCCGCCAATGTGGACACCACAGCTGAGCCGCGTGCGTGCCGCATGAGCTATAAGAAGGCGGAGAGACCAAGACGTCAATTGTAGTCTTGATACCTTTCGTTCACGCTGGAATTGCACAATGTCGCTCACTCTTGCTCCTTTGATTGAGGGGGCCAATGCGACTGCGCTGGTCGTGGCTTGCGTCGCTCTTTCGCTCGTGTACCTTGTCTACTTCCTCGACGAGAAGCCGTATAAGGGCTTCCCCGTCGTTGGCTTGGAAAAGAATGGCTTCTTCTCAATGGCGAAGGCGAGAGGTGCCTGGATAGTAAACGGGTGCGAAATCTTGGAGCAGGGCGCGAAAAAGGTATTTCTGCCCTTTCCTCATAACAGGAACACACATGACTAAACAAGTATAGTTTTCCGGTGGCGCATTTCAGGTCATCACCGCCAGCGGGCCAAAGGTCATCCTTCCCAATCGTTACGCCCATGAGATCAGGAACAATCCACATATGAGTTTCGGCAAAATAATCACAAAGGTGCGCATCCCATGTCTCACGAGTCCAGCTGAATGATTCTAACTTCTCAAAGGAATTCTTCTCCTCTTATCCCGGTTTCGAGCCCTTTGACACTCTGAACCAGCACAACATCATCCAAGATGCCACAAAAAACAAGCTTACGCAGTCGCTGAGTGAGAAATTCGAGTGCGGTTCACTCACCTGTTTTGCATGCTAACACCAACAAGCACTATTCACGGAAGATATATCCGCAGAGGTAGCTCAAATCCTGGACGAGATGCTGGGAAACAACAAGGAAGGTAAGCCGCGGTATTTCCGTCCTATTCGCAGCCACACCTAGCCCACTCCAGCCTCGAGAAAGGAAAAACCAAGAAAGAAAGAAAGAACCCTCCCCAAATCTCCGCTTTCCTATACCTTTCCCTTCCCTGCCAACCCCCCCACCTTTTTTTTTCCATTCCCTAACACTTCCCACCAGAATACACCACCACCCCCCTCCGCCCCCTCGTCGCCCGCATCATCGGCCAAGTCACCTCCCGCGTCCTGCTCGGCCCCGACCTCTCCCGCAACGCCGAATGGCTCGCCCTGTGCCAGTCCTACGCCGTCACCGGCTTCGCCGCGCAGCAGGCCCTGCTCTCCTGGTCGCCGCTACTGCGCCCCTTCGTCCACCGTTTCCTCCCCGCCTGCCAGCGCCTGCGCGAGCTGACCGCCGTCGGCCACCGCGTGATCCAGCCGTACATCGACGCCCGCAGGGAAGCGGTCCGGAGCGCGGAAGCGGAGGGGAGAGAGGTGCCCAGGGCGGAAGATATGATTGGGTGGATGGAGGAGATGGCGCGGGAGAGGGGGGTTGCAGGGGGGAAGGGGAGGAAGAAGGGGTTTGATATTGCGGACGCGCAGATCATGTTGTCCATCGCGGCGATACACACGACGGCCGAAGCATACACGTGGGTCGTCGCGGACCTGATCGAGCATCCGGAGTACGCGGGCCCGCTGCGCGAGGAGGTGGCGCGGGTGCTGGGGCCCGAGGGCCGGTGGCAGAAGAACTCGCTGTACCGGATGGCGCTGCATGACAGCTTTATCAAGGAGTCGCATCGGCGGCATATGGTTGATGCGCGTAAGTCGTCCCCCCCTAGACCTCCCCCCAACCCCCCTCGCCCTTCGCGCGAGCTAACGCGTTGAACAACAACAGTCGTCATGGACCGCTACGTCTCCCGCCCCGTCACCCTCTCCGACGGGCTCGTGCTGCCCGCCGGCACCGCGCTCATGGTGCACGCGACGAACAACCTCTCCGACGCGTACTGGCCCAACGCGCGCTCCTTCGACGGCTATCGCTTCCTGAACCTACGCAAGCAGCCCGGCGAGGAGAGCAGGCACCAGCTGGTGTCGACGAGCGCCGAGCACCTCGGCTTCGGGCTGGGCAGCCAGGCTTGCCCCGGGAGGTTTTTCGCGGCCAACACGATGAAGCTGATGCTGGCGCATTTCGTGACCAAGTACGACTGGAAGTTCGCCGAGGAAAAACCGCAGCTGCGCGCGCCGTTTGGGTCGAGTGTTTACGTTAATCCGATGCTGCAGGTCAAGGCGCGGAGGAGGGAGGAGGAGGTGAGTTTGTAGGTGCTGACCTTGCAGGTGGTGCGTGCTGCGCTGGGAGGAGCGCAGGCATGGCGGAGGGCCGCGGAAAAGTGGTTGGGCGGTGTAGTGGTGGCGGCTCGATTGGGTCTGAGATCCTTTGGGATTTTTTTTTTGTACAGGTGGTGGATAGGTTACGTTTCACAAGTGACGTCAGAAGAACCGCTCAACATCCGCGTTGGTTGGGGTAACGGCGCCGCAGTCATCTGCGCGAGAGGAATGATATGCGCGCGTCTAACGAATTATTTACGGACCTGATTATGGCCGGCAGGTTGCCTGTTCATCGAGGTGCAATCAGATTACTGTTGCGAAACTCGCTGCTCCTTCCAGACGCCCTGGCTGACTGTTGAATCCCACAACAAGGTGGCAGAGTGCAAAACACAGCCTCAACCTCGTGCGAAAACAGCGAGGCGCCCTGGCTTCCATTTTTAGAAATGCGCGTATACTTGGGGTAGCTATCTCAGTCTCGTATTTATATCCCACTCAACATCATCTTCTCCACCCTCAGTCTTCTTTCAGCCACCGCCCCACAATGAGTTTGAACATGTTGACAAATCGTTACTCCGTCTCAAAATCGATATCAGCAGGGCAGTCAATCATGCAGGTGAGCGGGATAGCGATGGCATTGCCGGGCGATGCGCTGAAGTGCAAAACAGACTACGCCAACAACATATGCAAAAGTAGTGCGCGGCCGAATCGCCCCGGTACCCGCGTCCACTTTCGCACTGGTGGGATTGCTATGGACAACAGCATCGCCAAAAGGCTGGCAATGAACCATGGAAAGACGTCATGATCTCGAAGCAGGAGATAAAATTCCGTTTGCGGAACCGGTTGAACCCCAGCCGGTTGCCCCGGGCCGGCGAAAGATTCGGGGCGTGTGAAGAACATGAATCAAGCGCATTGAAAAAACTTAGACATTAGAGTAAGAGATGGATAGACAAAGTGGAGTTGCACGTGTGTCTCAGCAGTTCATCCAAAACATCACTGAAAAGTCGTCGAGGCGTGTTTCCGTGGGGACAATAATTTGGTGAAACCTCACAGACATAAATCGTTATACATGCTTCTATACCCATAAAACCTTCAACCCCAACTATCCATCTAATCCACCCGCCCGCCCCCTTTCAACAGAAATCTCCGCGAGCGTCTCTTCCGACTGCGCCTCACTCCCTACCACCCCCACCCCATAATCCACCACCGACCCTCTCCCACCACCTCCTCCCCCATCCTTCTCCCCCCCACCAAACCGCTCCACCTCCCTCCTCGATGCCGCCCTCATCAACCTCGGGCACTCCAGATCCTCCAAATCCAACCCGGCCAGCCTTTCCCCGCCCTTGGTGACGGGCACGTTGCCCGCGCAACCCGTCCACTCCCCCATGCCGGCCTGCTCGTACGCCTGCCGCTGCAGCTGCAGCGTCTCGTCCGTGACCCATTCCAAGCGCGCATAGGTGGCGCGGCGGGAGTGGCGGCGGTGCTGGAAACACGCCGTCAGCGGCTCCAGCACGTACGACAGCAGCACGACAGCGGAGCCGAGGGCGAGCGTGAGGGCGAGGCCGAAGACGGAGAAGTTGGAGTGGGAGGCGGTGGGGATTTTCTGCGGGGGAGGAGGAGGAGGAGTGTTAGTTGAGAGAGACAGCTGCGGAGGGGGGGAGGAAGGAAGGAAGGGAGGGAGGGGTTACCTGGTTGTTGCAGAGGTTCCGCTCGGCCGTGTTATTCGGGGCGCGGAGGAAGGACTTGAGGTTCTCGTCCGACGTGCCTTTCGCGACTTGCGTCATGCTGCCCTGCAGCGCGACGAGGGTCGCGGCGTGCCAGCTCTCTGCCTCGAGCTGCCACTGGTTGGTCGGGAGGGCGCCGGAGACGCCGTTCTGGCTCTTGTAGCCGGCCAGCAGGCCGCCTTCGCGCAGGATGCCCGGCACGACTTCGACGGTGACGCTGAAGGCGTAGACGATGGCGCTGAGCCAGTTGAAGGCCGTGCGCTGGTTGTTGTTTGACCAGATGTCCGCGGCTAGAGACGGGGATTCGTATGTGCCGCCGAAGGGGGAACACCGTTCGTCGGCTGGGAGGTTGGGGTTGCAGTACTGCTCTTTGACGGTGCAGGCGAGGACGGAGACGGGGTTGTCTGCACGGTACACCTTCAGCTTTCCGGTTGCCTTGTCGGCTGATGTGATGTTTGTGTAGCTGGTGGTGGCGGAATACCACGGGTCGGTGACTTCTTCGGTGTAGACGATGCTGTTGGCCGACATGAGGATGAGGTGGACATCTGCGTCTTGTTGCCTGAGAGCGGGTATGGGTTCGAAGGCAGAGAGTTCTTCGTAGGATCCGTTGGAAATAAAGGCCTCCTGTACCCTGCGTCCAATCAGTTGACAACTCAGTCATGGTATGCAAGGCTACTTACTGTACTGTGTATCGACCACCACCATTGGATACCGACCCGGGCATGCTCGGTGCTGAGCTCCAAATCACTTCGGGATACTCGTAAGTATAGTTGACGTATCCTGTTGGCCCGTAGAAATAGCGCGAGTAGTTCATGGCAGTCTCAGGCGAATAAAACCTGCTCCGGTGTCCATCCGTCTTGATCGGAGCACAGCTGGATACGCGCCTGAACATTACGCGTTCATCAGCCGGCGCGTTCAATCCAAGGTCGGAGTGGCTGTCGAGGTAAGTCTCGAATTCGATGTTGCCGTATTCGTTCTCACAGATCCCATCCTGGAAGGGGCAACTGGCGTTGCGGTCGATTTTGCTCGGTAGCTGCGGCTGGATGAATGCGTTGCAGGATCCCAGGTCGGAGACGTTGAGGTAGCAGTCTTGAGCGTAAATAGACCACGAGCTGATGATCTGGGCGGACCAGGGATAGTAGTAAAGCACGGCATCCTCCAGGTTTTGGTTGTTGTCCGAGTCCAGAATGCCGCATTCAGAACTGCGAACCAGCACGCCGTTGGCAGCCGTGGAGATTTTGGAGGAAAACGTGCCTGCCGTGGCGAAGGCGAAAATGCAGCAGATGGCAAACCCGGCAGCAGGGAGGAGTCGCTGGGAAGGGCGATCGACAGAAGTCTTACGCCACTCCCACCAGACATTGAGCAGCCTCCAAAGGCCGCTTGAACCGTTGGCAGCATTCCGGAAGATGGCTTGACGTTGATGGTAGAGGGCATCTTGCGCTACATGTGTCGAGTAGAACTGGTGGAGTGCGAAGCAGCAGATCCTCCAAAAACAAGTGCCGACAAGGCTGACAAAGAGTGCGATGAACGCAATGAGAAGGGATCCATCCCGCTTGTTCAACGTGACGGTTGCGCCAAAAATTGGGCCATTGGTCCAGTCGGTCCAAAACCCAGTGTAGACTTCGTAATTGCCAGTATTGCTGGTTTGACGGAAGTTCTCCATGGTGTCGAGAGACTTGGGTGAAAGTATAGGGTAGTAGTCAAAACATGTGCAACTGGTGAGACCAAGAACTTAGAACAGCAGCTGGAAAATATATACTGTGCCACTCCAGAGCTCTTCTGGGGTTATACTGGGTTTACGACATGCAATGGTTTTCATGCGTTTGGGGGCTATTTTGCTGCTGCAAGATGTTTATTTTAGGTGCCAGCTGAGCAAGGACTGCGTGTTTTGGAAACGCGGTCGCGCGACGCTGCACAAAGCTGTGGAGTTCTGGGGCCGCTGAATGAAAGCAAATAAGCCTATTGGTCCTTTGCTGTCGGCGATTAGACTTGTGGGGACAGTCTCGGCAATAAGTCACAGCCTCCCATGCATGTTCGTACTATTGTTAGCACTTGCTGCTTTGTCACTTTTACAAACTAGAAAAAATTCCGACGATGCTCTTTTTTTGTATCCGGATGATGGCGGCATTTACGGAAGAAGACATGTTGTGACTACCAATGCCCCTCTAATGCTATGTCGAAGTCTGAATAGGTAGTACGCAGACCACAAGTCGACTGAACTCTCCCCAAGGTTTACTGGAGGATGCTAGGAGATAGGTGCGTTCATTGTTTTTGACAAAATCGTAAAGCGCTTACGCACACCCTGCCGCTATCGTTAATAGAAGACTTCATGCCTGCGCTTAGGTAGCCCGCGAGCGTTGGGGGCCACACGCAGCAACAAATCATCGCCGGCGAGGCGAAGTCGTGGCCGCACATATCGCGCACGTTAATTCCCTCCAGAATCCCACCTGGTCTCTGCATCACCTTCGGTCGTCGCTACATCCACTCATCTGACTTAAAAAAACAGAAATTTCTGTCCAGCCTCTGCAACCACGATGATGACTGAGCGCTGGACAGACTCTGATTTGTTGACGACAACGGAAGAGAATGAATAAAGGACGGCTGCAAGATGTTACACTGTCAGCAGCCAGAGCGACTGCAAGCAGGCAAGCACATAGACAGGCGCTGATAAACGAGTTGTGCGCGGCTGGGTTTCAACGAAGCGAAGCAGGAGTTCCGGCAGCTGCTTTCAGGGTGCGAGCGTGGGCTTACGGGAGAGGGTAGGTAGATTTTTGTGAGTATAATTTGTATGGGAAAAGCAGGAGGGTGAGCGCGGTGCAGCGCTTGACTCAAGGACGTGGAAAAAGAAAAGAAAAATGTGCATGACCGGTGAAGAGAATACGCGTGGTGCTGCAGGGGTCCAGACTGGGATGCGGAGAGACAAATGTGTGGGGAGAAAAGCGGACGGCGCTGGGTGGCTTGAGAGCGGTGGAAGGGATCAACGGCGCAAGAAGGAGGTGGCAAGATAAGGCTACGAATGGAAGAAGAGACCGGGGGCCGGCTGCGGGTATTGGCGTGCAGATGTAACGGCAGGCTGTTTAAAGCAGTGTAACATCAGGCGTAATAGTTGAGATGTCGCGTGGTTGGTTGTGGGAAGAGCGGTACCTGATCTGCGCTTTCCCTGACGCGGTCCTTATACATCGGTAGTCCCCATAGAGCTTAATCAGTTCTTAAAAATCCGGAGGTAGGGCAACAGGTGCCGGTAGGTTTTAAAGGTTAGGTATAGACCATGGTTGAGCCGTTGTTCCAGGCCATTTCGGTCCTGTGGCGGCGCTGGGGCCGACCGTCGGGTATCTTACCGGCGACTTTTGCCGTTGAAACCCGATGGACCCTGTCATTCCTCCTCAGCAGCTTTTAAGCTCGACGATCGACAGGAGGAATCTCGTCCGGTATGGCAGGACTGGAGCAGAGCAGACAGTAAAGAAAGACATGTCTTGGACGTGGCACCGCACAAGCTTCATCTTGGCGCAAGGCTTGTCGTAAAAGGCAACGAAGTCCAGACACAGGAAAAGAAGCTCGGGGCAGACGCGGAGTATTTGTGGGGCTCTCCTATAGGTACGCAACCATGCACGTGGGTGGCCGTAGGAAAATTTCCCACCCCGACGCGGCCGTTTTTAGTAATGCGAGGCGTCTCAGGAGTTGGTTTGGTTGTCCTACTTAAACCTCGTAATGAGCCATACTCTGGCGCGAAGGCATCATTTTGCGTGATCCCACCGTCGAATCGCGCGAGACGCTGCCTTTTTATAAATCCCAAAGAGGGAACCCAACTTTCTTTGTCCACTCTTACTCGCCCACTCGCCCACTCAACCACCACCACTTAATCATATTTCGAGAAGTCCCTCGCTATTTCCAGAACACGCAGCGGAATCACGAACAAAAAGGAGAAGCCCTCACCTCCCCATCCCCTACGACCGCGCCCGTCCACCAACACAACCCCCGAAGAGCCTCCGGCCACCGCAAACGTAACCGCCCAATCAACCAGCCAACCAACCAAAAAACAATACCGCCACAATGAGCGCCGCCGCCGTCGCCGAGCGCCGCCCATCCGTCCTTCTCTCCGAGCCTGAACAAGCGCCATCGCCACAAACCCAACCCGCACAGCCACCCCTCGTGATCGTCGACCGCCTCGCCCTGACACACGCTCTCAATAACCCGAACATTCCCGCATCCGATATAACGCCCGGCCACATCCTCTCCTCGCCGTACCCAGCCCCCGTACATACTCTCGACTTAGCCCGCGTGCCTGCCCCCTCCGCGCTCTTCGCGCAGGCGCTGCAGCATCTCACACCGGTCAGCGATGCGTACGCGACGCTGCCATACGAAGAGGCGTTCGACTTCGACGCGCTGTTCGCGGAATTGCGGCGGCTGGTAGGAGAAAAGGAAGGGTTCACGTGGCCGCGGACGAGCTTCTACGTCGTGGCGTTCCGGAGCGTGCTGAAAGACGGCATCGACAGCGAGCGGCTGGGGTTGCTGGACCAAAAGAGCCACGAGGAGGCGGTGGCGAGTGGAGGGTTGCTGAAGTACTGGTTCGGGGTGCCGGATGGGGAGAGGCGGAATCTTGCGACGTGTGAGTAATTGACCCTGCGTTGAATCGTTTTTTTTTGTTGGGTGGTGCGGTTGGCTGACGATGATGTGCTTGCAGGCTTTTGGCATAGCAGGGAGGACGCGGCGGCTGGTGGGAAGGGACCGTGGCATAAGAAGGCGAGGGGCGCGGCGATAACGATGTATGAGAGCATTCGGTTTGAGACGAGGCGGCTGACGGTTGAAGAGGGGGTGACGGGGTGGACTTGGGAGGATTGGAAGGATAACTGAAGAGACTGAGACGGTAATAGAAAGATTTGGGTTAAGAGACTGGAGATGAAGAATTTGAAAGACAAGAGAGACTACGAGACATGGCAAACGGCATATTGGTAGAGCAGATCAGAGCGGCTCCGGGTATTTGCGGCGTGCGGGGGTTCTGATTGGCTGGCGTTACAATCCTCATTTTATTCGGCGAAAGCGAGCGAAACTATAGAACCATTCATTGAATATATGAACAATCCGTAAAGCCTCAGTGGAAGGATACTTCGATGTCCAGAGTGATGCGAGAATGTGTAGTAGCCATCTTCTGTCACCCGTAAACGTAGCAGAATGGCCCCTCAACAGTACTCAAAGCGTCACCCAAACGCATCGCCGGCGCATTGACCCCCAGATCGATCAAATCATCCAACGTTCCGTTCCTGGACGGAGGCGTGTTCTCAATAGTTATGGTTCCGGCAATAGTATGCGTGCGACGCGTTGGGTCAAGGTTCTGCCAGATCCACCACACACGATCAATTTGGGCGTGGTGCAGGTAAAATGCCGGGTCTCCAGGGCTCGCAAACAAGTCGCCGCCAGGGTCTCCGCCAATCGTCATGTGGCCGCCCTGGGATATATTAGCATTTAAGGGTGGTTGAAGTTATCGTCCGGATGTGCATGTATAATTGTTTAGCATCTGGTGGCAACTTACAGCGTGCACGCCGAAGAACTTGGAGCTGATAACACCTTGCATCCATCTCTGGAATGTACCAATGTCATCATGCTCACGAATGAGCCAGGCCGTGTCATTATCTTTCGTCCAGGATGAGGAAATGTACTGATTGATATCGCGACGCAAGCATCGAGGATTGTAGCCCAGTCCGTCCGGTTGCGGGTTCGGCTCAATGCCCGGCATCGTGCTCGACACCGGCCCGAGATTGACCGTCCAGCTGCGGCAATCAGCAACATTCGATGAGGGCTGGCACTTGACTTACTTGTTGAAAGGTCCGCTTGTCACACAACCGCCTCCATTACCAGCCGGAAAAACGTAGTTCGGAGTGTCGCAGTTGGGGATGCACAAGTCGCCGTACGGAACGTGAGCGCCATCTCCTCCCAAACTCGTTTCGCTTCCGTCGAAAATCGGGGAGTTGACGGGATCGAGTGCATACTTGCCCCAGCTCCAATACTGCAACATGTCAGCCGCGCGTTATGCTGTCAATGAGAGTTCGTGAACAGACCGGTAGCTGCCCCGGATATCCACACTCCTCCTGCAGTGCTTTTTCAAAAGTCCGAATGTAGTAACGGTGCCATCCGAGGAAGTTTGCCTGCTGATGTTAGCTATGATAAATGTGACAGAATATGCTCAGACGAACTGTAGCATGTATGCTCAGCGTTTGGTTGATGTGCGTTGCAAGAAAATCGTCGAAACGGTTGCGGACGCCGGGAGCCAGCTCCGCCGGAGTCAACGGTTCCTTCTCCGCAAGGCACTTCACTGCGCCGATGAAGTCCGTCTTTTCTTCTGGAGACAAGCTTCCCCTACAACAAGCAGTCAGCTCCTACCATGATGCTCGTTGGAGAACGTCATACCATTCTCTTCGAATAGGAGCTGTGGTCGGATCGCAAGCCGAGGGTGTCCCATGACTCGAAAAGTGCTTCGTCAGTCTCTCAAGTGCCTTTACCGCCAATCCATCTACTTGGCTCTCGGCCCTTGGCGCTGCCGCGCAACAGCAGGCAAACACGTGAAAAACCAAAACCAGCAACGGAACCATCGTGGAAATGAATTCTTCGCGATGCTAGATCGCAACGGCCGAGGCACTTGCAGCTATAAATGTACCTCGTCGAGATGCGACGCTCATGCGATGGAACCGCCCTAGTCATCAAGTGTGGGTATTCGGGAATCTGGATGCGATAAAGGCCATGCGGCTCAATTTATCCAAGCGAGATCGGCTTCATCAACGGGGCGGCAACCCATGCTATTCGTCCAACTTCAATCCTTCAGCCATTTGTAGCTATTCTCTGCGATTTGTGGCGACTAACAGAGGCTAGCTATGTAAAGATCTTCAAACCAATGCATTCAGTGACCTGAGAGCACACACCGATTTCTCCATCTATCGTCTTTAGCAGTTTTAGACGCAGAGCGACCTGGAGGAGACCGACGGCGAGCTCGCAACGCGAAGTGAGACGGGGGACTATTAGCATCTGTGCGGTGCACTCGAAAGGTGTACTCTAGAATTTCCCAGCGACAGGTTTCCTCGCGCTGCGCCTACAGCGCAATTAGAGATGCGGAGGGATGGTAGAGGGTAGATATTCCTGATCGTCCTTCTGGGAGTGAATGGTCCTCAGTGGCGGCTGATGCGAAAAGGAAATTTTTCGCGACAATGGATCCAATAATGGCAGCTACCAGGCTGCTGCGGCACAAGCTGAGAGCAGGCATTGATGGCGGTAGGATCAACCTGGTCGACCCGACTGCTATCTAAACCTGTGATGGGCGCCTTCCCAGGTCGAGCCGGGAAGGGACCGTAACATCTTACCTCCGACGTGACTAGCAAGTAGTTTATATATTTAACAGCGCTTAAGCGGGACGGAAACCCCCGGGAATCTGGTTTAAGAATACGATGAATGATAAGGGATTCTTTAAGCGGGTTAAGTTTGGTGTGCAATCGCGTCATGAATGCATGTTGTTCATTCGCCTAGCAAGCGTACTATAGTGGACAGAAAACGCTTACGCAGCTGCTCAGATGCTTCAAAATCGGCCTTGATTGAACAATTGGATAGCAAGGTTCATTCTACCTTCAGGACAAAGTAATAGAATATTGTCTGGTTAAGACATGGCAGGTTGTTGACAGTTGACGCGTCGTGACCCGATCGTGTTGCACTCGCTTATCCGATACGGTATATCAGCTGCCTTATCTATTAAAAGGGTTCGTATCTAAAGTTTCGGCGTCGCAACGAGTAATTAAGCTTTTAGTTAAGAATAATCGGTTGCTTGAATTCTAATAAAAGAGTTCGTATCCGTTTGCGGATTGGCGTATTAAGAAGGCATTTTCTTCCTCTTCTGGCTTACGTGGTGTCGAGTGGCCTCTGGCAAGACAAGACCAAATTCTGGAGCGAGGAATGCCGGTTCTACGCTCAATTTGGCATAGATTGAAGCCTTGCTAGTAGAGAGTAAAGGTTTTAGTAGACTCTCTGTCTGTGAGCCTGCGCTGGGGTGTCTTTGACACGGGTGGAAGGCGTGGAGGGCCAGCAGGTTGGCTGGCCAAGCTGGCCTGGGCTGGCATAGATGAAAAACTTTAAAAGATGCTGTGTCATCAACAGTTGGGGAATAGCGCGGTTTCACACGTGAAAACAGGGGTGTTCTCGGGTTTTCCGGACGACACAGCTCCACTGGCGACCCGAACATGATCCCCCTTGTAATAATCTAAGTTTAATAAAAGGCTTCCGTGTTTAGAGTTTCAGTCTCGTGACGAGTGGTCTAGATTCTTGTTACCTGTCTCGGAGAAGACGTGTATAAAGCAGCTGTAGATGCAGTAAACTCGGCCCTCACAGTTCCAACGGTTTTACATTGATTCTTCATCCACCTCAGACGAAATACTATTATCCGTAACTCCAACGTTTCAATCCAATCATTCTTCCAATCTATCAGAATGGTCGCCATCTCAATCGTTGCCGTCGCCGCACTTCTCTCCTCCACCGCCTACGCCTGGACCGGCCATGACGCACCTAAATGCCGCTCGATCACACCAACCTCTTCCTCAAAGGAGGATACGGCCATCTTAAAGGATCCCAATGTTTCCAAATGCTTCACGTTGCTCAACATCTGCATGGGCTACTATCACCCAAGCCCATCTGAGCTGTACATCACCTTGACCAACAAAGCGCACAACGCGTTCGTGTGCTTGAGCGACGAAAACGGCTGGCGGAGCTGCGTACAGACTAGCGCGGGTGTTCCTTGCAATGCTGGAGTCCCTGTGAACGCCTTCAAGATATACACGTCCCTGTATCCCACTCTATCGTAGCTTGGATATCTAAACCAACGTCTTGTCATTCAGCAATGGTGTCAGGGTTCCTGGGTGGGTGCCTAAGGCACCCACGCCAAGACCCGGTGGTTAAGAGGCTCGAGAGATCGAGCCTCTTCACCCTCCTCGTAGCACCTTCTTTCATAGTCCCAAATTGAGATTGTTCAGCTCGCCTTGCCAGCTCCCTGACAAATGGTTTTACATGCTTTCTTGAGACCGGTAATGAAGATGATTTACCATTTTGACGCATCATTTTCCTGCATACGCACAACGTACCTCAGGCCCGCCTTGGCCTAACCCTCAATACCGCTCTCGAGTCCAATCAATTCGCAAGTTTTGAGTAAAGTTCCAGCAGTGCAAGAGTGGTCTTGTATTTGTGCTCTTCCATTGGCAGCAGAAACACACACTGTCCAAAATTACAAGCGTGATCCTATCGTCAAGATGGCGAGTTTAGCGAGTATATACGGTATACGGAATACGGTATACGGAGGTACATTTGCGATTGCTTACTAACAATGGCCCTGTAATTGATTGGTAGCGGCGTTTCTTAGCTGTTTGCTCGGGGTGCACCGTTAATAAAAATAATTTTCCACTTCCAATCGACTTTTCGGTAGTAGCTCTCTTGAACCATACGTCACGACCCTGTAAGAAACTATGACTGAGGCGAAGGATAATCGATTGGCTATTGCATAACACGTAGCTAATCGAGCAATAAAGAGTATGCAGTAAATGCAGCGCAGCGGGTTATCGATAAGAAATGCATGTGAAACTAGTTACTAACTCAACACTTACTAAGGGCAGTCCGAACGCTGTTTCGAGGTGTTTCGATAAACGAGAAAACGCATGAGCATCCCCGGCGCCTTTCCGGAACCGGCAGTTCTACCGCCAAGGGGATGCTCCACCACCAAAACATTCAGGAAGCATGCAGCCGCGAAGCAGCCGGGGAAGACCTACACATCCACGAACGTGCAGCCGCACGCATCGATTATATTACATGAACACCCTTCCGGAGATTAGCGAGCCAACACTCCCGATGAACGTATATATGAGGCCTACCTGCTGAAGATGCTCCTCATACCAGATCATCTGCAACTTCGAACTCCATCATGAAGCTTTCAACCTTTTTGGCCAGCGTTGCCACCACCACGGCGCTCACCGCCCATGCGCAAACCCTCACCGGCAAGGCCGAAGGCTTCGCATCCGGAGTCACTGGTGGCGGCGATGCCACGCCCGTCGAGCCTGCCGACATCGACGAGCTCACGAAGCTGCTCACAAGCGACGAGCCCCAGGTCATCGTCCTTAAGCAGGAATTCGACTACACGGATTCAGAGGGAACGACCGACGGAACCGGATGCGTGAACTTCGGAACCGGCGAAGCTTGCCAGCAGCAAATCGACATGGGCTCGGGTTGTGGAGACAAGGACTCGGTTCCGATCACGTACTACACGGCAGCGAAAACTCCCATTGACGTGGCCTCCAACAAGACGATCATCGGTGTTGGCAGCGCTGGTGTGATCAAGGGCAAGGGCCTGAGGTTCAGAGACGGCGCCTCGAACATCATTGTGCAGAACATTGCCATTACCGATCTCAACCCGAAGTACGTGTGGGGAGGTGATGCTCTCAGCTTCGACGAGAGCGATTTGATCTGGATTGACCATGTCGAGGCAAGTTTACCGACGAGGCAGATGAGCCGTTTATGGGGACTAACACTCGGGACCAGACCTCGCTGATTGGCCGCGTGCACTATGTGTTCGGCTTCGGTGCCAACTCTCGCATTGAGCTCACCAACAACTTCCTCAATGGAAGCACCCCGTATTCGACAGGCTGCGACGGCTATCAATACTGGGGCATGGAGCTCGTTGGCGCCGACGACACTATCACGTTCAAAGGTAAGCGGGCACAACTTCGCCTAGCAGAACCAAGCTAACCGAGTCTTTCAGGCAACTACCTCTACAAGGGCTCTGGCCGCAGCCCCGCTCTCAGCGGATCGACAGTCTTCCACGCCTGCAACAACGTGTGGGAGGACAACAACGGACATGCGCTCGAGGGCAATGTCAACGGCCAGGGTCTGTTCGAGGGCAATGCCTTCATCCAGATTCCGACCATTACGAGCGATAGGAACTGGGAGAGCGGACAGCTCTTCACCTCCCCCGATGACTCGACCAATGCCAAATGTGAAGAGTACATTGGTCGCGCCTGCGTCACTAATGTGTTTGAGGACTCTGGCGCTTTTGATTACACTGATACGGCCTTTATGGCGAACCTCACGGACTTGACGGTCGCGCCGTGCGGTTCCGCGAGTGACGCCAAAGCAAGCGTTCCATCAAGCGCTGGCAACACGCTCTAAGTCCGATTCGAGGGTACCGAACAAGATTTAATCAAAATGTAAATAGTCCGTTGCTGTACATAATTGCAGGCAGAATGACAAAATCATTCTCTTCATTTGCCAGTGCCGTGAAATCCTCACATGAACGGAAGCCGTCCGGGGGAGGACCGCTGAAAAATCCCTTCCGCCCCTGAACTCGATTGCCGTGAAACAGATCGCCAGCATGCGAAGCAATGTGGGGTTTGTGGCCCGTCGTTCAGGGGTCCAGGAGTTCTCTTGCGCAACCGGCTTGGCAGCATCACCTTTTGCGGATGCGCAGGCTATTTTGGTAAACGAGGGCACACTGGAAAGAGGTAAAGAGGCCGTGCACCCTTGCGGCTATTACTTGTGCGTCAGAAACGGAGTAGAAATACCCCACCACTGAAACACAACCTAAAACCCACTCCCGGGCCAGTGTAGGTTTTGACCGATGGCGATCTTGCTATCTCCCGAGAAACTACAGTTGGCCAAAATTGAGTCACGCGGGCAGAGACGAAGGTGGAAGCCCCCTTGAGAATGCACTCAGTGGGAGAACATGTTCAATTCCTGAGTAGATCGGGGGGGGCAAGATTACCCTTATCGTTATTTGTAGAGCTGCAAAGTTGTTTAAAGATAAGTACGAGTGCGAATACGACGAAAACGTTGCTAACGTTTCAACTAAAACGTTTCAAGACGTGGAAGTGATCATCCTCTGAATTAATGCATTGAGAATTAGTTCTTTCGTTTACTTTACTGAAGCACTCATTGTTTGTCTAACCAGCCACATATTATTTGCAGTGGTGTAACGCTACTTTTTACAGTATTCTATGCCGCGTGGTTGTTTTATCAGAACAAGAGAAGGGAGAAGGAGGTTGCGGAGCAGGGTTTTGCGGACACGTCTGGATAGCATTTCCATCAAATATGAGCTTACAGATGTTGAGAACATCTGTTTTCGGTATCGATTCTGAGGCAGGCACAGACTTTCACAGGGACATTCCATACCAATTCAAGAAATATTCAAAGAGACCGGGCATTGTTTACCAAGTAGCATGGCAGGAGAGCTACCCTTTTATAGACAATGATGTCTCCATTTCCCCACCTACACCCCAAAAAACTCGCCCTTGGTGACAAACGCCGCCTTCCCCGCCAGCCAAACCTCTATAACCGAGTCTCCCCCCTCGCTCAACACAACCTCAACCCTGATGAAACTCTGCCTCCCAATCTCCGTCCCCTCCTCCAAATCGAACTTCAACCTCGCATTACCCCGGCCCGCACCTCTCTGCAAAGCCAAGTAAGAGCAAAGCGCACTCGACCCGCTGCCACAAGCCGGATCCTCCAGGTTGATAGCAATCATGCGGACGCGGAGCTTGATCACATCATCCGCCTCTTCCAGGATCCTGTAGTACATGACGCCAACGAAGCTGGGGCCCCATCCGTCATCCAGAGCAACCTCCGGACTCGGCCCGGCCTTCACGGCCGCGAAGACGTCGTCGTTCTGCGTCAGGTCGCACAAGACGTACGTGACGCCCTTGACGATGGAGACAGCGGGAAATGGGGACCATTGCGGGACGCGGGCGACCAGCGAGCGGAGATGCGGCTGCGTCGGGAGGAGCTGGTCCCAGGTGGTCGGGGTTTGGGTGTGCTGGTGGACGTTGTGCGGGATGGAGGCGTGGACGAGCTGGGCGGCGGGGTCGTGGACGAGGGAGACGGGGCCGGAGAGGGTGTGGAGCACCAATTTGTTTTGTTCGGGGGGGTTGTGGTGGGTTGGAGAGTCATCTTTGGGCAGGGAAAAGAGGTAGTGGCCCGTGCCGATGATTGGATGGCCCGCGAAAGCCATCTCGGCTTCGGGCGTGAAGATGTCGACGGCCCATGAGGAATCGGCGGGTCGGCGGTGGAGGAAGACAGTCTCGGAGAAGTTGAACTCCCGGGCTATCTCCTGTTTGCGGGATTTGGTGATGAACTCGGCATCTGGAAGCGTTACGATGGCGAGCTGGTTGCCGCGGAACCTGCGAAGAAGTCAGCCAAAGAAGAAGTATGTGGGATGAACTCAATATACCTCTCTTCGGTGAAGACGTCGACCGTGACTATTAACCGTTAACTACCAGTATACCAACAGGGTCCTGTGGAAAAGGTTCGCACCAAAGGGAATGACCAGAGCCGTCATTTTGGAGATGGGTGAGTGGCTACGTCAAACTACGCAGTAAAGGGAGTGCATGGTTTAAAGAAACACTCTGACTCATCTCGTTCGCTCCAAAACTTCCCCACATTCCCCGAAAATGGAACTTCACCCCGTCGGCTGAACACCGGTCATTCTTGGCATCGTGCAGTGGGAGGAGTCATATTTGAGGTTCGAGGTATTTACAGAGCGCTGTCGGTTGCTTGAGCCGAAAGTAAGCGTGAATTTGTTTTTTGTTCACATCATGGGTAGATGAAGCTGCCATCCGGACGAGAATGTTGAATAAAAAATTTTACATACGCGTCCGGACGTTAGCTTCACGTACCCGTGTATGTTCTAATTTCTGACTCTACCATAAGCCGCCGATATGGTTGGAAGAGAGAAGTACTAAGTGGGCGGACCGCACACTGAATTACCAACCATCTATGAGTTTCGGGAGGAACTGCCTTTTGGAAATTCTACTAATGAATATCAAGTTTTCTCCCAGCCAAAAGACTCGGGACTCGGCGCGAATTGCTGCTCCGCCCGGCAAAATTGGCAGAGGTGAGCTGGGCAAAGTAACGAGAGGGGAAACGGTGGACATTTCGTGCAGATGTGCAATGATCAACTATTCAAGTAGAGAAACGAAAGGGTAGGTATTAAGATCTTTTGGTGGAAGATGGGGAGCGGCATCACAAGGGGCCGCTGTGGTACGATGACGTGGATAGGGTCCCGATATAAAAATTTGTCGACCCCAAATCCTCAACCTCCATTGCTACATCTTCGGCCGCTCCTCCAATGCATCTATCCAGCTTGGCTTTCCGCCGGCTCAGAGATGCGAGATTGCGCGTTGCTCTATCGCCGCGTCTCCCATCATCATTTCGCTTTGGCCATATCACACGTTGCCTTCATGACGGGCGGAATGAGAACGATGCAGACGACGATGACGATGACGATGATGAAGATGATGGGATAATGCAGGAGGATGAGGTGCCCGGGTTTCGAAAGAATTTCTTCCATGTGAGACTCGGCCAAGTTTTCGAAGGCAGATACAAGACAGTGCGAAAGATGCAGTGGGATCGCTTCTGGACACTTTGGTTTTGCTTAGACCAGAGGTGTGTCATGGCTTCCACGCTTTCGACGCGTGGCTGATATGTGTGTAGGACAAATCGTTACGTGAGTCTGAAAATCTCGACCGCGATGCCACCTTCATCAAAAAGACATGAAGTCACCCGAGAACTGCGTGCATACCGCCGTATTCACGCAGTCAAATCTTCTCATCCTGGGCGCACTTTCATCCACCCCCTTCTGGACACGTTTGACATCCCCCGTTCGGACGGAAGGTTGCACAGATGCCTTGTATATCCGCCTATCGTAACCTCCTTGGTAGGCTACGAAATCGACGTGAAAGCCGAAGTACACTCAGTCCTTCAGATGCTCGATTTTCTGCATACCGAGGTGAACATGACCCACTGCAGTACGTAAACGCAGAGCTTGCCAGAGACTTCGCGTCAGTACGGCTGACTGAAATACATATATCTCGCCGTTTGATGTGAATCGGGGAGTTGACGACCACCGGCTCTACGATGTTGTGGTGGAGGACGAAACGAAATGGCCGAATGAGCCCTTTAAGATCAAAGGCAATCCTGCCTATACGACAGATGCCATTTACGCCACAACAAAGAGCCTGGCACTCCCTACGCTCCGCGGATTCGAGCGCTCACGCATCGGGTCGACTCATAATCGCACGTCTGACCTCATCCTCTCACCGGCCTGTCAAGCACCGGAACTGGTCCTGCAGACGCGCATGTGGACGCATGCCGTCGATATATGGAATCTCGGCTCCTTTGTAAGTCCTCCATCCTGGCAATTCCCAACACTGTTGCTAACGAAACGCACCAGGCTTGCCGGCGGGCGCAATCGCAGGACCCTCTTTTCTGGCCGTACGATGAGCGGCGTGAGTATTCCGCGTACCTTCATCTGGCGCAAATCATATCTCTCCTCGGGCCACCACCACGTCAACTTCTCGACCAGAGTCCTCTCTCGCCTCTCCTTTTCAACGCTGCCGGTACGTACAATCCGTTCCTCTTCAGCCTCCCGTCATGATCTGAGCTTATCGAGCTTTAGGTCACTTGAAACCCCCCGTAGAGCTGGATTTTGACGGGATCGACTCCGCCTTGCACCCGATACGGAAAGAGCGGCTTGGCTACTTCTCAAGTATGAAGGAGGTGGCCGGCTCGACGTCAACGGCGAGGGAAGCATATCCAGAGAAGCCGCTTCCAGCACGGTCGTTGGAAAATCTGGCGTGCGTGCGTGATCAGGGTCGAGACGCAGACGATTTTGCCGATTTCGTGCGCCGCACGCTGGTTTGGCAGCCTGAGGAGCGGGCAACTGCGGCTGAGCTCCTGCAGCATCCGTGGCTCCGAGAATTCCGCTCAATAGGTGTGTTCCGTAGAATATATTCTACGCTACCTTCTTATACAGGTAGTTGAGTTTGGATTACGACCAGCCTCCAGTCTGAATTACGTCTGGACTACCCTGGCGCCGCATGATGTTCCACTACGCTTGCGCAGTTGTTTCCTTGGTCTAACAGCAAGCAATAGTGTAAAACCTAAATAGCTCGACAGATTGTTATGCCAATTTAGATTAAATCAAACGGAAATTTCTTCATAACGGAGTCGGCTAGAAATCAGAGTAAAAAGTCCAACAAGAGGTGTATACCAGAATTGGTAGCCGTCTCTTACGACAGCGTAGGGAATAAACTAGTGACGCTGGTACTTGCAAATGAATTGGCAAAGAGCCAAGCAACAGTACCCCCAGCGCGCCGTCATCGATTCCGTCAAAACCTTCAGCCTTCTAGATTACTCGGAGCAGTAACAGTAGTCAGCAAACCGGCAATATAGCTTGCGTCGTTTCACCGCATGAAGAATTAGGAACGCGCCAGACTTTCTTCCACTTAACCATATTGATGGCCGGTTATCAGTATGTATGTGAAAAAGAAGTTTGAGCAGTATTGAACATTGACTGCAGAATCCACTAATGAAGCTTTGAAAAGTAGATAACTGCAGTTACCTCTACCCGATGCTAAGCATAGCTGATTAAGCCACATTAGCACTCAACCGAGTATAAAATACTAATTCCGACTGTACCAAGCCATATATGTTGGAACTTAGACCCTGAAATATCATCTGAGATTGAGAAGGTCCGTAAATACGTGAAGGGAAGAAGCGGGTTTGTATACACTGATTGAAACGAAATAAGTTGAATACGGGAAAGTATAGGTCCTGGAGTGATCACAAAGGCTAGAGAGCGAGCCGTTGCTCACTTGAGCGATCTTACTCATCTTTAAAGATCCATCTCGCGTGAGTCCCCATCGGACTGTGGAAGGAGAATGAACAACCACTCAACTCTCCAGAGAAGCAGCCGCAGTCTATCACTAGATCGGAGGTAAATGGTGGGTAGAGGGTCATATCCCCGCAGACTTTTTCCTGACGACAAAGCGCGGACACGACGGTATGGGAATTCCGGGTTCTGATAGTCGGGTTGCCCATAGAAGTGTATTTCGCCACCAGACCGCTTGGACAACCGATATATAATGGCTTTTCTGTCTGTGTAAAGATATTCATTAGGTAGTGAATGTGCAAATCTGCGCCAGTCTACTTACTTTGGACATCCTCAAGGTTTCGCACCTTCAATAGTTTGGTGCCCTCGTTCTCATCGTACACGAAGACCCGTTCGCCCCTGTAACCAAGGCAACGAGGCTCTGATCTTTTCCCTGGAAACTCTGGTTCTGCTTGTATCCAGTGCGCGTGAAGATTGTCTGATTTGGACCCTCCTTGAGCGACAGAATGTGAGTTGCGAATTACATTCAGCGCTTCCTGTAGGTCTCTTGCAACGCTCCTGGTTTTGTCAAGATCAAGACAATCCACCTTCTGGTTCAGGAGCGATTGTATGTATTCTTCGTTCATCGTTGTCGAAAGTATTGCACCGCAATACGGTTCTGTTGGGCTGAACTGGTAAAAAGGCGGACTTCAGAGTGGGTCGCATGAGGAGGCGAAAAGCCTTCAGTATCAGCGGGAACGCACTTTTTATGATTTATTTCTGACCGGGAACCCAGCTGACAGCTGTCTGTCACGTCAAACTGACCAATGGAACGTCGATGGCAAAGCCGTGTGGATGAAAATCCAAGCCTTAGCGCCGGTTCGATGGCAGGGACGTGCGCAAATAAGAGCTGCAGCATGCACTCTGCGCGTCAGAAAAAGCCACAGTGTCTAACTGTGTTCAGTGTCTGTAGGCGGGTGTGGATCCGGTGATGAGATAAGGCATCCTCGGTAAAGTGGTGGGGCTGTTTCGGCAGACAACCCCAGTGAAAAATCGGCAACTTCAGCTGTGATGGGGCTATGCAGCTGTTGTGTAACATTGGATGTCGCCTTTAGGTAATTATCACGGTACCACGTCAGCTTCCCATGTCAGATCATGCCTGATTTTGCCCTTATACGCGTGGCCCCGCTACACGTCATCGATCATGTGCATGAAGCGGCCCCTCAGTATGCACAGTCAACGGCCCAGGGCCTCTAAAGAGAAGGAGGCTTCCTATGCCCACTGTCTCCGAACCTGCTGATAGGTTCAATTGCTTTTGCTCCCATGTAAAAGATCAAGCAATTTGATCACTATGCTGTGGGGCTCAACAAGAGATTTCAGCCGCATTCCATTAACCGGGGTGAAAATGGGGCTCAAAGCAGTAAAAAAGCATAGCCGGACAGGCGTTTGTCCTTGATACTCATGCATCTCTTATTCGCCGCACAGTGCGAATCGTTCACTAATGTTTAAGTCTGAACAATCGATGCGCACTTCCCTCCATATGGCAGAAATAGCGATCCGGATCGAACAACAGCAGGCAGCCGAAACCAGTCTGGACGACAGCTCAGCTTGGAAAGATGAGTTACTAGTACTCTCGTTTGGTATAACCCTCTTTTTTGATGTTCCTCGGCTCTTCTAATTGCTCGTAGACGGGGGAGGAGTTAGAGGGTACGCAAGCCTTCTGCTATTGCAGAAGCTCATGGAGGAGATCAGAAGGGTGGAAGAGTCGCGTGGATATACCGAGAGCTTCGGTATTACGCATAAGTCAGAAAAGAAAGAAGGAGAGCGCTTCTTGCCATGCCACTACTTCGACTACATGTTTGGGACCAGTACAGGCGGGTATGTTATCACCAGTCACACCTCGCTTTCAATCACTTTAGATTGTTCGTTTTCCTGACCATTTTGAATAGTCTCAACGCCATAATGCTAGGGAGACTACGGATGAATGTGGACGAGTGCCTTCAAAGGTATCCCCAAATGTGTCAAAACATCTTCGGCAAGCCCAGAAGAAGCCTGAAAGGACTGTGGCGGGCAAGATACAATGCGAAGTACCTTCGTAAAGAGATCGAAACGATTGTGAAAAGCAAAACTCCGCAATCAGAACACCATAATATGGAAAGCAAGTGGCGAATGTTTCCTTCGCCAACTGATTTGTGCCGAACGTAAGTTATATTGCTTATCCGAAGAGCTGAGATTTCATTCTTACACAGATTAGTGCTTGCCTTTCGAGTCGTATACAAGAAAGGGAAATCAAAGCTGAACTCTTCCGAACTTATCGACAAGGAAGAGGACCGAGGCCTAACGACCCGATTCTTGACTCGGGACCTGCAAGCAATTACACCATCTGCAAGGTCGCACGTGCCACCTCCGCGGCCCCTACGTACTTCAAAGAAACCAAGATAGGTCGGAAATCATACATCGATGGCGGTGTAAAATCCAACAACCCGTCGCCAATAGCTATCACCTCACTGTTCAAACACCACGACCGTCTGCCGTCGTTTCTGGTCAGTATCGGGACTGGAAAGCCGGTTGGAGCGACTGGAGAAGCAACGCAGCATCCTATACAACACTCGCCCCGGTCAGACTATCACGATGAGGGTGAATCGTTAGGCGACGATGCCTCTACCGACAGCGATGACGACGGCGACAACGACGACGAAGAACAACAGAGCCCCGGGAAACTGCGAAAGTTCTGGAAGGGATTCCGATCCGCAGTTCGACTGCATTCAGTCAGAAGGGTTTTCAAGAGAAACAAGAGACTGTTTCACACATTCTTACAAGAGCTGACAGAAACCCAAGGCCAGCACTTCACAGCGAAAGACAGAATGAAACAGGAAAGGCGAAACAGCAAACATAGGAAGGAGAACTACATTCGGCTCAACGTAAGCTCCAAGGTCGGTAGAGTGAGGCTTGACGAATGGAGTGACAAAAATAGGGATCTGATGGTGCAAGAGGTAGAGGATTTCACCGAAAGGAGGCGAGAAAACATTCGTAGATGTGCCGAACATCTCGTCGATGTTCGACAAAGACGGATGAAGAACTGTTATCGTTGGGAGAGATGGGCATACGCGAAATTGTTTCGTTGTAACCAAGAGAAATGCTCAGATACTCTTAGCAGCACAAGTGAGATGGTCAATCATCTCAAAAAGAAACATAGGATGACTCCACCAGACGGTGTTGATGCATCCAGGAACTGGGCATTTGTGAATGCCACCTTAGTCTCCCTGGAGATACCCGGTGGACCATGGTAGTCATATTCCTCACTCCCTTTCATTACATATTTGTGTGTAGCTTAGAATTCGGTCTGGGTAATGTTATGCTTAACATAATTTAAAAAAATCATTTTGAAGTCAGAATTATACTATTAGAACACCGTCGCATCTATCTCCAACGCAACGCCGCATATTAGCTGATGCGGCGGGATCCACTGCGCAGTTCTCCGTAACTGCTCTACGGTCAGATAGCCGAACAAGGGTGCCTGCCTCGCCACCATGCTTGCTGACAAAAGTGCATAGGGCGGCAGCGGTGTAGAACCTCCGTGGAACCACCTGAATTAGTAGATTCGCCATCAGATTAGCACATCAATTTAGGGGGTTGTGTTCATGTAAAATATTCGGGAATTTCAACCCAAACACTCTTATGGTTGCTTTCCATATTAACTATTCTAAAAGTAAAATTTCAAATACTCCTACTATCTCGAGTCCCCTATCTGCTAACGAGCCTCAGAGTGTATCAGCGATCACCGTGGTTCTTGTCATCCCCCGGGTTTGTTCCCCTAGCCTCTTCCAGCCATTCCGCATCTTATTATCCTCGAGGCTTCCCTCAGCCCTGCCCCAGTATTGCGCCGCCTGGTTTTCCTGCGTCTGGCTGGCCTCCTCGGAACTTGTTGTGAAAGCCTTCGTGACATTAATGCGCAGGCCGTCGTTTTTCGCATCCACAAGTTCATGAACGCTCCCGCCGCTGCTGCCGTGTTCGAGGTCCCGAACGCTCGCCTCATCCTTGTTGCTCCAGCTCTCGTTGGACCTCAACTCAACCTCATCACCCCGCTGCGTGTGCCGCGGCTTGCTTGTGCCAGTACGCGATGCGCTGCCGCCGCTTTTACTGCCTTGAGCCAGCAGCCGTCTGCGGCTGAACAGCGGCTTGATGGCGGGAGCGTTCACGACGAACATGGATACGAAGGTCTCGCGGATGGCCCACGCGCCAGACGTTCCGATCCTACGAATATCGCCGACGGACATGATGCAGCGGATAATGGCGGCGGTGACGATGAATAGAGATGAGAACAGGAGAATCGCTACCATGATCTTGCGCTTGATCGGGATCTGCGCTTTCCACAAGATTGGGGCGGGGATGAAGATCATGAGCCCAAGGTCAGTGCTGCGGCGACGTAGTAGTTAGTAGGTGGTGGAGAATTGCAGCCGGAGAGACTTACGAGACATTGAGAATGAGTAAGAGGTAGTATCTCACGTAGATTAAGGTGCATTGATCTACACGTATGAGTTAGTATGTAGTGCGTTGTAGTTGACTTTTGCTTTCTCCATCGTACCTCCCGCGTAAGGCTTGATCTGCCAGTTCCTGTGGATCGGACGGCAGTTAAGTAGGATCTGTAAAATCATAGCAAGGAAAGAAGCGCCAACACCGATAGCAAGCCACCGGACTAGTCTTTGCTCCTTTAGACCCTTCCTTTTGATGACAATTTGATTAGCCTTATCCAACCACGACAGTCTTCAGAGTTAACTCACGTTAAGCGGTTGTAGAAGAATAACACTGAGCCCTTCAGACACCATATCAGGCATATATAGCTTATCCATGCCGAGAAGAGGGCTTTAGAGCCTATTCCCAACGAATAGACTTGGGCATCTGTGAGAGCATTCGCTTCCTCTTCAGTAAGGCCGATGAAGGTTCCATAAGCGTCTATTGCTCAAACGTTAGTATGAAGCTTAAATCCTTGTATACTGATATAAACTTACTCAGCAGATGAATGGTTGTCGCCTCTGAAGTCCAAAACAACTATGTAAGAGTTATTAAGTGTCTTCTACTTGGAAGTCTGGATAATAACTGACCATGGCGAGTCCTGATAGCAGGTCATCCCAGTACAAGTTCCGCCAACCAACGACGCGAACACGGGCGTACAGTCGCAAGAATGACACACATACCCCAATGGGATACATAATCCATTGCTCTACAAGGATAGGCGGAAGGGGGGCCATGGCCGATGCTAAAGAAGAGTCTGAATCGGGATTCCCTCTGAGGTGGAGGTACGTGTTTTTCTTGGTCTCCACTACTTCGATCGGGTAGGATTTATATTTGGCCCTGCATTTGAGATCAGGAGTTCCTGGTACAGGAGGTGTGCTCCTGAGGTAGTAATTTGAGTCGGCCTTATGCGCCGGTAACACGGCTCGCGCTAGCCTTGCTGCCGTACCTGGCTATGGGTGATCCTGCAGCGCCATGGCACTAAGTTCCGGATGCTGGAAGTGACTCCTCTGGGATTTTCTAGAGTGCTTCCAGATATGCATAAACGAAGCTAATCGATTATAAATTTATGCCTAAGGCCAGAGTTCTAGGTATCTATCGTGCCTTTGCCTAGTTTTGTTATCTGAAACTTTGTGTCCAAAAACACTTTACATGGTGGCGTTGTTGACATAAGGGACCCGTTGCTTGTACAAAGGATTATACGGCATTAGACTCGTGCACGCTTATCTATGGCCCGGCGCGGGATTATAAGCTACTTAGTGGCGCTCGACGGGCGCACATTAAGCTTTGTTAAGCAGTAGAAAAGTTTCCGAAGCTAAACGAGAAGAATGAAAATCGGCGTAGAAATTCTCCGTAACTCAGCATCAAACATGCACGGAATCGGCTTCAATGCCCCCGTAAATCCAGCGACTAAGTGTTAGGGTGAGTGAGTAGAATGATTTTGCTATAGTCTACGGCACACCTCCAAATCTGGACATCTTTATTAGATACCTCAAGTACCAAAGTTCGTATGCGTGCTTTCATTGTCGGGCGCCGGCGCCACGGCACTATTTTCACAAGCATCAATGTTTGGGCTTCTAGCTGTACCGCAATATGCCGCGCCGTGGCTGCGGAAAGAAGTCCCTTAGGAGATAACCGACGTGACCAAGCGCAAGTGGTCTGAGAGGGAGATCCTGTATGAAATAATTGCACGGAATCGTCCGCAACTAGCTCACGCGCTAAAGCCCTGCACGGGCTAGGGTTTTGTAGGATCTTGGGGCCCCACAACGGCTGGAATCTGGCAGAAGCCACGGATCTGCGCTACTAGAAATTGACGTAACGTGCCGTGCTGTAGTCCGCTGAACAGTGCGTTCCCTTGCCGGCTTTAACGACCTGAGGTCTTCGCAAGGGCTAACCAGCGTGCGTTCGAAGTAATTTTGCTATTGGATTGAATTAAATGCGGGTAACTTGCCATGTTGCGCCCAGCCTAAAGTGTAATAGCACTGACTTAGCTATAACCGTCAAGTTCTTGAGAGTCTAAGACCGACAATTCTTCTCGTACCCCTATTCTTAAGTGGCTGAGTCTTTACTGCAGATCTACCGAGCATGAAATCCCTTTCGCGCGCCATTTCCCCTTTGACGGTCTTCCAGGCTTGCTCCGGGCCGCCCGCCGCTCCCGCCAGTCGCCACCCTTACCCTCTAAATCCTCTTTCACCTGGGAAATAAGCCTGCGTACGCACTATTTCCTCTAGTTGAGGCGGTCCTACGCATGGACCTCCTGCAAATCTGCATTGGGTTGACCGGGGCATGCGGGAGAGCGCTCGATCATCGTCGCTACCGTCTAGAATGCTGGTTTTCCAGTAACTTATCGCTCTTTGGACCATCCCTCTGCTGCCACTTTGACACTGCCACTTCCGTCTCCCGCTTTCGGTTTCGTTTTCCCTCGGAGTTTCGGAGGCTGTGTTACGATGCTCTTAACTGCTCCGGGTTTGCTAGTCTGAAGCGTACGCTAAAAGTCATTCCTCCTATTGTTCTAATCCTACCGGCTCTGCTTTTCCGTGTACCTAACCCAGCCACATCTCTAATGCTACCGGCTCTGTTTTTCCGTGTACCTGTCTCAGCCACATCCAACTTTTGCTACTTATTTTTACCCTCGGTTTCCTTTCTATCCTTTTCTGCATCACTATCTGCATCTCCTTCTTTGATTTCTCCCCCTTGTAGCTTCCCTTGAACATTCGTAGATCCCCCGCCATCCTGCCCGCGTACATTCATAGTAGCTTGCTGGCTGCTTGGTATATCGGCTTGCTGATCAGCAGCATCTGCTGCAAGGGTAAGCTCCGATTTCGTCATTGTCGTTATAGGTAAGGATGACTGCGCATCTATTTCGAACTTAGAAACGAAGGTAGAGAGCTTGTGGGAGGGGAGCGCTTCTTGTGGATCTGTAAAATCCGCTCTACAAGGCAGTGAGGCCAGCGGGTTGTAAATTGGGAAAAAGGGAGTAGTCTAATCGGTTTCGTTGTTGTAAATGGCTGGCTTTACCTACTGCCAGAACCATCGGCATTTCCAAAAGAGCTAGTTGCTTTTACTAAATATATATGCGATAGATAGGGTCAGCACGATGTGCTCCAGAATGAAGAGCCAGTTTCGATTCCGATGTAGTCAACGGTGAAGCTAGCGATTCACAAATCAGGAAGGAGGGAGCGGCCCAATGTGTTTTGTTGTTGTTGAGCTCTATTTTATTCTACACCAATCCACTCTTAAAATACTTTGTCGTAGAAGAAGCCGTACTGAATTTGTAGGCATTCACATATATGTAATACTCCGCTTTGTGATGTAAACTTTAATTCGGTATGGTATCTAAGCTGTAGATGAACTAAGCTCTAGTTCTTCTAAAAAGAGACTCGTGCCGTGAGCCACGCTCTCCGCCACCATCTAAGGCAATCCTTCGTTTTCAGTCTACGAGCTGCGCTCAATATTCCTCAAAGTAGACTCAAACTCATCCCAGACATTGAGCACAATCTCCAGGTGCTCAAGCCCCAACTTCCCATCCCCACTCTTCGCCAGCGTAAGCGCCGTGTTCACCGCATTCGAAATCTCACGCCCATTCATCTCCGCCCGATGCGTCTGCTCGATGCACTTCTCAACATCCAAATCCTTATCACCCGCCGCCACGCGCTCCAGCTGCTGCCGCCAGATCTGCTTCCTGCGCTCCGCATCAGGCGCGTGGTACTGCAGCGCGAGGTGCAGCCTCGACCTGATGGCCGGATCGAAGATGCTCACGCGGTTCGACGTCAGGAACAGGATGCCCTGGAAGTACTCGAGCTGCTTGAGGAAAATCGCCACGAGGTTGTTGTGCTCGAACTGGTCGGGCCCGCTGCTGCGCGCCTCGAGGAACACGTCCGCCTCGTCGATCAGCACGATGGCGTGCCAGATGGACGCGTACGTCAGCAAGCACTGCAGCTCGGCCGCGATGCGGCTGCCGTAGCTGCCCAGCTCGCCCGTCGACACCTTCAGCAACGGCCGCCGCGTGTGCTCGGCGACGAGCTCGGCGGTCAGCGTCTTGCCGCTGCCGGGGGTGCCGTGCAGCAGCGCGATGAGGCCCTTGCCCTTGAGGCTGGCCTCGTTGCGCGCGTTGTCCGGGAAGCGGTGCGCGGTGACGAGGGCCTGGATGAGGTGGCGCTGGGCCGCGGGGATGATGAGGTTGTCCATGGCGCGCGGGATCCACTCGACGGCGGCGAGGCAGTCGATGAAGAGCTTGCACCATTCCTTTGTCTCGAGAGAGAAGCCGAAGACGTATGGCGGGCAGAGGAGCGGGTCGGCGGATGCGTTGAAGAAGGCGGAGGGCTTGGAGCTGGGCTTGCCGCGGGCGCAGGCGCCGTCTTCGCAGTCGGAATCGTCGTCGTAGACGTCTTGAGCCTGCTTGGTGGCTTCTTCGATGAAGGTTTTTGGGTCGACGACGACGCGGTGGGAGGCGGAGCGGGGCAGCCAGATGCCGTCGAAGGACGCGCACTCGTTGTAGTAGTCGTACGGGGGCTTCTTCAGGTAGAGGAAGAGCCCTTCGTAGTCCCAGGTCGTGACGCCGCGGATGGCGAGGTACCTGTTGCCTCGTTCGATGAGCTTCTCTTTGATTTCTTCCTGTTCATCCATGAACTTGAGGGGAAACAGGGGGAGGTGGTCGATCGAGGTGGTTCCGGTGCCGACGAAAACTTCGCCCTGCCAGATCCTGATGCTGACGGTAGAGGTGCCGGCCCTCGTGCCGTCGCAGTTGGTGAACTCGCAAGTGACTTCGAAGAACCTTCCATTACGCATTTCATGTCCGTATGCAGCCTTCCGGCAACGATACAGACGAGGATGGCCGCATTCCGAGGCGAACAGGATGTCGCCAGGCTTGAAGATGGCCCACAGAAGATTGAATGTGATCAGCCCCGATTCGGTCAATTGACGAAGGGCCGGGCCGTCTTCGCCCATTTCCGTGTCGAGGAAGCTCAGCAAAAGGTCCACGTGCCCGGAGATGGCGTCAGCGTCAGTGTTGCCGGACTCGACCGCCTTTGCGGCATACTGAGTGAGCTCATCTCTGTGGTGGTGCAGCAGGGCATAAGGCTTCTCGTAGGTGACTGCATCGGCTTCGCCAAACTTCAAAGACTCGGAAGGGTAGTAGGTGACGACGTCCTTGAGCGCGGCGCGGATGTGGGGCGAGTTGATCTCGACCGTCGTCTTTTCGAGTTTCCTGTTGGCGTCGAAGGTTTGCTTGGTGACCAGAGCGTGGTCGAAGAATTTCTTGTCGTTCTGCGGCTTGAAGTACTTGTCCTTCTCGATGATTTCGAGCTCCCCGCTCTCCTTGTCCGGCCGTTCGACGAGGGCCTTGATCGAGAGCTTGGAGCCTGGAATATCCGCTGCTTCTTCTGAGGAGTCCTCGCCGTCGGCGCTTGAATCGTCGGGCGTATCCTGATTGTCGGTGGTCTTCGCGAGTAGTTTGTAAAGGAGAGGAATGAACTCGTTCATGGTCGTGGGTTCTGCGTCAATACCGTCGTTTCCCTTCGGAGCGGCGGCCTGCGCCGCGTTGTTGACCTCGGACGATGGCATTTTGATGGTTGTCAATGAAGAAAGAAAGTATGGGTGAGGTTCTGCTACGTCGTCGCTGCCTAAAAAACGTATGTCATGTGAACTCGCGGTCTGTGCACGAGCGTTTTCGCGAAAAGTCGTGGCCGTCAGGTGGAGAAGGACAGCAAGAGGGGGAGGTTGATGAAATTGGCTTTGCAGGCTGATGCCGATGCCCAGATGGCTCTTTCGTGAGACGGCGAAAGGGCTTTAAATAGGGACTGGATTATCCTCAGCCGCACCCTGACCGGTATGCTTACTAGCAAGGATTAACTGGTTTTGGCAAGGCAACAGCAGGCTGAAGTGGAACGTAAGAAGCGTCGGTTGCCGCGGTGCGGCGAATGGCTCTCAATCAGGAAATAAGCGCTTTATCGGCGTCGTTATTGCAACACCGCAAAAGCGACACACCGCTGCGGTGTTGAGGGGTTGTGAAACACAGGTTGTGTTTTATGCGATATGATTGGCTGGAGTTACTTCTGCTGCCTACGCTAAAGTTTGAGCTTATGGGGGCCATAACGACATCTTATTGGTGCTTGGTCTATCTGTTCCAGCTACTATTAACAATTATACTCAAGCCAAGATCGCAGCCTTACGCCACTTTTAAGATGCGATTGGTGGCTGTGCAAGTTCTGGAATCGATTGCAAGAGATTTCGATCTGTTGCAATTTCTGGTAGTCGCAGGGAGCTGGACTTAAACCTGTGGCGATGATTATTATTGTTCATCATTCTATTCGCTAGACTGATTATCAACTGCTGTAGAAAATGATTTTATTGATGAATATCTTGTTTGTCGTCTTGTAGTCGGCTGTAATTTTTTTTGTCTCTCCCATTGAGCATTTTATTTCGAGGAATTTCGCCCGTTCATTTCATCTCAAAATGCTGCGTAATAGAGTTCACAAATTCTTCAAAATGAGAGACGAGATGCGCATAATCAATCTTGCATTTTCTGATAGCTAATTACATGACGATGTGGTATCTTCATCGTAAAGGCTCACTCCGGAGCATCCATCTCAATTCAAATCCCCATTTAAACGAAGTTGCCCTGGCCGTTGCAGCGGGACATGGGCGGGTTGTTACCGGGCTTGGAGCACATGGAGACGGCGCCCTCGACCCACTTGATGCCGTTGTATTGGCCGTCGTTGTGGGAGTCGGCGTACCAGGTGCCGACCTGGGTGGTGGAGCCGATGCAGCCCTTGAACTGGCGGCCGGAGCGGCGGGTGACGATGGGCTTGGTGATCATGACACCGCAGTTGCCATCCTTGACGGTGCCCTTGGTGATGACCGAGGTCTGGGTGGCCCAGCTGCGGCTGTAGTTGATGCCGAGGGAGCCGCCGAGGCGGTCCTTGATGAACTTGAGGTCGACACCCGCGCTGCCGCCAACCGTGTTGGTGACGGTGTAGCCGGAAGACACGCTGACGTCCATGTCGCCGACGGCGCAGACGACGGGGGACATCTGCACGTCCCAGTCGACGAAGGTCTCGGTCTTGTCGGTGACGAGCGAGAAGGTCTGGTCGCACGAGGCCTGGCGGGACTTGAGCGCGTGCTCCTCGTCGGAAACGTCCTCGAGGTCGGGAATGTCCGAGGCGTTGACGGTGATCCAGGACGGGTCAAGCTTGGGGGCACCGATGGAGATACCCTGCGCCTTCAGCTGGGCGAGGTAGGTGGTCTCCTTCATGACGTGGGCTGGGAAAGAGTTAGTAACTTGAACTCAAGAGATGGACATGAGGGAAAGCTCACAAACGCCATCGATGGGGACGATCAGATCATCCGCCTGGAGATCATAGCCAGGAGTGTACTCGACAGGCTTGGTGTCGAGAGGAGTCGCACTAACGAGAGTGGAGAGAAGGAGAGTGGGGAAAACCAGGCGGTACATCATGATTGCTGTTCAGTAAAGAATGGACGAGGTGGTCTGTGGAGATACAGTCAATTGCAGGGAAAGCATGCAACATTTATAGTCGGCTCACCCATCATCAAGTCTCATGTTCTTGGTGTTCGTCGTGCTGATTCAGTGAATCCGACTAGTCGCGAGCCAAGCGAGGCGCTCGTGTCCACGAGTCTTAGGCCTCCAGACCTCTTCCCTACAGCGTGGCTCGTCGGAACATGAGGGTGCCTGATGAAGATGGGATCAGCAGGGACATCCAGAACACTGGTAAACAAGTGTCGCGCCTTAATTTGCTTTTCTTTAGAACACAACCACACATGCAGTCCCGCGCAAACTCTATACATCACCATGCATTGAGGCTCAAAGATGCTTAAAACCTAACGTCCCGTAACCTTAAACCCCTCCAGAGGCTTAACACCTCGAGAACACCGTCAATGCAAACGGGTTGTGACAAGGAACATGCGGTGAATTGTAGGGGTTAGCGCCGGCGCAATTCGCTTAACGCCCCCTTTACTTTGTCATGGCCGGGATCACCCTACGTCATTGGCGAGTCGTGTCAGCACCGCACTGACTCTCAGTCATCTGGGGACGAAGACCAAGTCTCGCCAACAAGTGCTCAATACTTCTCACGACTCGAATATCGTGCTGAATAACCTATCAGTGGAGAAGGCCCCCCACAACGCACGCCCCTAAGGGCGGCCACTCTCATCATAGATACGAGTCGAACGTCGACTATAGACAAGAGAAGGAAGGTACCATAGTGGCTCGGCTCAATATCCATCGAACTACGGGTAGAAGCACGAGTCGGACAAGCGGGCCACGAAACCGAGCGAGATAAACGTCCACCGGAGTGTACAGTTGATGAGCTATCTTTCTGTGTCTGGACTCCTACTTAAGTCCTCATAACCGTCCCTCTTCCACCGATCAACCAGCTCTAGTCATTCACTACGATCAACCCACCTCCAAGGCCTCCCGAAAAATCCAAAATGCAGTACTCTGTCGTTGCCCTTCTCCTCCTGGCCGCTGGAACGTGAGTTGTTCCCGTTTCCCCACTTCCACTGCAGCATCTAAACATAGACTTTGATATTCAGGGCCTATGCCGACCTCCACAAGGCCGCTGCCTGCGTTTCGAACAGGAGGTCTTCGCCTGTTGGCGGTACTGGCTGGAGTGTCAGCTACAACTGGCAGACCAGCTACGAGGTCCTCCCTGATGCCACCAAGTGCGCCTGCGACTACTACAAGCAGCGCAACACTGGCAGCAACCAATGGGATACCTGCCCTGACTGCACTTTCGTAAGTTTTAGACCTGCTGACTGCCATCTTCTCTACTAACTTATTTACAGGACGGTCTTACCTGCAATTCGGCCGCTAAACACATTGGTGGCGATGAGGTAAGGCAGCTAACTCTATTGCAACCCGATCCTCATACTAACTTTACGATAGATGACCTACTACTGCGAGAAGAAGTGCGGTGCTGCCGGCGCTGAGGCCGACTAAATTTGAGATGAGAGGAAGTGGAGGCCGGGGTGGAATGATGCATCAGACGCAGTTGACTGCGCTTGCGAAGACGAAATACGAGAAGCCTTAGTTGATAGTCATAAATGAATGTTTACTGTTTGAAAGCGAACGCTACTATTGTTTCAGTGAATTTGCCCATCGCCCATCACTCCTTTGAAGATCCTATGACTGGAGCACATGATGTGTCGTCGGGACTTTTGATGCCGCGTGCGGCTCTTCGCGCCAACCAATCGCGTCACGTCCAAATCCACGTGCCCATTTTTTAAAAACACTCTCGGGCCGCACCCTGTGATCCGTGATGTGCAAATCGTCCGACCCGCTTGCCAGTTGTCACACAACGGACGGCACGATTGTCTGGCGGTCCCTCGGGCGGGTCGCGGCGAGATCTCTCAGCGCACGCACCCCAGGAACCGGTAAGGATCGGCCCCCGGTGAGCCCCATACGGAGGCAACAACTTCCGTCACCTTCGGCAGGGACTTATAGTATCTCCATACTATTTCCCCATGCAGTGGTGTTTTGCCGTTTTACCGCTGCCCTACGCCCAGACCCCGAGGCTCGCCTTGTCATCTGTGGCGTGAAAAAGCGTGAAACTGGAGGCGCTTCGCCCGGGCCATCTGGTGGCGCTTAGGCGTGTGGGGTAATTAAGGTAGGGCGGACAGGGCTCCCCGGGGGGCGGCGGATGTGCGAAGCCTCATCAAGCCTCAATTGTGGGTGATCGGCGGTGGTAACTCGGAAATTGCCGCGAGGCGAGATAACGGGTAGGGCGATTCATGGTTGCTAATCTGATCTGGTCTAGGCCGGGGGGCTTGCAATACTGTGCTTGGTATTCGGAGGTCGGTGAGTGAATTGCGCATCCAATCCAATGGCGAGAATTGCGAGGAATACACAATACGACCCTTGCCACCGCTCGCATCTTGAGACATTCAGCCAGCTCGTCTTCGTTCCTGATCTACCTCGCATTCTTCGAGAAGTTCGGGCTATCTGCAGCCGATGCAGCGTGCTACTTACTAGTCGCTCCCGCTGTATGTGATGAGTGGGGACCGCAATCGTATCGCCGGCAAAATCGGCCTTGTCATGGAAACCCGATCTATAATTATAACTATTTCTCCGTCGTTTTGTAGAACATCTTTGAATTGATAAGAATCTTCTGATACTCTAGTAGACGGTCCTTCTCAGCCCCTTTATGCCCAATGAAAGCCTCGCGCGACCATTACCAGGCCATCTGTGCACTAAACAAAATTCATGTCATTTGGTCAATGCATCGTGAGCTTGTATTCGAGTGGTGCTATTAGACCCTGAGCTATTGTATGGGGTAATTGCTATTGTATCCCGTCGCTCGGACTTCCGAAGCGGACTTATGATCTCCCCGAGCTGTGTCTATCCAAAAAAGGACACAACGCTCTGACTTCTTCGTGTTCCAAGAACATGCCAAGCTTTTCTCGCGGCAAATGAAAATGGCAATTTGAAATCTGTGCTTCGAACATGCATCCAAGTGTGATGAAAAGTCGCTTATGAATCAGGTACGCACGCCACACTCACCCAATGTCTGGCCGCGTGACGCTGGCTCGAAGAGTCCTACAAGCTCTGATCACCCTGCGCAATCTGTCAATCTCACCGATAGCGAATTGTTCTAGATTTTGAATCCGAGGGATATTGGCGGTAAAGGCGCTGAAGATACACAGCAGTTCCACTACAATTGATGGGTTTGACCCTGGACAGGACTCAACACTTCTCACTCCGTATTTCTGGGAACAAGTACAAAAAGCCAGGCTCCCAATGACCCGGCCCTGAGCTCCAGCGTTCTGATGTATGCTGGAGTTCAACCTCAGTTATCCATACATTGACCAAGTGAATTGCAGAGCAATACAAAGCTATTTTTCATGCACGGTAGCTTTCGTCGATCCCACTACGTGAACCTGATCCCGTCGAAAGGCTCCATTCATATGTCGAGAGGTCTATAGTTTGCGTTTATTACTTCATGTCTCAGCAGTACACCCAAGACCAGCCCGGGAAACTAAGTCAATGGGTGGACAATGTAAAGATTCCTGCTCAATGCTCATATAAATGTGTCCGAGGTAGATATGGGCTAAATCTATCACGTGCATCATAGCCTTGAGTAATTTTAAAGCCATGGCCTTCACCCGTAACTGAACAGCAGCGAAGATACATCAATCTGTGCGCTGTTGTACTTCCTCCACAATCACGAAGAATACACGCGATTTACAAGAATTGTAGGTCAAATTCTTACAGAATAAGTTGAGATGCGGGGAAGTGTTGATCATGAAGCGTTTCCAATTTTACAGTTGAACGTCTTATATTACTCGCGATGAATTCATGACATCTCCACCCGGTAAAATTTAACACATTGTCTCGATGCGCTGTTCAAGTCTTCTTCTACCACAGCACTCCACCATCGGTAAGCACAAGCCGTCACTTTGACGTGACCGCTTTTTCATAGATCCATGCTCAATAATTCCCCTGTCGACGTCTGTAGGAGGCAATGCTACGCGAAATAATTCAACATTTTTGTCGAGGCACGGACAGTCCCACGGCCAGCAACTAGACGGCTGACCGCTCCGTTGCGGCGAAAATCGCGCACTCGAAGCTTCTATAGACAAATTCCACTTACCGGCTCTGTAAATGTTCACGAGAGTTTGTTCAATCATTGCAATCATCTATGCGGCCTTTTCAAGCCCATGGCCTCGAGCAGCTAAATAGATTCCTCCAATGCTGTCTCAAGCTACGATGGTAATGCGCTAGCAGGTGCTGCCCCAGCAGCTATCTTGCCGTGTGATTTGAGAAAACCTCGCTTCACTGATAGCTCAAAGCAACACTAGATACTATAGAGCTATGTCGAAATGATTGATAGTGGGATTTTTCATAGAACAAATCCCATGGTTTAATATGTTTTTATCAGTCCTTCATGAGATATATTTCTTTATGTCATCACGGAAAGTGAATTATCTAACCACGCTACGATAAAACTCAACAATTCGGTTCATTCTAGTTCTCTTTTGCTCTCAAGCGGCCTACGTTAACCGGCGTGGCGTAGTAGGCAAAGGCAAAGCTTTTACATATATCATTTGTTGCTACAAGCTTTAGTTGACAAACTATTCTAATGATGGCGAGCTGAGCGGTCATAATTCGACTAGTAGAAAGTATGCCCTTAGAGCAACCATGATCCGTAGCGCTTGACTGTCGACTTAGATTTTGCAAGGTCAACGTGGCTATCAAGATCAAACCTTCACCCCACACGTTCTTATATTCGGTTCTACAAAGCGAGTAAACATTGGATAAGATGTTCGATGTACGAAGAAATAATCAATAGGGTATTCGGTCTAAGCTACAAAAAACCGCTCTCTCCATCTAAGGCTTAAACAACTGCTCCCGTCTAAAAAAGCACAAATACCCATTAAAAGCCACCACCTGCAGCCCCAGCCAAACCCAAAACCACACATTCCACCCCGCCGCGCCCCACCCCTCCAACGGCAGATTCGGAAACACCACGCCAGGCCCCACATTATTCGGCGCCCACGCCCTCGCCGCCGCCGTGCAAACCGCGCCCACCCCCTGCGCCGTCGCGAGCACCCACACGACGTGCACCCGCGTCAGCGTCCCCAACAGCACCATCCCAAACCCGATCCCCTGCACCGAATCCAGCACCCCGAGCCACAGCCACAACCCCCGACTAACCAGCGCCCCCGCCGCCGCCGAGGGCCCACCAGGCACCCACGGGAGGTAGTGCCCCGCCTGCGACACAGCCCACAGCATCTGCGCCCACCGCGGCGCGCCGAGGCCGATGGCGAAGATGGGCAGCAGCCACGGGTGCGCGCGCGACAGCCGGAAGCAGACGCCGCGCAGCAGCGCCGCCCACACCACGCCGAAGAACAGCACGACGAGCACGCCGACCGCCCACGTCGGCGCGGCGGCGCGCGACGCCCACAGGAAGCGCCAGCTGCGGCCGTACGTGCCCGACAGGCAGAAGTCGCGCACCGCGACGCTGGACAGGAACCAGAGTACTGCTCTCCGATTCAGCAGGCCGCGGTGGAAGGCTGGGATGACGGGAGGCTTGGAGCGGTAGCAGTCGGGCAGGCGGAGGAAGAGGAGGGCGGCGGTGGAGCACAGGGCGAGTGCGGCGAGCAGGGTTGCGGGGGCGGCCCAGTGGGGGTTTATGAGCGCTGGCTGCGGCACGCCGCGGGAGAGGGCGACGTCGATGCGCGAGGCGCCGAGGGAGAGGAGCGCGAAGTAGAGCTGCTGCAGGCCCTGGACGGCGGTCGCGCGGGAGACGAGGGTCCAGGTTGGCACGCCGCCTATATCTCCGAGTTAGCAGACGTGGTTGCTCGCTGGGGTCGTGCTGCGGCTTACCTTCAGTGCCGAAGTTGAGCGCGAAGAAGGTGGCGCCGCCTGCGGAGCCGAAGGCGTAGGCGCCGATGGCGACGGCTTGGATGCGCGAGGCGGCGGGTGAGGCGCCCATGAGCAGCGCGACGGTTAGGAGGAAGAAGGAGAGGCCGAAGAGGAGGAAGGGGAGGGATATGACGTAGACGGATTTGGCGGTACGGAAGAGGTGCCACCAGCAGATGGAGCCGATGAGGACGATGAAGGAGTTGGTGTAGATGCTGGCTGCTGTGTCGACTGTGCGGCCTGTTAGGAGGGTTACCTGGTATGCGTTTACGGAGAGGATTTGGCCCTGCTGGAGTTAGCGCGTTGATGTATGCGTGGGATCTTGAAGGGGCCGGGCTTACCAGGGCGATCAAGAGGCTGTAGAGCGGCCAGCTGCCAAGTCGGTACAGGAGTATGTTTCGGCTGGCTGCTGGGGACGGGTGGTGTTCAGACGGGTCATCGGGAACGGCTGAGTATTGGGGTCCGCCGAACCATGCCCTCCACAATCCAGACATCCCCGAGACTAGAGTAGGCAATTGTGGCAACCTGTCACACTTGCCGCGGTACTGACGTGCAAACCACTTCTTCTCAGCTCTGTAAATGAAATCCGCGATGCAAGTGTGCCGCTGTGTGGAGTGCACTGTCTGAGTTTGCAGGACTCGCGCAAATTCAGCGTAGCATTCACCATCGGCATCGGTGAAGACGGGTGCACAGTCTTGCAGCACGAAGCTCTCCTGGCACGCGATGATGCTGTCCAGACTCAACAGCTGAGAAGGGCGCTCCTCCAGCAAGCCCGTGTGCACCGTGTTCAGGGTACTATCCGCCTCTTTCTGCAAAACGCTGTAGCCCTTCTCCGGCGACAACAACAGCGCATCCTCGCCATCCAGACTGCACGTACTCGCCGCCGCCGTCGTCGACCCGCTCGGAAACCTCGTCTCCGTCTCATCATCCCTCGCACCACCTCTCTTGATCGCTCGTGCAGCCGCCTTCCGGCTCATCTCAACCGCCCTGCCCTGCAGAACATCCAAGTCCTGCACCCACCGCGCAACCGGAAACCGGCGGCGGCACGCCTCGTCCCGCATTCGCTCCCGGGTCTCCTCAGACGACGCCAGCGCCATTTCAACCGTCCGTTCGAGCTGGGTGATCAGATGGCGGCTCGCCATGCTCTCGGCATTGTACCACCAGCCAGGCATCTGTCCGAGGCCGCCGATGCGAGGCCCGATGCCCAGTGCGCCCCTGCGGCCGAACTCGATGGTGACGAGGCCGAACGGCTCGTCTCGCGAAGGGATGAGGACGAATTCGCCGGCGCCGAAAAGGAAGGGCGGCGGGGTGATGAACTCGCCTTTGGCAAACACCCGACCGGGAAAGCGGTGTGCCAGCGTGGCCAGCTTGGCGGCGGCGAGCTTGCCGTGCAGGTCGATGATCGGCCCTATGCAAATGAGCTGGGTACGCGGAAACCGGTCTAAGATGGATGGAAAGACGTCGGCGATCAGGTCGATGCCCTTTTGTTTGGACCAGCGGCCGACGAAGATGAAGAGGTCGGCGTCGGCATCGGGGTTGAGACCGGCCCACTGCTGTGCCTGAAGCCGCTGCGAGGACCTGTCTGCCTCGTGTACTACTGCGCCAGATACTGCCGCCTCGCCATGATGATCGGACGGATCCGGGTTGCTCAGCGATCCCACGCCCGGCAGGCTCCAGAAGACCGGATAGCGCGAATACGCCCGCGGGCCGTACTTGTCCGACACGCCCACGACGCCGAATCCCTTTTGGTGAATCCGGATGTAGCTCACGGCTGCATGCAGCGGATTGAAGAGCTCGCCGTACTGCACGTACTTCCGTATCGTCTGCTTGTCTAGGTTAAACAGCGCCGATATCTCGGCGAACTCCTCGTCGGCCCGCAGCGGCCACGCGCCCTGGAACTCGGCGTTGTGCAGGGACAAGGCGACGGGAATCGTTTCGGGTAGCAAGTGCAGCGGCGCCAGCGCGCCGTGGAAGTCATTGATGTGGTACAGGTCGACCTGGAACCGGCGCAGCGCCTCGGCGATGCAGGCGTTCCACGCGGCGTAGAAGACGGCGCTGTCGAGGTCGTCCATGCGCGCCGGGTACGGCTTGCCCTTGGTCTGCTGCCGGAATATCGGGGCGTCGACGAGGACGAAGGTGATGTTGCGCAGCACGTGGTAGTAGACGGCCACGCGGTGCTGGCGGCCGCACATGGTGATGGCCATGGGTGGCGCGGCCTCGTGGGGAGCGAAAGGGTACTCGATGTCGCCGAGGCACGGCACGACCCAGATGAGGTCCTGGTGGGGGAGAACCTTGCCCGAGAGGCTCGCCATGACGCCGAGGCCGCCGATCTTGACGGCGATGTTCCAGTCTGCGATTTCGTATTCCAGCGTGGCCATGAGCACGCGGCGGCGGGAGAGCAGGGTGAGGGATTCGAGCGGGATGATGTCCTTTTCGTGCGGGCTGTTCCGCATACTGAGCGCGGAGAGGAGCTTCCGCGTCTTCCTCCTGCCGCCCTGCAAGCCGACATGCTCGATGAGGTAAAACGACTTCCTATACACCCACACAGCCAGGACGCCCGCTGCGGGCGGCACCAGCGCGAGCAGGAAGAACAGCAGGCGCTGCGTGCTCCCCGAGCCGACGGGCCGCATCGCGTACGTCAAGTTCCCATCATGGACGACGATCTGCCAGCCGACATGCGGCATGCGCGGACCGTCGGAGAGATTGAAGACGTTGTGGGACAGCATCTGCGGCGGCAGCAGGTCCAACACACCATCCCTATCGACGTCGCCGAGCTGCATGCTCTTGTCGGGCAGGCCGTCCGGATTCATGCCCCACACGTTGATTATCGCCTGCATCGGCCACTCGGCCGAGACGTTGAAGCGCCACACGCCTTCCTTGTCGTCGTCCAGCATCATGGCGTTGGGCAATCCGGCGTCGAAGCCGAACTCGTTGAAGTGGCCCTCGACGAAGGCGTGTGGCCACCGTCGCGCCGGCTGGGATTCAGCGAGGTCGCCGTGCTGCACGTGGTGGCTGCTCGACGCCATGCGGCTCCAGTACTCGACGATGACGTGCTCGCCGCGCCATGCCTGCTCTAGTGTCCCGGTCCAGGGCTGGTCCTCCAAGGTGATGCTATTGGACGTGTTGTACGCCAGCCACTCGCTCCAGCTCGATCCCCAGTTACGGCTGTACCGGAAGCGCTCCGCCCCGGGCGCCTGCAGCTGTAAGTGCAGGCGTCCTGTTCCGTCGTCTCTGCGGAGCAGGCCGCGGGTGTAGTCCGCGGTGCCCGGAAAGACGAGCGGGTTGTCGTCGCGGCCGATGCGGAACATGAAGCGGTCGACTGCGTTGGTGAAGCTACCACCGTCTAGGGCGCTGGCGTTCCTCACGGCGAAGACGTGAGTACCGTGCCCGACGTTCTCGAGCACGGCAGCAAATATCCAAGTCCCAGGAGGGGCCGCAACGACGGCCGTCTGGTCCTCATCTGGCGCCGCTGAGCTGCAAGTGATGCTCGCCTCGTTGATCCGGGCCGCAGTCCCGTCTGCCGTCGTGGACTCAATCTCCAGACTGCGTGCAACCGAGCTGCAGTCCATTGGCTGGGAGAAGTGTAGCTGTATGGGCACCGTCTGCTGCTGGCCCGGCGGCACGGTTGCAAGAATCCTCTCGTCGTGGCTGGGCGAGACCTTCGTGATGGCCGGGCGCGGCGGCGCGAAGGCGTCTGCGGGGACGAACGCTTTGAAGCCCCACTCGCCCAGCGTAATGTTGGACAGACATCCACTGCGAGATGCGGAGCTTTCCAGCGTGTACTCGTCGTACGGGTGGAACAGGTTCTTGACGCGGGAGCCCGGTCCGAACGGGGCGAGCAGCGCGGCCGTCTCGTTGCCGCAGTCGAACAGGAACTCCGTCGGCGCATGCTCGTTGCTGAAGACGAGCCAGACGCCCTGGTTGCCCATTGAATGGCCACTGAAGTCCTGGACGCCCTCGGCCACGCTCCGGTGCACGCTGAAGACGCCCCTGGGCGTATCCACGTCGCTCACTGGAAGATGGAAGTCGTGCGTTTGATTCGACAGCGTCTTCAGCATATATCCGTCGTTCAGCACCGGGTACCGCTCGCGCAGCTCGTACATGCGCTTGAGCACGTTGCGGACCGGGTGCGCCGCGTCCTTGTGGTCCAAACTGACCGCATCGTCGCGGCAACCCCTGCGCGCCCTGTCGACGGGCAGGTCCGCGTATATGTCGTACGTCAGCTGGTAGCAGCCGTGCAGCTGCCACGCGCGCGACGAGCTCATCGGCCCGCGGCCGTACACGTAGTTCTCGGCGAAGCTGTCGAGGATGTACATGTCCTGCTCCTCGCCCCACGTCAGCGCGGGCACCCCCGGCAGCATCAGCGTCGTGATGAAGTTGCCCAGCAGCTGCCGCTGCGTGCCGTTTGCGAGTGCCGGCCACCGGAAGACGTCCTGGTTGGTCGTGCCGAAGCCGTGCCGCGGGTCGAAGACGCCCGTGTTGACGTTGACCATGTCGGTTTGCACCAGGAGGTCCTCCCAGAGGCTGACGAAGTCGACCGAGCCCTTCGGGTAGTCGCCGTCGAGACCGAGGAACTGGGCCAGGGAGAAGTAGATGTCGTATGAGAAGCTGGACCCGTCGATCGACGTGTGTTCGCCGTCGCGGACAAAGTGTTGCGGGTCGCTGGTGTTCGAGGCCGCGATCGCTTCGGTGGTGTTGTGCCAGTACTGCTCGGGCTCCTTTCCGCGGCCCGTGGTGAGAGCTACCAGGGGCTTTTTGCCGACCAGCTCTCCCACGATCAGGAAGTTTTCCTTTCCGTACCGACGTGCGCAACGTCTTTGGAAGCTGGAAAAGTCGGCCAGGCCGTCTGCAGTCATCTGCAATGCCTTGTCGAGACGGAAACCGTCGATGTCCAGCATGGCGATCTGCATGCAGGAAAAGTGATTGATCTTCGCCCGGACATCACTGCGCCAGTCACGCAAGCGATCTTGCACCGACCCGTATTTGGAGAGCTGCTGCACGTACGGCGCTTCCTCCGCCGTCATCTCCATTTCTCCGTACTGCGGCAGATAAGTATGAGGTTAAAAATCAATTTGTTATGCGGAATCTTACTAGGTCAAATTCGCTGTCGCGGCAAGAATCAGGGATCCCCAAGTCTGTTGCATTCACGGGACGGCCGGTCTTGTCCCAGAAACGCGGGTACTCGCAAGACTGGTCAACCTCTGAACCAGGCTGGAAATCCAAATATCGCCGGTCCGACTTCCAGAAATAGTTGTGCTCATTCCAGCTGAAAGGTGTAGATTCGTTTTCGTGGCCTTTGAAGCCCATAAGGTCTCCCATGCTACCCGTACATATACGTCAGTACCTTTGCCATGAAGGTGCTGGATGCTGAAACCTACGTAGCGAGAGTATTTTCCAACAGGATGTACATGTCGCGCTTGTGGATCTCTGTGATGAGATCCCTCCATTCCGCAATATCGCCGTGGTGATGGTCGAGCAACGTCAAATCGAGGGGACCGTAACTGTCTGCGCTCCAAGGCTCGTTGATGAATGGACTGCCAACAAGATAGATTATCTACTAGCTGCGTTAGTATCTGCATAAGTGGTGCAGAGAGCAATCCGACTTTCCTTCATTCCCATGCCTTGGATGTAGTCCAAATTATCTTTCAATCCACGAACGTCGCCACCAAATCGAAATTGGTTACTGATCCAGTTGTGCTCAAAGACTGTTCCATTCACGTCGTTGTTTGCCGGGTTTCCGTCCGCGTATCTGTCCAAGGGGACTGTGTACAATGGCATCCTCCAATTTTTCGGCGAAGGATGGTAAGTATGAGAATCCCATTCTCCCCAGTAGTCCAGTGGATCGGTCGCAGTCTCATTCTGATTCAAATTGAATAAAGCCTGGGCGGCGTCGTATTTAAGGCCGTTGATACCATATACATAAAGAGAGAACAAAACGAATAGAGAACGCAGTTTCTTCAGAAGGTCCAACATATTTCTAATCCATGAAGTAAAGTCGCATCAACAGTTTCCAAGCGTAGGGATTGAGCTCCTTTAAATGCACGACTTGGACTCTACGTGAATTCGCCGTAAGTAAAGGTTTAAGGTTTCTATTCGGGAATTAAAGTTGCGCTGAGATAAAGAAATCTTTAAAACTCGTATTACGATCAGAGCCGCGAGTTTAAACTGTTTGACATGACTAAATATAGCTAAGATCAGTAGAGTACATGAATCTGTTATTTCGGCCAACGCTGCTCGTCAAAGCCTCCGAGTCGGACCCCGAGCCTCCGAACCCCTTTTCTTCTGCTGGCTACAGGAGATATCATGACCGCAACGCAGCATGATCCAAATGAATATTTACGCTGCCAGATGACCGATCACTAGCAAACAGCAAACGGAGTAGTTGAAAATAAAGGGACGAGGCGAATAGCATGGGATACTCTGTCAACATACGAGGAATAAGCAACATGAGTACGAAAGGCTACCGTCCACATGGAAATTCGCATATCTCATTCCAGTAAACACCCTACCTACACCCGAACACCCTACCTACACCCGAACACCCTTCCCATTGCGCCACCCCAATTCCCACAATCGTTATCCAGCTCCCCCCTCAATCCTCAATCCTCCTCCACCACCCACCACAACACCCCCCAATTCACCACCGCCAGCCCCGCGATGCCCCAAAACGGCGCCCCCGCACATCCTTTCTCTTCCGCCCACCCCAGTGCCGCGCCCCCCAGCAACGGCCCCACCATGCGCGCCGCGCTGGAAATGCTCTGCGCCAGCCCGTGCACCGTCGCCAGCAGCTGCGGGTGCGGCGTGCAGTTGTTGACCAGCACCACCGTCGCGGGCCCCACGAAGGCGCGCGCGAGGACTTGCATACCGAGAGCCGTGATCAGGGCTACCCAGAGAAGGGCGCTAGAACCCGATGAGGGGGAGGATGACGATTGGGCGGCAATGAGTGTCAAGAATGGTAGTGTGGCGTAGATGAGGATGCTGGGCCAGAGGAAGAGGCGGTACGAGCGCAGCGTGCCGAGGCGCGCGCTGAGGGGCGGGTAGAGCAGGATTTGGATGGGCAGCCCGATGATGCCGATGGATGCCGTTGCGAGGCCGACGGCGTGCGGGGTGAGGCCGAGGCCGCCGGTGAAGAGGAGGGGGGAGGGGGAGGAGGAAGTCGAGGGCCGGGTGACGACGGGGCTGGAGAGGAGGAGGATGAGGAGCGTGTTGTAGGTTGAGGTGTGCAGGGCTTGGAGCCAGTGTTGGGAGAGGACCAGGACGATGTTGCGGGTTAGCATGGAGCGCAGGGATGGCTTGGGAGGGAGATCCGGTTTTTGATTGGGTTCGTGGTGGAGAACGTTACCGTGTTCTGGGTCCCTGGTTTCTGGTAGCTCTATTCCCTCGTCTGTAGGAAGCTGTGAATACTGGCCGCGGGGTGGGCTTTGGCTACCCCGGAATTGATTTTTGATGGATGCGGAAAGTCTCCGCCCCCAGTCTGTCCTGTTCTGAAGCAGTGGGTGTGTTTCCTTGAGTCCAAAAAGAACCACTAGAGCAGCCGTGAGAAGAAAGAAAGCATTGGCCAAGTTTGGAGGCGCGTAGGGAAAGCCATTTATCCAAGCTCCTTTGGCTGAAGTATCCGAAGAGGGGGCCAAGAAACCTCCCCAGATCGGACCTATGATGGCCCCAACGTTGAAGCACATAGGCAGGAGAAGGAAAGCTCTTGATTGGTATCTATAGTTCCGGGATTAACAAGTGTCTCAACCTTCAGCGGGGAGGATCAAATGCAACTCACTTTTTCTCCGCGACAATCTCCGAAACCATGGTTCTGAGTACACCCACATTCCCGTTTAATGCTCCGCTCAGGCTGCGGAAGAATAGCATCACCATGAACGTACGTGAGAAAGCAACGCCCGTGGCTGCAATACAAGATCCGCACAGCCCGATGAGTAACGCTCCCTTCCTTCCCACCCGGACCGTATCAGCAGCTCTTCCCCACATTACAGCTGTAACACACTGAGCCGCGGCGAATGCGGAGGTGAGGATGCCCATTTGATATGCTATGTCTCCCGCACTCAGGCTCGGGTCGAACCATTGGAGCTGATAATACACATACGCCATGAGCGATCGCTCACTGATTGGATCGGCCAGTCGAGCAATGGAAAGTATGGCGATCTGGCCTTTTCGTGGTAATGACATCCATGTTACAGGTTTATTGTCCTCTTCGTGGGGTTGCCTGCTCACATCAGTGTTTATTGAGCAGCGGCCTGGACTGTACGGCGGAACATCATCGCCAGCCGATTCTTCCCGAGACCGAGAATTTCCGCTACTGCAGAGTTCACTGGATATCGCCTCTTCATCCTTTCTGCCGGAAGGTAATGTGGAGGATGACATGCTGCGCGCTTGCCTGTCGGCAATTCGGCACAGCGAAAAGATGGCTGCGGGCAGAAGTCTCAAAACTATACTTGGACGACGAGCGCCGGCGCCTTATACGCGAGCGAACGAGGGCCACGAAAATTTCCCGCCAAGACCGGAGGTCTCATCTGATGCGGCAATTTTCGGCCATCGGCTCGTATCTGGTACAATTACCGGCCTTATCAATGACAAGAGCAACACTCGCCAAGATCCAAATGCTTATCTGATCATGCCAGTTTCGGCAATGCGTCCTTATCTGATGGTGTTTCCCGTCTTGGCAACAAAATGTCTGCTGCCCGCTATCGGCGTTAGTGTGAATCGTATGAGATCGCGCTAAGTCCGAGACGTCCTTAAGTATGTTCCTATCGTCTTTGTTCCGGTCTGAATCCTCGCGTCTGTAGGCCCAGCCGGAGAGATCGAGCAGAACAGCAATGGACGACGACAACAAAACACCGCAAGTGGAGGAGGCCAACGCCGAGTTGAATTCGGAGCAGAACGATGAGCCCGAAAGGGTAAATGTACCCCTGCAGTGGAGGCTGGCATCGGTCGTGCTCATCTCCCTCATTGGCTTCGGAGGCAATTGGAGCGCCGGCATCACAGGCGCGATGAAATCTACACTGAAGAAAGAGCTGCATATCAACAACAAGCAGTTCTCCCTGCTCGAGGCCAGCGAGGACTTCATCGTCACATCTCTTATTCTCTTCAGCGGCATCGTTACGGACAAGGTTGGTGGTGCGAGCGCCATCATCTACGGCAACGGAATCTATTCGCTTGGCTCGATTATCATTGCTGCGGCAGCTCAGATCCGGTCTTACAAGGTCATGATTGGTGGCAGGGTGATACTCACGTTTGGAGATGTCGCCACGCAAGTAGCGCAGTACAAGATGTTCTCGTCCTGGTTCCCACCGAACAACGGCTTTGGGTCCACGCTTGGGCTGCAGCTCGGGCTGGGTAAGATTGGATCCTTCGTGGGGAAGGCCACTGCCAATGTCATTGCCAAGGTTCGTATCTCCTGCGCCAAAATATGAGAGTGTAGGGTCTGATATACGGGAATTCAGAACACTGGAAATTTTGCGTGGACTTTCTGGGTCGCCGTCTTCATCAACCTTTTCACTAACCTCATGACCGGCGTCTTCTGGTGGTTCAACAAAGTCGCCACCAAGAAGTTCGTCGGCCGTTCCGACCCCGTCACGGGCGAGGAGCTCACCGAGAAGAACAAAAAGTTCGAGCTGCGGAAGATCATCGAGTTGCCCTGGCACTTCTGGGCGGTTCTTGCCTTCTCCCTGCTCGAGACCAGCACCGCCATCGTCTTCCTGCAGAACGCCACAGAGCTCGCTGAACAGCGCTTCGGGATTGACTCTGTAAAAGCCGGCTGGTACTCAGCCATGTCTCAGTACCTGGGTTTCTTCCTCGTTCCCTGCGTTGGGATTTTCATTGATCTCCTTGGAAACCGCATCACACTGAGTAAGTCGTCACATCCTGCAGACCGTGACAGCTGCTGACTCCAAAAAGTGGCCATCTGCGGCACCGGCGTCTTCATCTCCATGGCTCTCGTCTGCTGGTCCGGCACGACAGCCGGCAACGCGGCCGCCTTTGGCATCTACGCCTTCGCCTACTCTCTCGGCCCGACCACCATCATCGACTCGATCCGCACTTCCATGTGGCACCAGTCCGTCTTCGGATCCGCCTACGCCATCAAGATTGGGATGAACAATGCGTAAGTTGCAAGCTCCATTCCCACCATCAGCCCGTTATTGACCTGCAACTATCAGGATGAATATCATTGTCCGCATCGTCACTGGCGCCATCCAAGACGCCGACGACAACTCGTACGACCGCGTCGTCATCGTCTACGTCGCGCTGTCCATCGGCTCCGTCCTCGTCTGTCTCAGCCTGCTTCTGCTTTCGTTCCGCTTCGTCGATCTTCGCCAGCTGCAGTGGACGCGGAAGCAGCGCTTCGCCCGTAGCGAAGTGCTTTTGGAACGCAAGCGCAAGTTCTACGGCGAGGACAAGGAGCGGAATAAGAAAATCTCGCACGCGTGCTTCGGAGCGTTGCTGCTGTTGATCGTCGGCAGTTGGTGCGGGTATTTCTGGGGCGTGGCGACGGGAAATAATGACTAAGAATCCACGATACTCGTTCTTAAACCTCTTCTTGTACCCACTTAAGGAAAACCCTTCGACAGGTTTCCACCCTCTTTAGTGTTTGGATCCTTAGAGGCAGAGGCCCGCCGTTACAAATATGTAGAGTATTGTACGGGGACTTGATGATAAGAAAAAAACGAAGACTATAAGAAGTTTTGTCGAAAAACACCTTTAGAAGCGTAGATTGACTTATTGCCCGACAAACCTATCTTGTTGAAATTATACTGTCGGGTGTTGATTTTGTCCGTTTCAGGGGCTATCTGGGCCTATCGGGAAATGGAGTGGCTAGCGGCGATCGAATAGGACAGGTGACACAGATAGCAGCTTTACTGATTGGCGGCTAGGGAGCCACAGACTCGGCATATGGTCGGCTCGGTCAGCTTTCCATGTTTCATAAAGCGCAGATCAACCACACCGGATGCTCCTACCTTCCCAGCTCCATCAGTGTGAGCCCGGTAGCTCTATCGCGATCACTTGACATACCTTGCAGTCTGAATTCAATTGTGTATTTCACTCCTTCTATCCGCTTCGTTGCAACTTTCAATGACATCCGTGCCCAGCCTGCTCTGGCGGTCGCTTCGCATTTTCCAAATCTGGGCATCAGCGCATCCGCAACAAAGACAGCAGTGACGCCATTCTATACAGAGCGGGGGACTGATGGAAACATGAGCATCGCCGTTCTCAAGCCAAGGATGAAAGACGAGAAACATATTAACTAAACAGAATTACTCCCGCTTCTATTTGCCGATGCCAATGCACGGGCCAATACGGCTACTGTACCGCCTTCCTTCGCATTAGCTTCTCTACAAAGGTCTACCCCTTTGTGGTTGCTTACCGTTTTCATGAGCTGAAACTAACGCCACCTCTCGTGATGCGAATATGCTATGTGTGAGTAATCCAGGTTTGACTTATGGCGGGCTAAGGCGGAGCGGGTACGAGATAAACGTGACTTGTAGAGGATCATGTCTTATTGTAGCCATTCGGGCATGTGGTCCTATAACACACGTGGAGCCGATTATGCTCTTCTGTAGCTGGTCGGACTCGGAAGGGATAGGTGCCGTGGTGGAATGCTTTCCGCTCTCGGTGTTTTCCTTACATAAAGGCCGAAATACCCGAAATGCTTCAGACGTGTTGGCCACATCACAAATACTACTATGAACAAGTCGAGATGAATTCAGATCCTGCAATATTCCTGTCAAGAATCAGCAAAAATGTCAGTAAAACACGGACAGTACACCTTGGAACTCACCAACGGCTTACCGCCGGGATGTGATTCATGGGAGCAATATGAATCGAATCCTCGTCAACCACGACCAACTCCGACCCCCAAGCGTCCAGTTCCGCAGTGGCCTCCGCGTGAACAGCGAAAAGGTAAATGGATCCGGAAGTACTTGGACCAGGTAAGACGAGAGAATCAGAGCCCAATAGCAGCTTTATTCCACTAACGAATGCTGAACAGCTCGACCCCGAGACAGAGTATGACCAAATAATCAGGACGATAGCCTTCTTCGGGCCCTCCGCGTTTGCAGCCGCGGTCAGCTACACGGCCATCTTTGCAGTCCTCACTCAAGCGCCGTCCGGCGCCGCAGCCATCCACTTCGGCGGCAAAGTGATGCGGCGCGGCCACCAGCGCTTCTACGAGACGGAGCTGTACCAGCTCGAATGGGTCTACCACGGCAGTAGCTCGCCCGAGACGGCACAAAGCATCGGCAAAATCAACCGTCTCCACGCCGCCATCTGGAAGCACGTTCCGGGCTCGTACAGCGCGCCGTATGAGGGCCAGATGGCGCTCGTTGGCGCTGCATACTTTGAGGCGCTTGTGCGGAAGATTGTTGGCGCACGCAACGATGTCAATCCGAAGGTGAAGGCTGCCTGGCCTGAGTGGTGCGAGCGCGTCGCCAGCCACTTTGTGACCGAGCCGTCGGACGGCAGCCGATCGTACGGCATCAACTTTCCTCGGAATTGGGATGAGTTGGAAGCGTTCTTTTACTGGTTCGACGGGATTGCGTTTGAAGAACAGTCGACGCCGGAATTGTTGCAGAAGGGCCACGAGACTGCCGAGGCTTTCATCGACCAGTTTTGCGAGCTGTGGTTTCCAAGGTACGCACTTACCAGCGTTTGCTTGCCGCAGAGAGCAGTGGGGTAACAGAATTGACAGGTATTTCCGCTGGTTCGGGAGAGCATTGCTTCTCACATTTATCACTCCAAATTGTCGACGCCGGCAACGGCTGGGTGATCCAAACCCCGTCGTATCCGCCGCCATCAAGATCATCGTCAAAATTGTTTTTGATGTCAGCGACGAGTGGCTGCCTGATCCTGTGGATCCGCCTTTGCTACGTCTTCGTGAAGATTTGTTGAACGGGAAAGTCGGGAATGGTCGGCTCTATGACTTGGATAAAACGACGAAAGCCCATCGCACACAGCAAGACAAGATGCTAGCAGTAGCCTTCTTCTCCTTCTTCATTGTTCTTCCTTGTCTTCTCTATCTTTGAGGTCGGATGAAATAGCTATAACCTAATCAATACATCGGCGGGGAGTTCTGCTCTCATAGTGCTTGCGCCAATATTAGATCGGCTCTGGGTTTAGTTTGCTGACGACAATCGCTTCACTGCGAGAAGGCAGCCCGTTGAACACCGTAAATGACGCCCAGCTGCTGTCAGCTCAGACCTGTTCGGCGCGGCAGATCGACGGCAGGGTGCAAGGATAACAGCTGGATGCGCATGCAGCAACTTAGCGGGGATATCGCATTACACAGACACCGTGGCAACGCACGGGGTGGTCATTGGTGCGAAAATGGACAGACTGGGGTGCATACGGCGACTTTTTGCGGGATATATGGGGAACCGTAGCAGGGTGCCGCGCGTAATAAGCGTGGCTTGGATCAAGGAGAGCTAGAGGGCGAGGTCGGCCGTAGCCGAAGGCAGGTTTATTGCTGATCGCCGCAGGCAGCCGTGTAATGTGCATTTCCCCACATCAAGTATCTACCATATGGGACCTCGGCGCATGGTATAGGCGAGAAGGTGCGTGAGACGGCGACTTTTGTAGAATCTCCCAAGAATATGCATGCTGTTGAATTAGATTGAATACGGGCCGTCCTACATTAGCCTCGGCTCCACCCGCTGCCTGCAGTCCGGACCCCGCACACGTTCGTTGAGATGCATGCATGACACAATTTTATTAGCGGGGTTTCTACCAGCTGGGCTCTGGCCGCAACCAAGCTTTTCTCCCCCATCGTCATCTGAATTCGGAAGACACGGCTGAATCGGCACTTTCACACAACAACTCCACACATCTATCCGATCAATGCAGACTCGCTTCATGTATGAATCCGTAAGTGCCAAGTAACAAAGGTCACAATAATAGTGATCATTACCCGAAAAGGAAACATCCCGCGAAAACATCGAAATTCGTCTTCGTGTAGGTTACGTAGCACTGTGGAATGCTAAGCAGCACCATCTTCGTCTTGGAAGTGCGGGCTTCCTCAAGAACGATGACGCAATGGGGTTTGTTCCGAACCTGTAAACCAGGTCAACTAATGTATTATACCTGAAAGGGGCCAGTTTGCTTATAACATGTATACCCACTTCAGCTGATCGGGGAATGGCTGGGCAAAAGGAGGCTGGCTGATGTCGTTGCGTCAGACAAAGCCGAGCCCACAGCAGCGGGGCGTCATTTACGGTGTTCAATGGGCTGCCTTCCCGCAAGTGGCGCATGTAGTTGCCACGGCACCATGGTTGTCCATCACGGTGGAAAAACCGCCGCACTAAGAAATCCGCCGATATGGACACGCCATAGCCGCAAATGAGGATATCCTTGCATCCAATTAGCTCTGAGAATTGTTCAAGATGTAGCCAAGGCACAGGTCGTGCCACACAGAGCGGGGATTGATCGACCGGTCAGTAGAGTCTGATGATCAGAACCCGCATATGCATGCTCTCTGTCTTTTCAGAGGAGCATTGGCTACTCAAGATCTCAACAAATTTACTGAGACGCCAACTCAAATGCAACATCATTGGCGATCTTGCACCTGCGCAGTGACAAATTGTTTTGAGGAGGCTTGTTGCAGGGATGGATCTGGAAGCCAAGCTCACACCCCGCTGTCTCCCACAATCAAAACGCGTTTGAGCTAGCTTTCATACACTATCTGCGAGTCACAGTTGAATATGTGGTGCAGCGCTATTTTCGCTTTGTGGTGCTTCCAATTCTCACCGGTTTACGATGGATCGACGACGCGGTAAGACGATGGTTGCACGCAAGATGATGAAAGAACGCGTTCAGCTATGATGCCACCATTATGAAGCCTGGTCTGGAGCCAAGTCCGACATAGAGCAGCCGGGAGAGTTAAATAGTGGACTCTTTCCTCTGTTTTCAATCAGCATCCTCAACGACAAGACGAGCAGCGGAAACGACCAACACTTCAATCACCCGATAGGCCACCAGCGACCAAACACTATGACGACGTCCATTGTTGATACTGACTTGGCGCCGGTGACGACGAACGGCACGAACTTGTACCTCTACTACCAAGACGCCCAAGGCCAAATTGTCGAGACCTATTCGTCAGATGGCAAAAGCTGGCAGAAGAGCTCTGACCCAGTGGCTACGAACGCTCGATCCTCCCCGGCATCTCCCATCACCGCTTACTATGTTGAACATGACGCCAACTTTAGCAACAAGTCCACGGTAACCCCCTCAAGTTAGAACAAGAAGGTCCTAAATGCTAAACTGGGGTCAGATCCACGTGTTCTACTTTGACACAGCCAAAAAGCTCAACGATAGAGTCAAAGATGTGAGCAGTTCGACGTGGTCAGATGGGAAAGTGCCAGACGACGTCGCCACCACCCCAATGGAGGCGAGCCGCCTGACGAGTGGCTCTTTCAATTCCACCGAGGGTTGGAACCCAGACGGCTCTCAATGGGTGTATTTTCACCAGTGAGTACTTCTTATTGCCTAGCGATGACTGGGATTGCGTAAACAGCATCGGATCCTCTAGACCTGCACTTTTACAGCTTGTGACTTTTGTTTTAAGAAATAGCTTACTCATAGCCTGCACCACAGGTTCACGGGCAAATTCGAGCAGCTCACTGAGATCCGTCGCACTCCAAAGGACCCAGTCCACACTGAAGCTATCCTGCCGGAGAAGCCCAGTGACTCCTTGTCAGACTCAACACTGGCGGTCTCCCACTACGAGGGAGGAATCAACCTGTTCTTCCAGGACCATGACCGCAACGTCGCCTATTACGCGAACCGGAACAATAAATGGCAAGGTATCGTCTCACTAATTGTTCATTTTCCCCTCAAACATGTGAATACTCAAGAGTTTGAGGGCTCACTAACAGGAACATGTAGACAGTAAAATCGTAATTCCGGCCAAGGACGTCGAGATCGAGACCCCGATGGCCGCAGTGAGGAGCCCTGGGTCGAGCGGGACGCAGCGCCTGCTACTTGTTGATCAGGGCAGCCCCAGACAGATCCAGCACTACGCAGATGAAAAGCTGGTGGGTGCCGTGGAGCAGTACTACCCCGGAACGCGGCTTGGTGCAGTGTTGCTGGGGAGCAAAGTCGTGCTGTTCTACAAGCCAGTCAACCCAGCTGGCTCTATTCGCACGAAGGTCTACGATGGTGGAGATTGGAAGGATGGGGGCGAAGTGGTTCATGCTTCCTGAGAGCAAGGGGATGGCAGTGAGGCCTCTGTGTCTCGAATGAAGGAATATTGATTGAACGACGAAGGCTCCAGATTGGGAACGGACATCTCATCATTTCCGGGTTTTAGTCCTTCTTTAATAATAGCAATACAACACTCATTATGCTTCTTCCTTCGATTTCTCCGCAGCATTACACAGCTTCTAGTCCTGGCGTACGCAAAAAGAGGGAAACAACCATGACCTCTTCCATTGGCACTATGCCCCACTCTACAGCTACCCAAACCAGAGCGATGAGGTCGGGGAACTGCAGCCGATGGCTAGCACTAAGAATCGCAGGGCTCTAGAACATTGCGTAACTTCGCCCTAGCTCTGCCTTAGAAAAATGACATATGTGGGTAGTTGAAGCTATCGTCCGGACGAGAATGTCGAATTAAAAACTCAACATAAATGTTCGGACGATAGCTTCAGCTACCCACATATGTCATTTTTCTTAAATTCACGCTGGCTGTCAGCTGTGAGAGGGGACTGTAGAGACGTGCCACGCGGCGGGTGTTTGGCGGATGTCCAACACCGTCAGAGTTGCACACCAGGCCGTAGTATACCGCAGGAAGCTGTAGCAGATGACAGAATCCATTATAATATCTTACACTGTCTACTTTACTCGACATGTCCATCGTTGATGTGGTCCAATGCATTCTTAGACTCGAACGCACAACCACTGAACGGGCACTTGTCCTGATGAGCCTGGTTACGTCCCCGCAGCTGGTTCGTCCTGTTTGACAAGTCCTGCTTGCTGACCCTTTGCGTCAGCTTTCATGGCGGCAAAAGATTACACTGCAGATACCAAGTTCAACGCACCGCTTCCTTTCCCAGTTCCTGTGGGGGCTCTCAAAGACCAGACAGGCGAGTCCGACACAATCGGAGTTGCTACACAGGTGCGATACATGCAGCTCGCCGCAAATATGCCTTGCTCCCGTTTCCTTGTCCACCAGTTCGGTCGTGATGTACAGCCAATGCACTTTTTGTATTCTGAAAGGCGCCTATCCGTTTCTTGAAGCAGACCATGCCACGGACATATTAGTCTGTATACCCTTCTTAGTACCCGTCAGACTAGAGCTGATGCATCCGAGAAAAGGCGATCCAGTCAAGTCGTTGGTGTCATGTATCGACCTGGCCCACGGTAGAAGCGTTGGGTGGTACCTCCAAGCCCTCACGCGCTCTATTGCCCAGTACTCATCGTCCTCAAGAAAGAACATTGAGACACGTGTACACCACCTGTTGGTGATGATGTTGTTGTTGTTTCCCCCGTTGTTGTTGCCTTTGTTTGCTGCTCGGCAGACTGCCTCGCGGGAACGACGGTTGTGGGCGCGGGCGCGGGCGATGTCCTTCTTATGAAAAAAATTGGGCTTCGCAGGTCAAGCTGCGCGGCTTTCGCATTAATCTTGACGACGTAGTACACAGATATCAAGCACAGAAATAGTAGCGAGTATTTTATTTATATCTGTAGAGAAGTCAAGAAAAGGTGCACCACTACATTCGCACGGTAAGAATATCCGGCTGCTTATTGCTGGTTGGCCTTGCTGAAGGTTTTAGCCGCATTTTCGACTGGACAGAGGTTGTTCGTGTTGAAATTTCCGAACGCCTTCTGCTGGTGAGTTGACATGAGGTTGGAAATAGCCTTATTTGAACATACATGGGTACTTGAAGTCATCGCCCGGACTAAAATGTATAATTATTAATTCGACATTTACATCCGGACACCAGCTTCAACTCCCCATGGCTGAGCGCAGAGGATTTTTGCACTTACATAGGTCGTAGCGTGGGCTTGAGAATCCAGGGCCTTCATCTGGTTTTTCAGCAGACGCTCTGAGAAATCCTTGTACTGGAATTCCATGAGAGAAGACGAGAAGGAGAAGGGCCCGCGAGGCATGTTTGCCATCAATGGATCGGAGAACGTAAGTAGAGGGACCTGACTGTGAGAGCGTGGAAATGCCGTGGATTGGTCATCGTCGATGATCTGCCGAAACCAAAGTGAGAGGACCTCGGTGGGACGCTTGCTGTTGACGTAAAGTGAGAGCCGAAGCTCAAGGACGGGATCGTAGGGGCTTGTATCCCTGATGAATTGAAGAAGGTAATCAGACGCGCCACTATAAAGGAAGACAGCGTTAGGGCCACTGGCGGCTCTCAAGTTGGACTTCAGCCGCTATGAAGTGTTTGCCGCGTACTTGGGTGGTCTGCTTTCTGGTTGGCAGGTGAGGTGAGGGGGAAATGGCTTACGATCGATGTCGGCGGTATCTTGCCTCCACCATAATTCTTCAGGCCTGCGAAGTTGGCCCAAAGATCCCAGCGTTGGAACAGTTGAGCAGAAGCCATGGTGAGGAGCAGAGCGGACGGGGCGGGTGTTATAGATATGAATGAATATGCAGAATTGTGACACGATGTCTTGAAAACGAATCGCTATCCCCTGTAGCTATGAACTCTAAGTGCTATTTATACGTAAATGAATGTCATGTCGGGCTGGTGAACTTAGGCCTCGCTGGTATCTGACATGAGGTGCTGTATGCTTTCAGTTTTCATTGAGTGGCAGTGAACCAGTTCCTGAAAGTGGGGGGAGCAGAGTGAATGGGTGTTTGAGAATGAAGGTGTTCGGAAGAAGGAAGAACAGAGAAGGGCTTATAAAGGGTCGGCCCCGGGGCTATCGATAACGGTGGAAACCTGGTCAGCGGATAGTTGATGGCAGCACGTGCGCGAGCTGGGCAGCTCGGCCGGGCTGGAGGCGGGGATTACATCACCCACGTGCTCTAAGGATCTTGCAAACTCTCCGCGGCCTCGTTGCCAGGCTCAGCTGCAGCACAGATTGCCTGCCCAGTACGGTGAAGCAATCCTCAGAGGCCAATGTAGAGACACACGTGCCCGCAGGGAAGGTCGCCAGGCAGCAAACAGCAATAGTAAAATCAACAACAGTAGCAACAACAGGGACGCTTCGTCTCCGTCCCGCTACATGATTCAATTCAAATCGCAGCTGTGTCCGCGTGAACGTTTGACGTGCCTGGTTTCTGCTGATGAAGAGGGCCATTCCGAAACTTTGAAGCCTAGGGCGGTAGCGAGGTTATGTTGTACAGGGTGTCGAATGCTGTATAGGAGTTAGGTCATGAGTAGCCTGTACGGGGAGGCGCGGCAGTGGCCTTTTGTAGGCGCTCTGGCGTCATAGCTCTGCAAACCTCGTCCGAGATCCTGGCGGCGGAGGGGAGATTGGTTCTAAGTGGAAACAGGTAGAAGATTTAGCGAGCAGATGTTCACAGTAGAGACAAGATATGAGGAGAGTCGAGGTTGTGATTATCGACGATGGTTAGATATGTTGAAACTTTGACGGCGGCTTCACTGGGGCTGTCTTCGAATACGCTGTCTAGCGACGGGAGCTGGTCGGCAGCGGTTCCGTTGTGAGCACCTCAGCCTCGTTCGCGCGAGGATTTGCAGCTTGCCGGCGCATGCGCGTTATTCACGCTGGAGCCGGCTTCGTCGGCGGCGGCACGCCCATGCTTGGCGTGAGCAAGTGCTGGAAGACTGCAACATCGGCGGCTTCCTGCGCGTCGACGGTTTGGGGAGAGGTTGGGTATCACTGTCAGAGTGGCAGATCCAATTTCAAAACCCACTGCAGTAGGTTCGCGGCTTAGCGAAGACATGAGCTCTCGGATTCCCAGCGTCCCAGAGCTTCGACGTCAGTTCGGGCAGATGATCACGGAGTCAAGCGAACAAAGTGGAGTCCGAGGTGATCATGGTGGCGCGCCCATGGGTAATGGGTCTGCAGGCCCAGGCTCGTTCTGGCGGTAGATGTGGCTGGGGGGAGGCTGTTGGGGGACGATAAAACACGAGCATAGGCAAGAAATGTGTGTGGTATAGCAGGAATGTGGCGGACAGACGCTGAACGCAGCAGAGGAGCCGGGGAGAAAGGTTGTGTGGCGGCGAAGCGATGGGTAGCACTGACGGTATAACATTAATAGTATAGCGTATCTAGAGTACATCCCGCCTCGGCAGTTTTAAGTCTATCTACGTCGTCGTTTACCGTAGCGGACGGCATGGCCTAAAGGCGTGCTACTGCAATCCGAAGCTATGAAGCAGTAAAGGCGGCCTCGGGCGGTGCGGGCGCCTAGTGGGTGCAGCTGCACTCGCTGCTAAGAGTGGAGCCGATGGCAAGGATTGGAGTAGCGACGCCGGAGAAGTGGCTGGAAATGATGTTGTTGCAGGCGCCCCACGCGACCTTGACGACGCCAGAGTGGACGTCCTCAACGCTAACCAGGAGGCTGGAGAGCCCATTTTCGACGCTGGTGACAGGGTTGCCGAGGAGGGTGAGGGTGTCTATATAGGACTTTGTTAGAAGGGCTGTACTGCTTTGTTAAGATACGCGCTGGTGACGGCGGAACTTACTGGAGCCGATCTTAGTAACGGCGCCCTGTAGAGTGCCGAAAACCTCGAAGAGGATTTCCTCGGAGTGGTTGATGAGCGGTTGAAGCGCGACGTTAGTCTTGCTACACTTGCCAACCTTAGTCGTGGTCGAGGTAATAATGTCGACGACGTCGTTCAGGTCGGCCTTGATACTGGTGATAGCCGTACTCTGCTGGGCTGAGGAAGGCGACTTCGGCAGGGCGGAGTAGGTGCTGTTGATCTTAGCCGTGTAGACCTTGATCTGGCTGACGCAGCTGCTAAGGACGTCGCTGGCCGAGGACGTCGATGTCTGGCCGGAGGACGCTGCAGCCTTGTTGGAGGCGGCCTGGCCGGCTTGGGTGCCGGTGGCGATGGCGCCCGTGAAGATGGCCGAGGCGGCGAGGATAACGTTGAGCGAGAACTTCATTTTGTTGGTGGAGAAAGAGTAGTTCGAAGTGATTCGAGTAGTTGTGTGTTGGATCAGAGACTGAGAGACTGAGAGAGTGTGATGGTGATGATGGCTGTTGCTTGGACGGCCACTCGCTTCTTATAAGCTGTATAACGGCGCCTGGACTGCGTTCTATCCGGTGGACTCCGGTAGCATAGCGGCCTCCTACTGGCAGTACGTCGTTGGGCGCAGCTAGTAAGAAGACTACTTTTACCGTAGTAGGCAATTCTGGTGCGTAACCGGCCTATGGGAAATCACGGCGCCTGCGCACTTTCTCAAGGTCTGCGTAAGCACACCTGTATAGCGGCTCGGTGGCTGAGACAAGTCACTGGCCATGTATGCTGTGGTGGCATCAATTCTACGAGAGTCGGTGCGGCCGAGCTTGAGACACGCTTCGTGAGAGTGGTACTGCATACGTACATCGTGTTCGGCGGTGCATGCGCCTATTCGTCAGCAAGCGGTTGTGGCGTGCAGTAGGCTGAGACACTCGGCCAACACCACCAACGACCCTACAGACTGAGACGACAAGCACGACTAGCGCAAAAAAGAACAAGAATACTTATTCGTGCCAACCAGTCCCGAGCGGAAACAGCACTGTATGTATATGCTTGTACGAATGAAAGTAAGGAAAGCCACTTGATTAGGGCTATAGGTACTAGCGTCGGCGAAGCGGTGCGTCGTGCGGCACTAATCCGGCCGGCGTTGCGAACAGGTCCGTGATGTTGGTAGAGTAGCACCGAGATCTATGCTTTGGAGCTAAGCACACTACTGCTACCACTAGTGTTAAAAGAAGACGTCTTCTAGTAAACGTTGGGTTGCTTAGCAGAATTCCCGCTGAAACATGCAGTAGCAGGGGTCGAGAGTGTGGTCGAGCCCCTGAATGCTTTTATTCGAAGACGCCTGTGCCCGAATCCATATGGCAGTGCACAGCATGTCGTGCCTGAAAGTGTGTGTGGTCGTCGAGTTTCTGGGCTGGTCGCCGTCATTCTCTTCCTTCTGACTCTCCACGCCCTTCTCATCCTCCCCTTCACCATCGCCGCCAGCTGAATAACCTCACCGCGGCCGACCGCGCGCTCGAAGAAGTCTCAGCTTGCTCTCCACCCGAGTCTCCTCTGAAAGAAGCGGGCCTGGGCGACGTGGCCCCGATTTGCTCCACCATTCCGCTTTCCAAGCTCCTGGAGCGAGCCGTGCTGGCGCATTATCTCCGCTGCTGAAAGGCCTCGAACTCGGACACACCATCGCCGCAGCCAAGGGGGCTGATGGTGATGCCTAGCGGCCGATAGAACGACCGCGTTGGGTTGCTCTCCATGATGGAGTCTCTCGACGACTCGATCATCTCGTCACGGCTAGTTTCGAGCGTCAGCCCCGTCGTCAGCTTGCGGACCTGCTCCTCCCTCCCTACCTTACCGCTCTTCTGGGCTGAGACTATCGCCTTCTTCTTGGGATCGGTACCGCTCTCGCCATCTTCGTCAAACTTTTCACGCTGCTGCTGCCATCTCAACCGTCGTGTGTACACTATGGAGTGTCGTGTTACCTCTAGATCAAGATCAGAGTTGAAAACCTCTACATCTGAACTTTCTTTATCACCACAATATGTCTGACTTCACAACTTTAGGCAAGCCCACCCACTCGGCTTCCTCAATCTGGGAGGTCGTCGTTAGATTCTACACACTAATAAGGGGAATTCTTGGGTTACGCCGTGGAATGTTGTCTAGTAGGGTTATGGAAACCCGTGGAAGTGAAACCGTTGAGGCAATCCGGAGTCTTGCAGCAGGGGGCGCAAACATCCAAACCTTTTTGAGATAACTCTAACTGCATGTGCAGTAAACTCTTCCCGAGAAAGGTCCATGTGGTACTTCAATGGCTATCCTTGTGACTTGAGGGAACGACGGGGCCGTAGTATACTCTCCACTGAGTGCCTTGATGAACCCTTTCCTGAGATCTCTCGATGGTACCAAGAAACAGCAGCAATACCTAAGCCATTGGGTCGTGCCGGGAAAGTACCTGCCCCTTGCCAATGACGTGCTGGATGCCAGTACCGCTATGCAGCGACTATGAATAGGAAATCAGAACTGTAGTAGCAAGCCGTTGTCATTGCTGCAAGCGCTTTTAAGCTTGTCATCATACTCAGTACCCTTTGGCAGAATGACGCCTTGACTCTAAATACTATTGGTAATGTGTTTGATTCGTTGCTCGCCGTCCCGAAGTAAAGGAGAAAAAGGCTCAGGTCTGTGTAGTGACCACGACTTTTGGCGGAATCGTCTCAGACGATGAGGTCCCAGGCTTGATACGGGCGAATATCTACTTTAGGTTTCGAACAATACTAATTGAGCGTAGATAATCCGTTGAGTCAAGCCCATGGCAAACTGAGAAAGGCCGTCGTAGAAGGCAGTGCCAAATGATGCAATGACTGGCTGATTGCTCTCTCAAATTAGGCTCAATAGGTGTATAATAATGCTATATTGCCTTCCCTATTATTTGGAGAGCATGATGGAATGCTTGCTTCCTATTACTTTGTGGTGGTGGTTAAGTGAGTTGAATGAGTGGCATGACGAGTAGAGGAGCTGGTAAGCGGTAACACTTGTTTGCTTTTGATATCCTGCTGAACTAGCACTTGCTCCCTTGGACCATTTTTCCATACAGCACTTCAGGATCTATGGCATGTCGCGATGATTCCATCAGCCCATGCACAACGTGGCTCACAGGTTACAAACGTGCTTGCGAGCAGAAACTTCCTATCACAGACAACTTGAGCTTTCAGACTCCCAAAATTTTGTTTGCATGCTGAAGAAAGCGACCAAGCAATTTGATGTCATGTTTGCGACTCCGATTTCAGCTACCCTGCCATGCTTGCTTCAACACCTTCGCAACAGCCCCGGCCTACCGACGAAAGGTACAAAAGACGAACCTCCCAGCTGCCTTCCTCTCAATATCCAAGCTCTACCGACACCGTCAAGATCGGCACAGAAAATCTCTCTACATCTGAACCTTCTTCGTCACCTTAAGATGACCGACAACAAGAACTCCGGCTCAAACCAGTTGAGCGGAACATCCAACCCCATGACGAAGCAAGACTCTAGTCGTGTACAGTTTACCCAGGTATGAATCCAAGCGTGTCTGAGTTTTTATCTGTTGCTAACAGGCGAAAAGGCCAAGGGAGGCGGCGACATGTCCTCTGGCGGCTTCGCCGCCCGTGCCCAGAGCGCGGGTGACCGCAACACTGTCAACTCTGCCAAGAAGTAGCTTGTGGGATAAAGGCTGGGAGGAGGGAGGGATCGGGGGTGAAGCGCTGATGCAGTGGCACATGAGATTCCTGGTCCGATCATGTAGGCCATAGGCCCAATGGTATTACTTTCAATCTGCTTGTGTGTTGAAAAGTCGGATATCCAGTAAAGTGTGAAATATGGCACTCTACCTCTTTCAACAACGAACGTCAAGCGCCACGGTCAGTTGAACTTGATTTTGGATACTCACTTCTATGAATTTACCGTTCTGTATTGCCCTGAGGTTAAATCGTGGAAATTCGAGTAAGTCCACATGTGTCTCTCTTGCCATCATTTAAAGACCCCAAGCTCTTCAATGGAGAGCAAAACTACACCTCATCCAAGTTCCTGGTACAGATGTTTCTCTGGAAACTCGTCGAATATGTGTCAGCGGATGACGTCGTAGTTAACCTCGCCGACCCCGCCTGGTGCAAAGGCACGGACCTTGAGCGCGATGCTACAGGTGCGATGAAGGTTGGAATCAAAGTGATGAGTGCCGTTGCGGCGAGGACCAGAGAGACAGGCACGTCATGCTTTGCTGATGCTGCTATCAACAAGGGCAAGGATTCTCATGGCTGTTTTATCATGAGCTGGGGTATTCATCCGTAAGTGCATCCCCCAATGTTTCGCTCCGGTTCGCTAAGCCTGTAATAGATTCGCCGCATTCATGTATATGCCTGAGGGTCAAGAGATGATAGAACGTCTTTGGGAGGAGACAATGATTGAGCTTGACTTTGCTGGCATCCGCAATGCCTTAGAATCTATGCGTTCTTAGTCCAAGGATAATTGACTTCTTTGTCTTTACAAAAAAGTCTCCCACTTCTGCTCGGCACACACACAATGTCACTTCTGCCATGCAAATACTAGGGAGAAAGACATACCTACTTCCTTTCTTCTGAAATTCAATTGTCTACACTTATTTTGCATGAGTTGCATTAAACATCCGCAGATCAGCCGAATGCATGTTGGCGATGGGCTTGCGGAGCAGACAGCTCGGTTCAGCTTGCGCGAGATTAGCGGGTCAGCACGCCATCGACGCCGCAGTAATCCGAGCATCGACACCGTAGCACCGCGGCTGCATAGGATAAGCCGGCAATTGCCACAGGCGCCAGTCATACGAAAATTTGACTCACTCCTCCCTGGTACTACCGATTTCTTCTTTGTCTCTACTCCAATTCAAGACAGGATGAGTTCTATCTCGAGCAAGTCGTCTTCCGCGTCCAGCTCGAACTCGAAATTGTCGACTATGCAGAGAAACAATGCCATTGATGAGCGATCGCCGCTACTGCAGTCACCCGACCACGTCAGAGAGGTTGACGAGGCAGTTTCACCCGCCGCAAGGCCGCCGTCCCAAACTGAAACGGAGAAAACAGCATCGAAAAAGCAGATCATCAGTATCCTGGCTGTACTGCTGATTGGTGCGTCTCTGTCTCTCTTGCGCATGTTTCACGTCGTTAACCTAATTATGGCATTCGGTCGATAGGCGTGTTCCTCTCCAATGCCGACTCCTCAATCGTTTTCACGACCCATGCGCTGATCGCCTCTGAGTTCGATGATCTTTCCAATTCCAGCTGGATTTTCGTGAGCTTCGGGCTTGCAGCAACAGCTGCCCAGCCTCTGGTACGATTAATCCACACTCCGGAAGACGGGATCGCGTGTGCTGATGCTATTCCAGATCGGGAAGCTCTCGGACTTATTCGGCCGAAAGTCTGTGCTGCTAAGCACTTATGCGTTGTTTATCATTGGCTGGTGAGCAGTGAACTACTAAATATTAAGACTTTGATACTGACATGAGTCTCCAATTAGTGCTATCATGTAAGTATAGTGAACGCCAAAGCTCACGCGTCGAGGAATAACAATCTCCGTAGAGGCATTGCGTCGTCACTGAAAATAGTGATTCTGGGCCGCGTCTTGTCAGGAGTTGGATGCGCCGGCATGAGTGCCTTAGTATCTATCATCATAACAGGTTCGCTGCCTGTCCTTAACCTTTTCCTCCCGAGTATTGACCACTTGCATAGACCTCGTGCCACTACGCGATGTTGCATCTTGGCGGAGTTATGTCAATATCATTGCAACAACTGGAAGAAGTTTGGGTGGACCGTTCGGTGGCTGGTGTGCCGACACAATTGGCTGGAGATGGTAACAACTTCGCCTACTGACTCTTCTCGCCAAGGCTGATATCGTCCCCACTTGCAGGACCTTCCTCTTCCAAGTTCCCGTCATGATCATAGCCTCGATCCTTGCCTGGTTCCTCATTCCCGAGTTCACGCAACCTTTGTCTGTTGATGATGCTGTCGAACCTGCTCCGAAAAGCAAATGGGCAATCTTCCGGCGACTTGACTTCATTGGATCGTTTTTCCTCACTTGTACAATCCTACTACTAATGTTTCCCTTGGAGCTTGGTGGCCAAAAAATCCCGTGGTCACATCCCCTCATCTTCTGTCTGCTTGCGTCCGCCCTCGTCACCGGCGTTCTCTTCATCAAGGCAGAGAAACGCGCAAAGGAACCCGTCCTACCGCTTGAACTCTTCCGCGAACGAGATTTTGTCATAAGCTTTCTGGTCATGACGATGCAATTGGCAGCGCAGGCGAGCATGATGTTCACCGTCCCGCTGTACTTCCAGATCACGGACTCCGTCAGCTCGACCAAGGCCGGCGCTCATCTCCTCCCAGCGGTGGTTGGCAATGCAATTAGCCAGTTGATCAGCGGAGAGTTCATTGGCCGAACTGGCAAATACAAAGTTTTGATCACTTTCGGCACAACTTGCACTTCCATTTGCTATGTGCTCATGCTGTTCCGCTGGAAGAGTCACACGAATTTCTGGGAGAGTTTGTATATCATTCCTGGGTGAGCAACTCTTCTATTCATCCCCGAGAAATTTCCAAGGTTAACATTTCCTTCTTAGTGGATTCGGCACCGGCATCGCCGCTTCAGCGCTCTTCATTGCCATCACTGCATGCGTTGAGCCCTCTTTCGTGGCCATTGCCAGCTCGACCATGTATCTTTCTACGTCGATCGGGGCACTGGTTGGCTTGGCTTCAAGTTCCGCCGTGCTACAGACCATCGTGCATCGTGGCCTCCAGACAGTTGTGGGGTCCGACTTTCCCAACCGAGAGGAGTTCATTCGCAGGTGTCTGCAGGATATTGAGTTTCTTCAACAACTTCACGGACCTATCAAAGACAAGATCATTGATGTGTACGTCCTGGGGTTCCGGGGCGCCTACAGTAAGTTGCCATCCTTGATCCAGTTACCAAGTCTGACATTCCGGCAGTCATGTCTCTTAGCTTGTCCGCTGCAGGGACTTTGTTGGGCCTCTTCATGAGAGAGCGTCCCCTTGTTTGAGCCGGCTCCAAGTAGGAGCTCGTGGGAGAAGAGCACGCACTATGAATAGTCATTAAGGTAATGGACGTTGATGAAAAATGGTCGATTTGGCTCTTTACGTATATTGGCATGGCAAAGACTACATAAGAATGGGATATAGAGCGTGATTAATAGTTACTTTGGAAAGTTCCCTTTCGTATCGTGTTTCTCTTCTTAAGAAGGGCTCTGAAGCGTGAAAGGCCTGAGAGGTTCAGTATATATAACGACACTTTTTTAGCCCGGACGTACGCTTCTGAAATGGATTTAATATCGGTATCCTTGAAAGGCCTGGAAATCCAGCAGGCAGCAGCTGTAAATCCTGCTTGGTATGAGCGGGGCCGATTTGACGTTATTTACATTTTGCTGCAGCTCGTTTTCCTAAAAATAACATATAAGGGTAGTTGAAGCTATCGTCCGGACGAGAATGTCAAATTAAAAATTTTACAAACACATCCGGACGATAGCTTCAACTACCCTTATATGTTATTTTTAGGAAAACGAGCTGGGGCGTGTTTATTACGCCTAGGGGCTTACTATTATTCTTGTAAGTCGGTCTGCATTTCAGTCGCCCCACCTTTCTATCTTTCGACGAACCTACCTCTCACGCGCCGCATATTTTGCAGACAGGACTGAGCTCCTTGGCCTACATGGTTTGTCAGCACCCAGATCCAATCGTATCTTGCCAAGAATTCCAGTCAGCATTCTTTGCTATGGTAATTGATTGAAAATGCACGATCGAGGCGTCAGCCCTAATCTTCAAAAGGCGGGAAGGATGAGCGGGGTCGGGCGACTAAACCTTTCCGGGCAAGACTCATCTGTGTAGGATGCCTAAACGACAAACGACACAGCCGAATTCAGAGCAGGGCTTTCTGATTGATGCAATACAAAAATGTGGAGTATGCGAAAAGCGCCGTGGCGCATGCAGAGTTCCGTGGCCTGTGGAGATAGAAGGAGATTTAAACCCGCAACTACGCACCAGCAAGACCAATTCCCCCAAATCTATTCAATCTCAAGATCACAATCAGACCAATCAGCAGCCAAGCATGTCCAAGCTCATTACTGTTTTCGGTGCCACCGGCAACCAGGGAGGCTCGGTTATCAAGGCAATTCTCGCCGATTCCGTTCTCTCCAAGGAGTTCAAGATTCGCGGCATTACTCGCGATGTCTCCAAGCCTGCCGCACAAGCTCTGACCAGCAAGGGCGTGGAAATGACAGCTGTGAGTAGTTATTAATTGAGCACGCAGATAGTACTGACCCGCTGGCAAGGCCGACTTGAGCTCCAAGCCGTCTCTCCAAGGCGCACTCAAAGGTTCACACACGGTCTTCCTTGTGACGAACTACTGGGAGACGGCCAACGCCGAGGTGGAGATCACGCAGGGAAAGAACGTCGCCGACGTGTCAAAGGAGCTCGGTGTGCAGCATCTAATCTTCTCAAGCTTGCTGCACGTGACTGAGACGAGCGGCGGCAAGCTGAAGCACGTCCCCCATTTTGATGGGAAGGCAGAGATTGAGAGGTACATCAAGAATAGCGGGGTTCCATGCTCTTTCTTCTTGCCGGGATACTTCATGTCCAACTACAAGTCGCAGTTGAAGGAGGGTGAAGATGGCGTCGTCACCTTGGCGTATCCAGTCAGCGCAGCGGCAAGGTTCCCGCTGCTGGACATTGCAGAGGACACGGGTAAGTCTCCTTTTCTTACGCCTGCAAAAGATACCTGCTCATTGTTGAATTTCAGGGAAATTTGTCAAGGCGATCATCAAGAACCGTGACAGGCTGCTGGGCGCACATGTCTACGGCGCTGCAGACTATTATACGCCAGAACAGATCCTGTCTGAGTATGCGGAGGTCACAGGAAAGACGACGCGGTTCGTGCAGGTGTCAAACGAGCAGTACATGAAATTCCTCCCTGAGCCAATTGCGGAGGAGATGTTGGAAAACCACCTGTTTATCGAGAGCCCTGGCTACTACAATGGTGCCAGCTTGGCTGACAGTCTTGGATTGCTTGAAGAGAAACCCGTGAGCTGGAAGGAGTTTGTGGCTAAAGCGTTGAAGAAGTAGCCAGTGACCTTGTTTCATGTTGTGCATTCTGACATCATATCTTCCGGTACAAACAATTCAAATTGTTCTCCCTCCTGGCCCTGCATACCTGTATTGAATACGGCCTTCTCAGGACTCAACCCCCTTGATAACCACAGGCCAGCTATCCTCCGTTGAACCCACACCGTCTGAGTTCCAAACCAGACTGTAGATCCCGGTCGTGTTTGTCGCTTCAGCCCAGAATTGAGCTTCCAGCTGCGAGTTGTTGTTGTACACGAGTTGAGTGGCAAAGAGGGCGAAGCCGGTGACGGTGCCATTGATGTTCGTGATGCTTGTCATGGGCAGCACGCCGACAGCGTTGTCCTCCTCGGGCCGGATGTAAAGCGAACCAGCCCGCGTGCCATTGGCAAACGTAGCGTTGACAATCCAGTTCTCGCCGGTGATAGAAGGAAGATCCCAGCTGACAGGGGTGAGGTTGTTGTCCGTGTCGTCGGGTGTCTGGGTGATGTAGAGGAGGCCTGCGTTGTGGAAGAGCTTAGCCATGATATATTTTTTGTGCCGTGAGGCTTCATTGGAAAGCGGTACATATACGTACCATCATTAATGCCATAGGCAATTGGCCATGACGAGGTGTTGGTGCCGTAAGCTACGAGCGTGGCATTTGTTTCAGCCTTGCGCTTGGTGATGCCGGCTGGGATGCTGAAGGCAGCGCTAAGTGCAATTTGCACGGCGAAAAGAGAAAGCAGCTGCATGGCGCTGTGTCGGGCAGAAGGCCACAGAGTCCTCAATGAGTGACAATTAAAAAGCGAGTGACTAATTGAGCGAATGTCCAGCGTAAGGCGAGGGGAGACACAAGACAGCAAGCGTTGTCAACTTATCTGGGAAACAGCGCCAGGGCCATCGATCGGAAACGATTCGGCCCTTATAAACTCCACCAACGAGAGCTCGGCAAGGCTTAGACGGGAGAACGTGCGAGCCCGCAGCTTACGACGCGTGGGTATGGAAGTTGGCTGTGCCCCTGGTTAAACTCGAGGAGGCATAGATCGAACACACTATCTACTCAAGCTCGGGTGCCTATGATGATGCCTGAAGCTAGTTGTCTTAGATATCTGTACGAGCTATCTTTTTCGGTGAGACCTTTGAGGTGAGTTTTAACCGTGACTGATCCAGAGCAAAGCTCACCAATGGTCCATGATCCTGGCGCTACTTATCTTTATTCGCACGAACCACGTTCAAAGAGATGATCTTTGACTTTTCCGGAGTCGGGCACAGAGTGCCGCGTACGTGAACAAGCGGAGAATTCCTCCATCGACCCTGCAAGCTGCTACAAGGCCAGCTGCGAGAGCGGATGGTGCTTTAGGACAGGGGAAATTAATGGAGAAGGTCTCGTAACGTTAATCAACTTTCCTTAAAGAAGACTCGGGCCGTGTGGCTGAGTGCATGAGAGGCCGCGCATCGGTGCCGACAGCCGTAGACTGCCTAAAGGAAAGCTTGGTTGAACCTTTTATCCTTATTGCTTGCTGCTAGGGAGATGACTCGTGCACTAGTCTTGGTTTTAGGACCTTGGGACGAGCGTTGTTCCGGGAACAGTTGCTGTTGTCGTAAAGCCGGCGGTAGAGGTCTATGTGCTATGTCCGAACCACCATCAACTCGGGCACCATGGCAAGATCGCCACCACAACAGTATAGAGTGTTGAGCTACGAAGTATATAATAACCGAGTCAGGCGAGCCAATGGACTTACGCGTTTATTTGTTTACGTGCGTGAGCAAATATTGTGCCTACTTCGGAAAAGAAAGCTCGGCTTTGGATGCTTAACCCCGAGGCTGCTCAATACGCTATAGGGGACCCAACGCAAACGGGCCCGTGCCTGGCAAACGCCGCTGCGTACGTGTAATCGGGCTGTGCGTCCTGAACCCAGCGTTCCTGAGCTAGGTACCGCTACTAACGCGGCATCCCATCATCGTTGATCTATGCAGTTATAATAATACAAGGCCGATGTTCCCTTGATCGCACAACAACCCAAGGCAATCGTGCCCGGATTGTCACTGTTCTCTCTTTTTGCTGCACGGCGCATTTCGTTCATTATTCTGAGCTGCCTTCCAGCGCTCGCATCACCACCATGCGTTCAACCGTCTCTCTTTTGACGTCTCTCGTTTCATTCCTCAGCGTTCATGGCGCCGCTGCCCTACCATCACTGGATCTGACGCGTGATGCTCCAAGTCCAGGATGTGTCCATAGTGCCTCCAACAGATCTTGCTGGACTGATGGATTTGACATTTCGACCAACTACTACGAGCACGTCCCGGATACTGGCGTTGTGCGAGAATACTGGTTCAACATCGAAAACACAACAGCCGCGCCTGATGGCGTTGAGATGCCAGTGCAGCTCATCAACGGCTCGTTCCCGGGTCCGACCATCATCGCTGATTGGGGCGATACCGTTAGTATGTGAATGCAACCACTTATGTGCATTCAAAGCCGCACAGGACGTCAGCTAACATGAATAATACAGTCGTGCATTTGACAAACTCGCTGCAGACGAATGGAACCGGTCTTCATTTTCACGGCATCCGCCAGAACTGGACGGACCAAATGGACGGTGTTCCCAGTCTTACGCAATGCCCAATCGCCCCCGGCGACTCGTACACGTATAAGTGGCGAGCGGTGGAGTATGGAACCGGCTGGTATCATTCCCACTTCTATGTCCAGGCCTGGGATGGTGTCTTCGGGGGCATAGTCATCAATGGTCCGGCTTCGAGCAACTACGATGTGGACCTCGGCCACCTTTTCCTGCAGGACTGGTACCACGTAAGTAGCTCAATTTCATACCACAGGCTCAAGGCTGAAGTGTAGGAAGCAAACTGCGGACGAGCTCGTCTCTCAGGCAGCGACGGGTGGCCCACCCACAGCCATAAATGGACTGATTAACGGCACCAACACCTACAACGATACTTTGGGTTCTCGATTCGAGACTGTTCTCGAGGCGGGGAAGAGATATCGCATTCGCCTGGTCAATGCTGCGGCAGACAATCATTTCCGTTTCATGATCGACAACCACACGATGGAGGTCATTGCCAATGACTTTGTTCCCATTGTGCCCTACAACACCACGGACCTCAGCATTGGAATGGGCCAACGGTATGATATCATTGTTGCCGCCAAAGACATCGAGAGCGGCGACTTCTGGCTGCGCGCGATTCCGCAGTCATCGTGCTCCGAATCCGATGCCACCGACAACGTTAAGGGAATCATCCGCTACGATAGCTCGTCGACTTCCGATCCAACCACCTCAGCCTACAGCTACACTGACTCGTGCTCTGATGAGTCACCCTCGAACCTCGTTCCTTACATTGCCATCGACGCTACTGACAGCTTCGTGGACGGCGACAGCCAGGAGGTCGGCGTCCAAGTGACGGACAACGCGCTGCTATGGACAACCAACAAGACATCGATGCGCACGGCATGGGAGTACCCCACCCTGATGCAGGTAGCTGATGGCAACACAACGTGGACTCGCAAGCAGCAAGTGATCCAATTCGACCAAGTTGACGAGTGGGTGTACATTGTTGTCCACTCTCCCTTTGCCCAGGACCACCCTATGCATTTACACGGTCACGACTTCTGGGTCCTCGCCTCTGGCTACGGCAACTTTGACTCCACCCAGACCAATGCCTTGCAGCTGGTGAACGCTCCCCGCAGGGACGTTGCCATGATGCCTGCAAGTGGTTATCTGGTCATCGCCTTCAAAACGAACAACCCCGGCGTAAGTACTCCACAATGGCCCGTTTGTGCTTCCACGCCGACTCACATTTCTCTTGTAGGCCTGGCTTATGCACTGTCACATTGCTTGGCATACGTCGGAGGGTTTCGCGGTGCAGGTGCTCGAACGTCCATCGGAGATTTCGATCGACCAGGAAGTGCTCAACCGCACCTGCACGAACTGGAAGAATTATGTTGCTGCTCAGGATGTCACTCAGTACGACTCCGGCGTGTAAGGCATTGGACGGTCTGTAGTCAAGGATATCATAGAATCAATGAAGAAGTAATGAAGAAAGCAGCATTAAAGATGTAGAATACAAGACAAAGTCTTACAAGAAAACCTATCTCCAAAAAAAAAAACCTAGTACTTCTCGAGCTCTTTCTGCGTCCAGTCCCAGAGCTGTTCTGCGAGTTTGTCGTCTTTCGCCGTCTCATCAAGCTTTGTTGACAGAACGCCCACTGGTTCGTACATCTCGCCGTTCTTTTCCTTCGGCACCTTCCCAGCCGCAGCCCACAGTTGGTTGTGAGCGCCCTTTTCAGGTGGCACCATTTGCCACCAGGCTAAGATATATATGAGGATCGTGTTGATCAGACTTGATTGTCCGGCAAGTCCGGTGCTGACGACACCTGGATGAATGGACAGGGTGGTAATCTGCGGATACCTGCGGGCCAGTTCCCGGGCGTAGAGGAGGTTTGCCAGTTTGCTCTGCCCATAGCGGCGAAACCCCCCGAAGAAGGTGTAGTTCTGGACTGTCTTGAGGTCGTTGAACACGATGCCGCCGTGCGGATGCAAAGCGAAGCCGAGTGATGTGAGAATCACGATGCGCACGTCGGCGCCTGGCTGTTCGCTGGTCTTCACGAGCAGCGGGAGAAGCTTCTTGATCAGCAGCGCGTGCCCGACGTGGTTGGTGCCGAACTGGACCTCGTAGCCGTCGGTGGTCAGGCTGGTCGGCGTGGCCATGATGCCTGCATTGCACATGAGGACATCCAGGCGGTCTTCTTGGTCGAGAACCTGCTGCGCCGCGGCGGCAACGGACTGGAGCGACGCCAGGTCACACTGGACGAAGTGCAGTGCGGGCGCATCAGGTGTGCTGGCTTTCACTTTCTCAATCACTCCCTCGGCGCTCTTGGCATTGCGGCCGCTGAAGTAAATGGCTCGAGGATGTCTTTTGGCCAGTTGGGCAACAGATTCGGCGCCTAGGCCGCTGGTTCCTGCGGATAATGAGCTTGAAATCCTATTCATAATGGCCGGAACAAATGGAATTACCTCCAGTGATGAAGATTACTTTTCCCGACAGTTCGGGAATGTCCTTCTCAGGGTCGAAGTTTGAAGAAGCCATGTTTGTGGAAAAATGCTGTGATGCGGATTAGCAGTGGGCAACGGACGCAATGATTAAATATGACAACCGATGAGCAATAGACGCGGAGGGATTCATGTCCTTGCCGTGGTGTGCTGCTGCGCCATGGTGTCCACTGACTTGCACACTGGCCAATCAAATCAATCCTTTTGTGGTTGCCTGGTCGCGGGACAATAGTCTCTCCGCGTGCTCTGTTGAAAGGACGGATCAACTTCTACTAAGCATTAGTAAGACTGTCGAAGCTCAAGATTCATGCGCCGCCCCTCGTATTTCGATGAATACTGGATTCTGAAATATTTAATGTGCGACCGACTGAATACTTCTTGTAGAAATTCCACTGGAGCCTGCACCGGGTATACTTCCCGGCTTAATAGACCATGCCGGGGTGCATGCAAGAGTAAGCGCTAAGGCACCCCTCTTATCGCGACGTTTTCCGCGTATTTTGTCTTGGTTCCGTCGGCCCACTTCTCACACCGGCATTTATGAAGTACTTATAATCATCTCATTTTTGAGTGGCCTGACCATCGCTGCTGCGCATTTCGTCAGGCACGAGAGCTGTGAGAGCAGCAATAGGTACCTATTTCCAGAGCCTGTTCTCTTCTTTGCCTCACTTTTACTCCACCATCCTACATTCTCTTCGAACGTGGAGAACACCGAGCATGAGTGCCGCATCTTCTGTCGTCCCAGCAGCCATCGCTGGTGGTTTTCTGTTGCTCTTGTACCTATTTTATCGTCATGCCCTCCCAAAGCCGCTCCCAGGCATCCCATACAACAAGCATGCAGCATCCCGGGTTCTCGGCGATATTCCTGAGATGATGAGCTATGTAAAACGTACAAAACGCATTTTCGTGAGTTCAATTACTGCGTAACTGGGAGAAAGTCTAACAAGAAAACAGTGTTGGCTCACTTCACAAACGACCAAACACGGCAGTCCCATTGTTCAAATCTTCATTAAGCCGATGTCGCTCCCATGGGTAGTTGTAACAGACCCACTGGAGAGCCAGGATATTCTTCTACGGCGCACAAAAGAGTTTGACCGCAGCAGCTTCTTCGGTGAAGTTATTGGCGGCATTCTTCCAAAACAACACATCCAATTCCTGTCAAATGATGCCCGTTTCAAGGACAACCGCAATCTCATCAACCATTTAATGGCTCCGTCATTTATCAATGAAGTCAGCTTGCCAGAGGTATACAAGTCCGTCTCTAGTCTCATGAAGGTCTGGCAGGTCAAATGCGACATGGCTCAGGGACGGCCGTTTTCGGCTCACCACGATATCACCTATGGAGCACTGGATTCAATTTTCGCATCGTCATTTGGGCTCGCCGAGGCTGACAGCATCACGATACAACGCTTCGAAGCCGTCTCACGCTGGACCCCAGAGATGCCTGACGACGCCGATACGCCAGTTGTGTTCCCTGACGGCGAAATCCCCGAGGTATTCGGGGCAGTGCTCGATCTCGCCGAGTCAGTCAAGTATGGGCAACTCTCGCCATCGCCTCGCCTCGTTTCGTGGGTGCTCCGGAAGTTCCCCTACATGAGAAAGGCCGCCGCGATCAAGAACAAATTCATCAATGACAGCATCGACGAGGCAGTCCAAAGTATTGAGACCGGTGACGAGCATCCTCGGAATGCATTGTACTCGGTTCTGTTGCGCGAACGGGACGTGGCAGCGAAGCAGGGCCGGCCGCCAGTGTACCGCAATGGTGGTATATCCGATGAGTTCGCCGGCTTTCTGATGGCTGGCCACGATACCTCTGCTACGGCTGTCGCTTGGGGTGTGAAGTTCCTGGCAGACAACCCGGCCGCTCAGGACAGGCTGCGGGACGACTTACGCGCCGCCATTCCCCAGGCAGTGCAAGAGAAGCGCGCCCCGACGTACCAGGAGCTCATCAAGGCCAGCGTTCCATACCTCGATGCTGTGGTCGACGAGGTGCTGCGCCACGCCAACGCCGTCGCTTTTGTTGTGCGCGTGGCCCTGCAGGATACGACAGTTCTTGGGTGCCGCATCCCGAAAGGCACTGACGTGTTCCTGATGGCCAATGGCCCCGGCTACCTGGAGCCCAACATGCACATTGACGATGGCACACGCAGCCCGGGTGCTCGCCAACACAGCAGCAAGTCTCTTTCAGGATTCTGGGATGACAGCAACATTTCCGCTTTCCGACCTGAGAGATGGCTCACTACCGATCCGGAAACCGGCAAGGAGATTTACGATCCTATGGCGGGGCCGACGCTTCCCTTTGGTCTGGGTCCCCGTGGCTGTTTCGGACGAAAGCTTGCCGTTGCAACTCTGCGCTTGCAGTTCGCGATGACCGTCTGGCACTTCCACTTGCTCAAGACGCCAGATGAGCTGAACAGCTATGATTCTGTGCAGAAGTTTGCCCGGGAACCAACGCAGTGCTATGTCCGCCTACGCACCGCTATCATGTAGAATTGTTTGGTTTCGGAGGAAATGGGGCTGTATTGCGAATGGAGAGATTATCAGTAGACCTATGCAGGATTGAAATATATTCTGTGGTAATACGGAGAGTGCATCCAGTAAATTAACAATCCAACATATTGGTAGAACCAGCCTTTGGCGTCACTCTCAACTACGACCGCTACGGCGGAGCCGGCAAACGCGACAGCGACATTGGAAAAGCCCGCCAAAAGAGCGCTGGATGCCTTCCGCAGCCCAACAGGTGTAGCGTGAGTAAAGCTGTGAGTGGTAAGCAGTACAGATGCTGACTGCCATGCAGACTAGTGGTGGAAACCCTAGTGCGGGAGAGAACTGCGACGAGTACCCCTTTGCCAGCACCAGCGATGCCGACAAGGGCGGACAGGTCAACAAGTGCGTCATCAGCAAGCACAACAGCCGTAAGTACTCCTCAAACAGTGAGCAGTGCCATTGTTAACCGTGAATCACTTTTCAGGCCAAGGCAACATCATCTCGCAATATATCACGAACACTTGTGGCGGACAGAACTGCCAGTTCATCGTCGGGTTTGGGAACCCTGCATCGCCTGGTGTCAAGTACTGCCAGGCCTACAATGACAGGTACAACCAATGCACACCAGACGGCACTATCTTCAAGAATGGCAAGCCTGATGTCCGTCCGCCTCCGGCCAAGAGAGACGGCAACTCAACTCAGGTTGGCGGCTTATACCTGATGAAGTCGGGAATAAAGGTAGCCTTTGGTAAGCTCAAATACATGTGAAAGACTGGTCTCATGCATGCTGATGTGTTTTCACAGGCGCAAATCTGGAAATTGGCACACAGACCAAGCACGCGACGCCTAAGAATGCCACTATGCTCGCTTTCGTTGACGACAATGATGATGATGAGGGACTTGTTGAATGGGATTTCCTCGACGACGAGATCGTCGAGAAGCTGGAGTAAGGAGTCTACGTTGATCGCAGCATCGAAATGCGATGCCCTCGCCGATTTTCTCATTTTGCTGCCTTGCATTTCATCTAGTATTTATTAGTTAAGCTTGTACTTTCCTTGCTGTTAACAGTGGCTCTTGCAAACTTGCATCATTAGATATTATCTATTACTAAGTTTAGATACACCCATTCGTTTCTTGGCCGTCACCATGCCGAAAATCATTTCTCGCTACAGAGCATGTTGTTCCCTCATCTCTCAGGGACAGACACCGTGCAGCTAAACTACTAAGGCTCGTTTAGGAGTATGCGTTGACTGCCGCCTCCATTGCCGTGTCGAGTGTGGTCTTGTCCGCCTTGGCAGCGTCCGCGCAAGTAGGAACGGCTTCAATAATCTCGAATGAGTAGGTCTGGTTAATGTCAGAAAAACAGAACAAAGGTCCGCAGCATAAAACAAAGTCTTACATCGTCAGCGCCCTCTAGGACACGAAGGGCAGCACCGATAGGGGCACCCAATCCGCTTGCGTTAGCGTCATTGGCTTTGGCGGTGAGCGTGTTCAGCATAGCCGTCTGGGTCGTGGCGAACTGTGTATGTTGTAAGCGATAGTTAAGACAGTGGCGGTTATGTGGCGGCTTACCGTGTTGTAGGCATTGCAGACCTGCTGTTGGGAGGCATCATCGGAGAAAGGCTGCGTGTCTGCGGCGGCGGCGGCATCCTTAGTTGTGGCCTTGATAAGGTCTCGCAGGCTGTTGACAACATCCTATGTTGGAGTAGTGGTCAGTTCATGCACCAAGGGAGGTTTCTAGCATTAAAAGGATTCGTCTCACAATGCTGCTTTGAGGCTTGGTCGCATCGATTTCTTTGGCGAGGGTATCCGTGTCGCTGGACATGGTGGTGAGTCCCTGAAGGTCCGTGGTCATTGTGGAGGCGTCAACATCGCGAGGAATTACTGCGGCTGAAGCGACGCCGGCGATGGCGGGGAGAGCGGTAACGAGCTTGGCGAAGAAATGCATCTTGTGTGTTGAGAAGAGGGTCCTGAAGTGAGAAGAGTTGGTTGTGATGATTGCAGTGCTGCTGGTGCTGATTCAATTGCGGCGCTCCATGGGCCTCTTATACCTCTGCATTCTCCTTGGCTTTGGATGTGGTCAAAGAGTGATGCGCGGGATCAGCGTGAGGCTCGATATGTGCTTTGCTGCATTTGGTGCACGGCAAACAGATCACTTGCGGTGGGTACTTTTTAGTTGAGCTGTAGCGCGATGCTCGGCTCACTCTATAGATCTGTACACAGTGGTGCTGATTGGCCTGCGTACCAATTGGACCCTTGTAGATCAATACTGGCGCCCGGATCGGCTCGCAAATCGCCCGATAAAGTTGACGATCAGATCTCGGATCTCAGCACGTCCGCCGCACGCACCCAGAGTGGCTTCATCAAGCGGGGCAGCTGAACTCGTATGTAAAGGGGCGCTGGAAGTCGAAAGTACCTAGTCGGCCCGTCCAGTGACGCGGGGGCGCGACGAAAGAGGAAAGGGGTGGGTTGTTTAGCTGAAATCCAGCGGCCTATTTCTCGTTCTTACTCGCTTAAGATTAGACTACTACGGAAAGGGGCGAAGGCTACGAACATCAGTACTTATGTCGGTGTGGATAAGTAGTTTTTCTCGCTTGCGTAGTTGGCTTTAGTAAATTAGCTGGGTTACAATGGTTGGGGACGCTAAAGGTTGACCGGTGGCGGCTGTAGCGAATAGGCGCATTAGGAACATCCGTCGGAGTATACCCCTTTATTGACCGCTGCGGCTTGGTAGGGCTGCCGATCGTAGCGTCACCACTTCTTTGTCAATCAGCACCTACACATTTGGTGGGAATATTCGTCGCCTCAGGCGGCTCCGGTAATTGCAGCCTCAAGACGTCCCTGTGCAGTGGGAGATGGTCCACCTGACAGCACAAATCAGTCCGAAAGGCTTACCCTGCCAACAGCGCTCATAAATTACAATCAGCAAAGGACGCTTGACAATGTGTGCAGGCGTATCATGCGCCTGAAGATTTTCCGTGCGCCCTCGGTCGCTGGGAACTCAGCGCTTCGCTTGCCTGCCGGCAGCTCGGGATCCTCTGCGGTACGTGTGAGGAACTTCTTCGAGATATTGGAGTTGCCGGAAGAATATCGCTGTGGACAGAGCCATCCTAGGGAAGGCTGTTGGCTATCCAGGTCGCCTGTCGTAGTGCTCGACTCATGCCAGTTCGGGTCGCCCAGGTGGGGTGGAAATGAAAAAAAAAGTTGAAATTCTATGAAGAAATGGTGGGAGATCTCTCACCATTGATTATTGCCGCCTGGTAAAGAAGGACGAAAGTCTAGCTTGGCTAGCTTTGGTAACTTGTGCCTAGCTACAACGGAAAAACCATTCCGATCCTCGCTGCTGCCAGACTTCCTGCCTGCCCGCTACGAAGCAGACGTCATCAACCGGACTAATGTTTCAGCCAGCGCTTCAAAGCTTCCACTGATGGTAAAGAAATTAGTATGGCTTTAAGATAATATATTTTTAGGTACAAAGGCTCCTTGGGTCTCCAGCCTTTCTCTACTGCCGCCTGAACTCCAGCCTGATCTGAAACTCTGCGGTCTGTCAGTACGTAGAGGGCGGTAGTATGCGCATGACTGTGTAGCGACATACGGTAGGGGTAGTTGCATGATACGATGCGTATTACCGATGGCTCACTGTTACGGCACAGCCTTTGTCAAGAGGGATTAAGGACTAAAAGCAGGAATAAGAAAAGACGCGGGGCGTTGCAGAGGCTGAGAATGCCTCGGGTCGTGGTACCCAAGAGACCTCCAGGCAAAGATAAGCGAGAAACTGCCCAAACGGGCAGTGAGGAGCATGAGGTTCATGCTGAAGGAGAGCAACAACGGGAGCAATAACGATGGCTCCAAGCAGAAGGTCATTTCGGTGGTCATCTTGGTGTTGTAGTAATAACCACCACGTAGTCTGCCCGAAAAGGTAGGTCGAACTTCACATAATAAAGAGCGTATATTTGAAGGTATCGTGTGGATTGTTTGCCTCTCTAAGAGAGGCCTATAGTGTTTGTTTATATATATAAGCAGTAGTAATCTTGGCGGGGCCGTAGTGCCCCTTGCTACCGCCTTCTTATTTCAACGTATTTACTACTACGACCGATCATCCTGGGTTCCGCCTAAACGTTCTACCCCTCGTCACTAGTAGCCGAAGAGTAATCGGCGCTATTGGAGAGTCTGGTTAGCAATCTACAAAGTGGGTCGGATCTTGGATAAGCGGGCTCGGGTCGGCACGCGATAATCTAGTCTTTACCTGGATTTAGCTACGCCGTGCTGAATATTAATCTAAAGCATGAGGTAATTAGAGAAGGAGCAGAATTCTTAATTATACTAACATACAGGACAGCGGTCAAATATATAGATAATAGTGTAGCTTATATCACGTGACATGACTTCAACACGCCGCTTGCCCGTCCTCCTGAGTTGTAACACCGAGCTGAGGCGTCTAGGCGACTGAGACTCTGTTTGACTGCGTTAGATGGGGACGGTACCTAAAATTTTCGAAAGTAAGAAACGTAAGTGGCTGCAGCTAAAATTAGGTAATGGGGCTTGCTGTAGAGGGTAGTCGACAGCGAGCTTAATCAAAGATCGACGGAAACCAACAGCGACATGCCAAGAATCTCCCCTGCACCCCTTACTGGTGCATCTCTAGTAATCAATAATCGCCTTACGTTTCCGAATCATGAGATCTATGCTCTTCCGATGCAACGTTCTATGAAAGAGATGCGTTTGACCGCCACACTAGTGTTTATGGACAAATTAGTGAGACAACAGTATTTGGGCGAAGTAGATACATAGTAGTACAAGTGACAAGCCGACTTATGGGACGAAACAATAGGCCTGCGCAGAATGTCCGGCTTGTCCGTGTCGCCAAGGCTTGTCGAACCCGGTATTTTATCGTGCACGACAACAATGAAGTGATGACAACATGTTCCGCAGCAGAAACGCACCGGTCTTCAGTGGACGTAATGACGCTAGCCATGTTCGAGGCGAATCGTGTAATGAGAATTTCCAGCGGGCTGGCCGCTGCTAGCCAGGTAGGGCAGCCAAGAAACACAAAGGACTGCAGTTTGTCATACCGCCAAGTGCGTCTTCCAGCTGAAGGCTCGGCTGTTCTACTTATATGCATCTCCCTTCCTTGGAATGAGGATGCGGTACCGTACGGCCTGCTCTTCAATCTCCTCCACGATGGGAAAGCAAGAACAGATACAGCGTGACGCTCACATTTCTGGGCAATCCAATGAGCCTCTCTCCAAACCAGCCCACGCGCTTTGCTTTCAAACAGTCATCGAGGAAACAGGGGCCAATCCTCAAGATGGACTTACCAGCGCAGAAGCTAAGCGTCGACTGGAGCGCTTCGGGAGGAATGAGCTTGGAGATACGGGCTCTGTACAGCCTGTAAGGATCCTGCTTCGACAGTTTGCTAACGCCATGACTTTGGTAATACCATCCCCATGTTTTGAATGGACCCGGGCTCTGACGAAATGCGCAGATTCTTATTATGGCCATGGCGGTCAGTTTCGGTATCAAGGCTTGGATCGAAGGCGGCGTTTTGGCAGCCGTTCTTTTCATCAATATTGGGGTTGGGTTCGTCCAGGAGTTTCAGGCACAGAAAACCATGGACTCCCTTAGGTCTTTGAGCTCTCCCACAGCAAACGCAGTTCGCAACGGCTTGACCGTTTCAATCCCCACCGCTGAGGTCGTCCCAGGAGACATGATAGAGATGAAAGCTGGAGAGACGATCCCCGCTGATGTCCGGTGCGTATTGCACCTCCTTGTTGACCAATAAGGCAGCACTGACTTTGAAAAGCCTCATAGAGACCATAAATTTCGATACCGATGAGGCTCTTCTCACCGGCGAATCCCTCCCTGTGCGCAAAGACGCGAGCGCCATATTCGACGAAGACACTGGCCCTGGAGACCGGCTTAACGTTGCCTACAGTTCCTCGACGGTCACAAAGGGCAGAGCAAGGGGCATCGTATTTGCCACCGGGGTATATACCGAGATCGGGTCCATAGCAGCGGCACTACGAGCCAAGGGCTCCAGACGCCGGCGAGTGAAGCGCAAGCCAGACGGCACCGCCAAGCCGCATCGCTACGCCGAAGCATGGATCTTGACTATCTCAGATGCAGTCGGCAAGTTTCTCGGAGTAAACGAAGGCACACCATTGCAGCGGAAGCTGTCTTGGCTTGCAATCATCCTTTTTGGGACGGCCATTCTATGCGCGATCATTGTGCTTGCGGCCAACAGCTTCAGCAACAAGCAGGAGGTCATCATATACGCTGTTGCGACTGGTCTCAGTATGATCCCGTCATCCTTGGTTGTTGTGCTTACCATCACCATGACTGTTGGCACGAAGAGGATGGTAAAAAGGCATGTAATTGTGCGCAACTTGAATTCCCTTGAAGCGCTCGGGGCTGTTACAGGTGAGATTACCTCATCAAAAATGCTTTTTTATGAACCTCACTCAGTATCCAGTAGATATCTGCTCAGATAAAACCGGTACGCTTACCCAAGGCAAGATGGTTGCGAAGAAGGCCTGGATTCCTTCGCACGGCACCTATTCCATCGGCGAGTCCAGCGAGCCGTATAACCCGACCGTGGGCGACGTATATCTCGACCGCCGGCAGCCGCGAGATATCAATTTCAAGACTGCCGACACAGGTCCAGCAAAGGACTATCACGAACTTCTCGAAGGCAACACCAGCCTAGAAGAATACCTCAAAGTGGCCTCGCTCGCAAATCTCGCTGTCGTCCACCAAGACTCCTCGGATGACTGGAAAGCCCGCGGCGACCCAACCGAAATTGCCATTCAAGTTTTCGCATCCCGTTTCAACTGGAATCGCACTCAGCTTACGTCATCCGGAAAAGACGGCATGCAGCCGGCGGCATGGAAACTGTTGGCGGAATTTCCTTTCGACTCGGACATTAAACAGATGTCGGCCATTTACCAGGAAACGGTGACAGGGGAAGCGCACGTCTTTACCAAAGGTGCGGTTGAGCGCATCATCGACTCATGCACGTCCATCTGCTTGGATGGTGAGACAGAGGGCCCCCTGAATGCTGAGCTACGTGACGCCATTCTGGCCAATATGGAAGCTCTTGCAGCCCTCGGCCTCCGCGTCCTTGCCCTGGCGAGCAGACCGTTCAACGGACCAAGTACGGATGACTCCAGCCAGGATATGGACCGCAGCATGGTCGAGAGTGAACTGATATTCCGCGGCTTGATCGGCCTGTATGATCCGCCGCGCCTAGAGTCAGCGCAGTCTGTCCGACAATGCCATGCAGCGGGCATAGTGGTGCATATGGTGACGGGCGACCACCCGGGGACGGCGCGCGCCATAGCTGCCGATGTCGGAATTCTTCCATCGGCGGAGGAGACGAAATGCCTGAATAAAGACACCGCTGACTCCATGGTCATGACAGCGGCACAGTTCGACAAGATGAGCGATGACCAGCTAGACATGCTGCCGGTGCTGCCGCTCGTGATTGCGCGGTGTGCGCCCAGCACGAAGGTACGGATGATTGAGGCGCTGCATCGGCGGAGAAAATTTGCTGCCATGGTAGGTTCAAATTCCGTCCAACTCTTTTTTTTTTTTTTTCAGTGCAAATCTGGGCCAGACTGCAAAGCTTAACACGTCCTACAGACTGGTGATGGCGTCAACGATTCACCCTCCCTTAAGCGCGCTGACGTTGGTATCGCTATGGGCCAATCCGGCTCCGACGTGGCCAAAGACGCATCCGACATCGTCCTCTCCGATGATAACTTCGCGTCGATCCTCAATGCGGTCGAAGAAGGGCGGCGCATGTTCGACAATGTGCAAAAGTTTATCCTGCACGTACTCTCCCAAAACTTGGCGCAGGCATTGATTCTGCTCGTCGGCCTGGTCTTCAAGGACAATAGTCCAGAAAAGCTATCCGTATTCCCACTAAGCCCGGTTGAGATAGTCTGGTTGGTTATGATCACGTCTGGCTTGCCGGATATGGGGCTGGGTTTCGAGCAGGCGGCCGAAGGTATCATGGTGAAGAAGCCGCGGAGCGTGAGTTTCGTCCCTGCCAACATTCTGCTCAAACTGCGTAACGCTGAAATAACATTATCCTCCTCAGCTCAAACGTGGTGTCTTCACACCCGAAATTATGCTCGATATGCTCGTCTACGGCATCTGGGTGGCAGCGCTTTGCTTGGGTGCCTTCTCCCTCGTTATTTACGGCTTCGGTAATGGATCCATTGGTACCAACTGCAACAACACCTACTCAGCCAGCTGTGACCTTGTGTTCCGAGCCCGTGCTACGACGTACGCCTGCTTGACCTGGTTCGTCCTGTTTCTGGCATGGGAGATGGTCGACATGCGCCGTTCGTTCTTCCACATGCGGCCCCCGACTGATGGTAGCCGCTGGGTGCCCCAGTGGTGCCGCGACGTGTGGAAGAACCAGTTTTTATTCTGGGCGAACATTAGTGGGTTCGTGATGGTGTTCCCGATTCTCTATTTGCCAGTCATCAACGAAGAGGTGTTCCGACACACGGGTATATCGTGGGAATGGGGTATTGTGTTTGTCGGTACTATCTTATTTTTCGCTGGTGTTGAATTGTGGAAGTGGGTAAAGAGGGCGTACTTCAGGAGGACTTCATATTACGAAACATAGCGGAACAATATTCGGCCAAGGACTATGTACGAAAAGACGCTATCATGGAGAGAAAGAAGGAATAAATAAAACAAACTTAATAGATGATCGTATTACTCCCGAGGTTTTAGCAGCGAATAGTTAAGGATGTTACTGTGGGTCCGGGGTTTAGGTTATTCCTGTTCCGCGGGGCTGCCTTAGGTCGGGCGACTGTGCCGCTTCCCTCGCCTTTTATCTCTTGAGTGGGTGTCTTTAGTGGGTAACTTCAGTGGGATCCGTAATATATAGTCTATAATTCCGCTATCGGCTAAGTTGACCGATAAAGCGCTACGCTAATACGGAGTGTTAACCCTAAAATACCGCTTGCTAATTAAATCTTCTAAGCACGTCATTGAAGAATTTTCTATCTGTTATAATATAGATAAGAGGCTGCAATAAGAATAATAGATTCCCTAGAGAGCTTTCGAATTCCTGTCTGAGCGACTTAACCCCTAGTTGTTTTCTTTTCTACAAGCTCCCAGTCGCCTAGGATTTCTTTGCCTCTCCGCCTTCTGTTTCGTGGTGCTTAATCTTGCTTCCAGTGTATCTCAGTTTTTGAAACGCGCAACGAGATCGAAGAAAGAATCTGGGATGCGATAAAGTTTGACGGAAACATGACAGATATGCCAGATGATCAAAAGTACTCCGCAAGCAACAATGTCCCTATGGTTGCCGACAATAGCTCGCAGGAATTGAACTGCGCTCACAATAGGAAGCTGCTACTCAAAACAGACTCGATCGCGCTTCCACTGATTGTCATAACGTCCACACTCGCCTTTCTGGACAAGGTGCGTCGAGCACGGCGGATATTCCCCTTCCGTAATTCTCACCCAGCTCTGATGGACAGAACGGAATGGCATACGCCGCGGTCTACGGCATGAAGACGGATACGAATCTCAAGGGGCAGGAATACAGTTGGCTCGGCAGCATTTTCTACTTCGGCTACGTATGACCTGGACCCAATCTTTTCTACCTTGTTAAGACACTAAAAAAAAATCCACGACCTCAGTTGACTGCCGAATTTCCAACGCTCTGGCTTCTGTCTCGAGTTCCACTTGGCAAGTATATTGGTTTGTGCCTCTTCTGCTGGGGTCTTTGTTTATGCTTCATGGCGGTCTGTTACAATTTTGAAGGCCTCGCAACTGTACGCTTTCTGCTCGGCGTATTCGAGGCAGGAATTCTTCCTGCACTGATGAGGATGAACTCGATGTGGTGGCGGAGAGAGGAACAACCGCTGCGGACGGCGCTCTGGTATAACACTTTCGCTGTAGGTTTCATAATTCAGCCAATACTGCATACCCGTGCGGATATAGTGACAAATTCTGACGGTTGCAGGGAATTTTTGGTGGCATCCTCAGCTACGCCATCGGCAACATCAATGGAAGCCTCCCAACTTGGAAGGTTGGATCACTTATCTCCTTCTCCGAAGATTTGCTCATATAAATCTTACAGTATATCTTCCTCATCTACGGGGCTGTTACTATGGCTTACAGTATTGTTGTTTTCGCCGCTTTGCCGGACCTCCCGGAGAAAGCGTGGTTCTTCTCCCCAGAACAGAAGAAGGCTGCCATTATTCGCACTGCCGAGAACCAGACGGAGGCCAAGAAGCATAGAGGATGGAAGCCCACACAGATCCTAGAGGCTGTACGGGATCCAAAATATTGGTGTGTGGTTGTCTTTACAATCGCGCAGTCGGTCACGAATGCGGGGATCACCAACGTAAGGCTTCACCATTCCCAAGGCAAGACTCATGCGAGTCTAGGCTTTGTATTGCGAGCTATTGCAAAGTAGGTGCTAAATTGTGACATCTGGCAGTTTAACCCTCTCATCATCTCCGGCTACGGCTACTCACAGTCCAAGACAACCCTGATGGCGACACCTCAAGCAGCTGTAGCACTGGTTTCTCAGGTATTTTGTACGACGCTCGCATTCTTCATACCGAACATACGGTGTATTCTCTGGGTGATGGGGACACTGCCAGCTTTGGTTGGTGCAGTGATGATTCACGGTAAGGATGCGGTCGGAATTTCGAAATGCTCAGATCGAAAATTAATCAAACAACGTCTCTAGTTCTCGACATCGAGACCCAGCGCTCCGCATCATTGGCGGGCGTGTATCTCTTGGGATTCTACAACGTGTCATGGGTCTTAATGCTCAGCCTCCAGTCGTCAAACACCGCCGGTGAGACTAAGAAGAGTTTCTGCTCAGTGTCGGTGGCAGTATTTTATGGTAAGATCTTTCTAATAGTCCTCCATGTTCCCCTAGAATAACATTTTCTTACAGCTGTTGGCAATATCGTCGGCCCACAGTTCTTTCTTGAAAGCCAAAGCCCACGTTACCCGCTCGGTATTAGCGCCATGTTGTGCTGCTTTGCTATCATGGTGGCCACAGGGATTGCTTACGGACTAATATGCATAATTGAGAACCGGAGGCGAGATGAGACTTACGGCACGCCTATTGCTGCTTTGGAGGATTCTAGTCTAAGTGTAGAGGCAGAAGACCGGACGGATTTTGAAAACACTAACTTTAGATATGTGTTTTAACAAAAGGTTCAATCTTAACCAAATGTTAAAAGTGGCAAACACGTCTTTAGTCATAAAGGGGGTGTTCAAGATCTTCACCGCGCATGCAATAAGCTTTTTGCTAGTCTGTTCAAGCACAAAACTTCTGCTTCGACATTAGGTATTAGCAAGTTGCCCCTCACCGTCCTCCAACCAGATCCGTTGCACCCGGAACTCATTGGACTATGTTCTTTTATATTTATGACTTAGAATTTTGAAACAAGCATCCTCAATTGCAATCCGATCAGAAGCAGTGGCCTGCAGAACTGCCCGCCATGCTCGCCGCTTCACCGTCTGGCCCATCTGCGCCATGCAATCCCCTGCCCCCACAAAACACCGCAATGCTTAACCCCTGAGCTTGTCTACTCACTCACGCACTTAACATGGGCCTTCAAGAATACCCATGCACGCGTGCGGTGGTCAGGGCGCCCTTAGCGCTGCACTACCCCCACACACTCTACGCTCTCTTACACATCCGTCCGACGAGCGGAGCTAACTGCCCGACAGCGCTCTGACCCAACGAGTCATCCATCCGGCTACACTGCCAGCAAGCGTGCCCTCTGCCTCGGTCTCGGCTGTCATGAGAGTTCCTCGACGACAGTCGCCAAAGCCCGGGGCCGCTCGCAGGTTCAATTCGCCGTCTGCATGCATGCCGCCAGTTTTCGCCCTCTGAGGGCTGGAATGTCGAGTGCGAGGATATAATTGGTGGCGAGCTGCGTTGCAAGTTTGAGAGCACGCGATGGGTGGGTGGATGGGTTAATGCTGCGAGACGGGAAGCACGGGGCGCGGATGTGGAAATCAAAACTCCGACAGTCAATGTGTCGGATTGGTTACATGTCCTGATGTCCAGTTGGAAATGCACTTCGGGTAATCAGGGGTAGTACCAGACCGATACATGTAGTCTTTACTGGAGTGATTGAAAAGGACTGACAGTGATGAATGTGGTGGTCCAAGCAGCTTCCACTCATATACCTGGACTCATTCCGGCCCAGAACTTAGGCGCTTTAAACTCCAGAGCAAAACTTTCTACAGGGTGGAATGAAGAGTAGTGATGGTTTTCCCATTTTTCCTTTTGTTTATCTCGTCTCGTTAAACTGAAAGCTTTCAAGTGTAGATGTATCCGAGAAGGTTAAACTATAATGCTATAAAGCCAGGAAAATATAGTGCTGGCCTCTTTTACTTTTGTTTCACAGGGTCTTCTAGGTACGGTTAATAGTGTATGTACGCCACGGTCTTTCAAAGTTCAGCCGCAGCTTCCGCCACCGCCACCACCATGCAGCGTGTTTTTGGAAGCGACATGTCGGGTAATGGCATGCACAGGCATAAGCTTTTACATGATCAAATGTTTTCCATTATCAGCATGTATAAAGATGGCCAGTCAGGGCGGAAGATTGCATAGAAAATCTGACGGCCTTAATCTAAGGAGTAAGTACGACAGTTTCTCCAGCACTACCATACCTTGCCGCAGTCTCGAATGCTTCTTCCCACTGATCAAGCCCAAATCTCCCAACCAGTTTCATTCCCCTATCCTTCCCCAAAGGCAAAGTTCCCGCTTCAACCATCTTCAACAGCTGAATCGCCTGGCCGCGAGTACACCTCCATGTGCCCTTCACCGTCAACGCTCGAAGCAAAATCTCAAACGTCGTCAACGGAAACCCGCGCGCGCCGCCCATCAGACTGACCCGGCCACCACTCCTCAGAGAATTAAAGCAGCTCCTGAAATGGGTCGAATCGGACGCCTGAGGCGACGATATGTCCAGATACGCATCAATTGGGCCATCGGCGGCATCCGTGACAGCCTTCGCATCTGCATCCACGTCTCCGGTGATGCGCACCGCCGCCACGCGCCTGGGATCCACGGCGACGAGGCGCGAGAGCACCTCCTCATTGCGCCCCACAGCCACGACGCGCGCCCCCATGGCCAGCGCCACGTGCACGGCCGCGCCGCCGTAGATGCCGGTAGCAGGTGCGATGGCCACAGTCTCCCCGGGCCGTAGACCGATATCGCTCAGCCCGCCAAACGGCACGAACATGGGCAGCACGTGGCACAGCTCGTCGTCGATCCCGTAGCCCAGCTGCCGAAGCCGTGTCTCGTCGATGCGCAGGCAGTTCTCGAGCGGCACCCGCGCGTGCTGCGCGTACGTCGAGTCGCGCCACTCGGCGCAGCGCGCCAGCTTGCGCCCGGCGTCCGACGGGAACTCCTCGATGCCCGAGATGTAAAGCACAGAGGCGTCGTCGCGGCCGCGGACGTGCGCGTCGAAGAGGACGAGCTGGCCTGGTGCAGAGAGCGTGGTTGCGTCCGGCCCGGCCTCGACGATGCGGCCCAGTGCTACTTCGCCGGGGACGAAAGGCGCAGGGAGCGGGTAGGGCCGCTTGCCGCTGTACACCTCGCCGGAGTACGGGACAACCAGGGCGGCGAGGATGCGGATTACGGCGCTGCCTGGCCCGGCACGAGGGGTTGGAATGGTTTCTATTGTGAGAGGTCGGTCGGTGCTGGCGAGTTTGAGTACTCGGTGTGTCTGGGGGATGATGGGGGAGGACATGATTGTCGACTTTTTTGATGGAGAGTGGTGAGTAGGTCTAAAAATGATAACTGGCCCTCGCAGAAATACAAAGAGATGTACATATAGAGTTGGTGTATGGTAGGTTTATCCCGTGCGCCAAGACATCCTCAGCGGGCTATTTGTAAGCTCGTAAGCTCCGAAGCTGCCACTTGCGCCGGAATACGGGATGCTCTGATACCGAAGCGAGAGAATGTCCTTTACAATGCCGCCTCACCTCATCATCAAGAGGAATCCACCAGGTCTACAATCCTTCTTTGGCAAAATCAGCCATGTCGCCCACGGAAGCTCAAAAAGCACCCTCCCTCACCATGCCGCCAAAACGCCGTTGCATGTTGCGGACAGTGGGGCTGCCAGACTACTCATCTCGCTGGGAGCAGACACCTCTGTAAAAGGCAGTACGGGCGCAATACCACTGCACTACATGGCTGCAAAAGGACAGGTGAAGGCTGTTGAGATGCTTGCGCAACAGCAAAGCAGCGCTCCAAACATGATCAACAAACATCAACAGACACCACGGCAATTTCCCTGTCAGAACGGACATATGGAAATAGTGGCAGCACTGCTCCGGATCGGGGCATTTGCCCACGCCGTAGATGCGGACGGAGGACGGCAACTTCCTATCCGAGAGACCCTAGCAGCTCATAGTTCTAGACACGATGCGAAGCATACAATCTCAGGAATTCATGTAGGGTTTTCCCGACGGAGAACGGCAACTTCCTAACCGAGAGACGTATAACCACGAATACTGACACTTTACAAAGCGAAACGTGTAATAGGCTATGTACTGATACTGGGTATGTTGGCGGACTTTCCACCACAGGGTGAATCATCCACTCTACCCATCTACTTGACGAGTTCAGCTACATGTCTTACATTCCGCCCTTCCTCAGTCCTCCACCTTGATGACAACCGAAAGCGAGCGTAGTAACTCCGTGAGAGAGGTTCAGAGCTACATCACCGGAGGACATGGATGACTGTGCCCTACTCCTTAGACTCGGAGCGGACTTCGTCGACCGTGATGATTCCATCGCCGTCCTTGTCGAACCTGCTTGTGAATCAGTATCACGCTTTCCGGCAGTTGAGAGGCTGCATTGCTTACTTGTTGAACCACTTGACGTAGGCTTCGTCATCCTCGGACACGCGCATGTACTGGGCGTACTGGGCGAGGGTCAGGTTGCCGGTGCCATCGGTGTTTGCCTGGCTAAAAGCCTCGGCGTCCGAGATCTCGGGGCTGGTACTGGCCGCGAGGCCGGTCAGGCTGGCAGCGCGGCAGCCTAAGCCTAGTTAATGCTGACGGATCACCCTTGCCTTTTGAGAGAACATACCGCCGTCGCAGTTGCAGCAGAAGATGTTGCAGCCGCCGTAGCCGCAGCACGGGGTACCCGCAGTGCCGTCCCTGCAAATACCACCTGAGTTGTAGCAGCAGTCCGCCAGAGCGAACGGAGCAACGGTAGCAAGGATGGCGAAGATGGCAGTGTACTGCATGTTGATTGAGTGGGAACGGGTTGGCTTGAGTTGGAACGAGTTGAAGTGAGCTGAGATGGTGCTTGATGATGGACTGAAAGAGCCTGCTTGCTCACTATTTATACCCAGCAGTCTTCATACCCGAATGGAGAATATCCCAATAGTCCGCTTTGAGAACTGCTGGCAGCTCATCAATGCAACTGTAGCCGACTATGCAGCCCGTATTCAAGGGCTCGGATCAGTAGGTCCAGGGAAGCCAAGGCAAGCTGGGCAAGGGGAGTATTCCTTCCCGTGACGATGTGAAGACCTATGCCTGCTTTAGTCTCGTAGAGCTTCCTGTTGCAAAACGCCTTGCACTTTGATTGTTCCCACTGGCATTTTTGCGGGGTCAGAGGAGGGTGAAGTCTTTCTTTAGTTGGACAGACGGAAGCTCGTCTTTCTCGGTTGCGTCGTCCTCGAGGTGGGGCTATGCGGTCGAATATTGGCGCAATGAGGATGACTTCCCGCCCCCGGGACCATCTCTCCTCCATTCCTCAATGGCGGGAAGATCCGGCGCGTAATCGTCACTTCTAACCCGTCATCCACATGGCCGTGGACTCCAAGCTCAATTTTCCTGTAGGTTGTGCGGTAGTGACGGGGTGCTGCTGGACATACTCGAAGGCCAACAGTGCAATGTGTATGTAGGACTCATTCTGTATCTACGCCTGCAGTCGATGTTAGGTCCCACCACCAAACATTTCTGTCTTCAGTGATGTCTGATTTCTGGATTCAGTGAATTTCAGCTGCGGGACATTGAGTTTCCGTTTGGGATACGTCATTTTCCCCACGCGTTGAAAATGATTACCCATCACAACACGAATAGCATTTCAGAGGCGAGAAAAGTAAGATGGTAAACCTTTGCCGAATCCTGGAGCCGTAACGACGAGTTCGCGTAGGTAGGGCTTAGCCGACGCCGTGGCTTACGCATCTTGCCTAAGCCGACACCCCTACAAGTCTTAGCTGCGTTACCCGCCAGTCGGGTTTCGATCCTCAGCGGCCCGTTCCACACTTAGCCGCCGCCTACTGTATGTACTGCACCTACAGACACCGCCACAACTGCTCTCACGCCATCGCCCTAAAACATTCGCAATGAAAGTCTTATATCAACGACAAAACATCTTTTTCAAGGCTGACCGTTACTCTTGTCTTCTATGCTGGATAATTTGGCTGGTGGCCCTCTACTGCGCCCCACACTAAATGCTCACGATGCACTCGATGCTAGTGGGGGCTGTCCACCGTCCCCTGCTGCCCTACACTAGTGCAGCTGTGGACAATGATCTGAATAAGGGGTGCGAAGGAGCGATGGGGCACCAGCGGTTGGACGTTGCTTTTGCCAAAAGTGGTCTGTGGTTGCCAACCGCCAGCGGCAACCAGTCGGTCGCGGACCGCATTCGAACCGGCAGTGAGCCGCAGAACGAACAGCGCACGGTCCTTAAATTTCAGAAAATTGATGCAAGTAATCTTGCAGTATTCCTTCATGGTTTCTGCAGGACCAGTTGACTGGCGGCTAAACACGAGCCACAGCCCGTTCCAGAATCAATGGGACTTGTGAGGAAACATCGCAGCACCATGAGCGGATCGTGCGCCCACATTGGAGAAGATTCGCCTGATTTTTTCTTCTACCGTGTTCCATTAGATCAATTGGGAAATGTTCCCCACCAGCAGGACAGCCAACCCCGCATTCAGGCCCGCTACCGCACAGGGTTGAAGTGCGTAGGGCATGGCGCCAAGCCGTCGACAGTGTGACGCACAGTAAACCCGCTGACATTTGACATGGGTTAACCACAGAGCCGGGAAGGGGGGGCCTGTTCAGACAGCAATGGCTGAAATTGGCAGTGTTGAGGCTTTTTCTTCTCCTGCTACTCGTATTCGTTAATACCTCACTGTTTCTGGAGCTCCACACTGCTTCCGGCCTCCACACTTCTACTGCCACTGTCTACGTTAGGACAAAATTTTATGTCAGAGAGATGCGACTCTCCCCAATTGACGCGCTATTTTCTTTCGTAACGCTACCATGGCTCCTACTTGACAAGACAAGAAAGGCTACATGTACTCCCTATCCTAAACGGCACAACACGCCGCCAGCAGCGTCTTCATTAAGACATCTTGCCAAGTGCGAGCCTTGATGCAGCCTTGCCACAATACGACCGAAAAAAATCTTCCGTGACCAATTCTCCTCCACCCTCCTCTACTTCCTCTAAGCCAGGCGGGCCGAAACGGCAGCATCTATATCCAGGAGGGAAGTAATTGTGCAACGAGTGTGTGGAAGTTGTATGGTAAAGTGGATTGATGAAAATGCGCTTAATTGTCAAAATAATGTAGCGTAGAAAAGCATTGTGACAGCTGCAGACAGTTGCTGAACAGAGATCGGAGACAGGAGCTGCAGCATGTAAATACGGCTCGCAACAGAGCCCCACAGTTTAGGCGAGCGGGTTGGAGTGACAAGTGTTGAGAAAGAGAGCCGAGACATTGGGGAAGCGGCACGGGAAGGACGCCGGCGGTAGCAGCGAATAGTACCTGGCAATCTTTGGGAACCAACACAGTTTTTTTTGAATGCAGTCACAGAGCGTTTATTAATTTCATGTGTTCAAGTGGGTGCCTCACTAGCGACCATGTCACTTATAAATCATCAGTGGTCATTCTGACACGTCAAAGAAAAAATAGAAAATGGGGCAAAGTGGCTGATAAATCATCAAGAACAAGGAGACGGACGAGGTGGTTTGGGAGTTTGTTCTTGTTCAGCACCCGGAGTTACGGAACTACATCTTTACGAATTAGACTGAGGCTCAATTAAATGTAGGTAAAACTATTTCGTAACAAGAGATGCTCCAATTTCAGATTAGCCAGATGCCTTATATCGTACAGCCATTATTGCCTAACACTCAGACGAAAAAGAAGAGCGTGTTAATATCATTACACTATTACAGCCAATGCCCACTTGCGTCGCTCCCGATCTCCTCGCACTGAGTTCACATTCATCAACTATTGTTGATACTTGGGCTGGCAGGAGTTGTTACCTCAGTGGAAATCTCCATTATGTTTGTCAGGCGTGCCTTCAGCGGCTACCGAGTGGGAATGGTTCGTAGTCGTGGGCACCAGAGCGATGTTGGTGGGAGGTTCATCTGAGGAGAATCGGTTACTCTGAAGGCCCGAGGCTGTATATAAAATGGGGGAGACTTACCTGTTTGGACCATGGGTGCAGCGGGGCGTCTGACGTCCTCGCGAGTTGCTGGTGGGTCGCTGGCGGGCTGGAAAGCTTTGGTTTCATTCTCGTCGAAGTCTTGGCCTGGGTTGGCGGTTTCATATTCCAGTGACTTGATGAGTCTGTACATTATGACTGCAAGGATGGAGCCTAACGCAGGACCAAGCCAATAGATCCAATGGTAGCCGTCGAAATTGCCGAGTACTACGTCTGGGCCGAAGGAGCGTGCGGGATTGAGACTGCCTCCAGTGAAGTAGACGCCTGACAGTTCAGCCACGAAGAGTGCCAAGCCGATGCCGATGGGCGCAAGGAAGGTGCTCTTGTGCTTTTCCGCAGCCAGCATAAAGACGGTGAAAACGAGCATGGCAGTCAGGAACATCTCGATAAAGAGACCCCGTACAACCGACGTGTCGCTACTCAGCGTTGTTCGAACCTTCATCTCGTTTGGAAAGAGGGCGGATACAATGCCAGCCGCGGCTATTCCTCCGATGATCTGTGTGATGAATACGAAGCTGCCTCGGGCCCAGCCAAGAGCTCCAATGAGGCACAGGCCCAGCGTTATCTACACATTAAATTACTTCAACGAGCACTGGTAAGACGATGAAGGACTTACTGCGGGATTGAATAGACCTCCGCTAATGCGAAAGAAGACCCAGACGTTGGCTGCAAGCGAGAAACCGAAGCCCAAAGCTATGAAGAGCAAGTCAGGCGTAGTTGGCGTGCTGGACTCGGAATTGTTGGAGACCACTGTGTTTGCCACCTGTGCCGCGGAGAGTGCAAAGAACAGGAAAGAACACGTTCCCACAAACTCTCCGAGCATGGCAATGAAGTGGTTCCTTACTCTGGGCGGCATCCAGCCTGTTCCAGGCAGTCGGCGGACCGGAGGGCTTGACCTTTGGCTCTCCACATCACGGACGGCGGTTCGTTTCGGCCATCCAGGAATAACAATGTATTGTTCAGCGGGCTGGTTGATGTTCATGTTGTGTGATGAGTAGAGGGAAGGCTAATGAGACGAGTGGGAAGGACAACCATACCGGTAGATGAGCCCCTCCTTTTCACTAGAGTGCGAAGCCCATTTGCCGTGCAACCGCAGCGGAAGAATGACGATAGCATACTTCAGTGATACAGAGACTAGCATATCTCTGCGGGGTACTTGAGTACAGACATACATGTGTAATACTATGTAGAAAGGATCTTGAAAAGAGGATGTGTTCTCTCTGCATTTCCCGTTGTCTCCGGAGGCCCATCACTCCGGGACACGCGAGATGACGCCGCAAGATAGCCGACTGATCGTTGATCGATCGTTGATGGGGGACCACCATCCTGGTTTTTTAAAAGGAAGTTGCAGGCGCATGCAGACAATTCCAGACGAAAATGACGTATGCAGGCCTTTCCGGAAGAGAATGACGTGATCTTGATCTCAAAGTGCCCAAGCAGGTGTAGCGAAGCGCTCATGCACACCGTTTCTTTTTCCTCTCCTCAGTGACACCGTAACCTTGTGTTCCGACCCTTCATTCGAAACGTCATGTGGCTTGGTGCTACCTCGGTAAATTTTCCAAAGGTAGCTGGGCATCAAACTCTGAAAATTGGATTCGAGTCGTGTTCGTGTCTTGTATTTCATTTTCTTATTGCGAAAAATTCTCCGTCTGATGGCAGAATTCAAAGTAAAGTAACTATCGGGGGTTCTTGGTTGTGGACTCGTGTAACTCCTTGACGGATGAGCGTAGCCTTTCTCGGGATCTACGGTACACATACTTTAGTGTTGCAAGCGCAGTGTAACCACCAGATGCCATTGAGTCAGGCCACAGGGAAGTTCCAGGACCGGCTGAATCGAGAACCCTGACACCAACTGCAGGCAGCACCAACCGTGCTGCTGGAGATCACTGCGGAGAAATTCGAAGTGCTCCGTCATGTCGGTTCCAAGCCAGGACACGGCAGCTCCCTTCTCGCTTGCTGTGGGCGATGACCTGATTAGAGCAGCGTGACTGTCGACGAAATTATGCAAGAAGATCCGATCGGGCGAGCAGCAGGGCGAGTGACAATAAGCCACTGGCCAGTTTGAAGTGTGGGAATGTGGAATCCGGCCACGAAGCCATGCGGTAGGTCGCCCTCTCACTGAAGGGAATGAAGGTCAGCACGCACCACTCAGTAAAGAAGCAGTCGGGATCTTGCAGATCAAGAAAATACACCGGTCCGAGCTGTTTAGTGGCGCAGTATCAGTGCAGACCCCTCACGACGTCAGTGAGCAACTTCACGGCATTCTTGCAACATATGTGCCGCATGGGGTAATCTGAGTACTGCCGCGGATCGGCCCGCAGTCGGTAGCCGAGCACGTACGGCAATTGGCCTGATATTACCTCATGAGCAGGGCGAGCTTCGACTGCACTGCAGCCCGATTCTTGTATGGGCGCTCATGAGGGGTTAACAAAGGTACCAGTGCATGAAGTGCCGAGAGGCGAGCTGCCGAGTCCGAGTCTACATACTTCAATGCGGGTTCCCGGAAGTTTTACTTCAGGGCACAGGCGAGAAATACCGGCCGGAACAAAAATCGTTTGACTTTGGTCGAGTTGGAACCTTAGGCCAGTGACGCCGTGTGATGCACCCTTGGCAACCAGTCTGGTGTACACGGAGTAAGATGCGCTATGACGTTGAAATGCTGCGCACTTTATACTGCGGGTTTGCTGAGGACAGTTACAAGAGCTTGAGAAGTAGACTGTTGTTTGACGTGGGGCAACAACAGAATTGTGTGGGGCGGGAAGCGTGGGCCTGAGGACACATTTGGGAGAGGGAGGTCAGACGGCTCCGCGGATCAGCAGGCTTGCCAATCCCACAAGCATCGTGTATGGCTGGTCGAATAACTTCATCGGCGGTCGGGTATTAGTGTTCTTCAGAACCTCGTGCACGAGCTAGACCGCAACCAATCAGCGGAGAGACAAATGGACAGAGGGCTGCACGGGTCTTCATTTGGGTTAGGAAAGGCGGTGGTTCCCTACGTCAAGCAACAGAGAAGAAAAAGTGGGAGTTAGCCGGTTCTTCATTAAAGCGTGGTGGAAATAATGTTAACTCCGAACCGTAAAACCGATTAGCGATTCCAAAGCACGTGCATTCTTTAGTCTCCGTATTCTGGTCGGATCGCTAAAGAACCGACCCGTTCGCTTTAATGCAGACTCTTGATGGCTTGCAGATGACCCTCTAACCAATCAGTAGGCGCTGAATCATGGCAAGTTTCATGTACAAGTCTTTTACGAGTCAGACGTTCTCCTATCAGGCAGTCTTTTCCACAATTTCCAGCCTTTTCTCGACTCGTATACGAATATAATATCTCCTCCGGCCTACAGATCCACTCCTACCTTCACTTCCACCTCTGTCGGCTCCTATCGAAGCTTATCTATTGGTCGACAAATTCAACACCACGACTAGTTGGCTATTAGCGAGGGATATAATTCGCCACATTCCCAAATTAGGAAAGAATCGGGCGGAGTGGAGGTAGGAGTGGATCTACAGGGCGGAGGAAATAGACCTCTCGGTAGCATGTTTCACGTAACTCGTCCTTTCACCGTGCAAAGCCATCTCGAGGCTGGTTTCGTCCGAAGTTTCCATAGCCATTATTGAGCGGCAGTGCTGAGATATAAATAATGTGGTTCTCTTTCAGACCAGCAGACATTGAGCTCCAACTTACCATCGGAACAATGGAGACAACCGGCAGCACCACCTTCAATACTGCTTCCTACATCATCACGGCTGTATTGACAGCATGTATGCTTTTCTATACGTATTGGCTCACGAAACACAACGAACTGTACGATGGAATACAAGTCGTCCGGCCTACGAAAGATGGCCATTCCCCCAGAGAAGCAAAGAAGGCGTATGGGGGGTCTGCGCTTTCAATCTTGGCAGATGGTAAGAGGACGGTAAGTGGCAGTGCCAAGAGAGCAACTTTATCGATCGGGGGCATGCTAACATGGATGCAAACGAAATAGGCTCAGGGTGCCTTCCAGGTCTATACCGAGGCTGGCGTCATGATTATCTTGCCCTCAAAGTACTTTGCGGAAATCAAAAGTGACGCTCGCTTTGGAACTGACGAGGCGAGCAAAAAGGTCAGTATCGGCGCATAGTATAAGTAGTTGGTCTTTTTGGACGTCTTTCTGACAAGTTCGCATGGGTAGACATTCATGGCCGAGATTCCTGGCTTTGATGGTTTCCACGCGCTGCTCAATCACAACATGCTCCAGGATATGATCCGCACGAAACTTACCCAAAGCCTCGGAACCATGACATCGGAGATAGTTGAAGAGACTGCTCTCGCCGCCGAATCAATTCTAGGTTTCCCATCTGAATGGACAGAAGTCCGGCCCATCGAACCCATCTATCGCCTTGTCGCGCGTGTCTCTTCCCGGGTTTTTGCTGGCACTCGGCTTTGCCGCGATTCTGCATGGCTTGAGATTGCGGTCTCTTACACTGTACTGGCCTTCGACGCCGCCCGTGCGCTCCGCTTCTGGCCTGAGCGCATCCGGCCCCTTGTTCACTGGTTCGTTCCCGAGTGCTGCCGGTTGCGCAAGGCAGTCCAAAACGCTAGGAGCGTGCTTGGGCCGGAGATTGGCAACATGAAGCAACAGTGGGAGCAGGCAAAGGAAATCCAGAGCGGGAAGCGTACGAGCAAGAATACCATTTCGATGATGCTGGATGTGGCAAAGGGGCGCCCTGTGGATCTTATCGAGGCACAGTTGGGTTTGACAGCAGCTGCAATGCACACCACCACAGACATGACAGTCGAGGTGCTGTACCAGCTCTGTACACACCCTGAATTTTTTGAACCAATGCGAGAAGAGATCGAACGGGTTCTGCGGGAAAGTGGGGGCTCGTTGATGAAGAAGACAGCGCTGTACGAACTCAAGTTCATGGACAGCTTCTTGAAGGAGACGCAAAGGCTGAAGCCAACTTCCCTCAGTAAGTTTCTATCTCGGGACAGTATTGAATCAGGTGCCTAACTGGATTCTGCTACACTTTGCAGCCAGCGCTCAGCGTGTTCCTTCCGAGGACGTCACTCTTTCTGATGGCACCTTTCTACCCAAAGGATGCCACGTCGCCATCTTTAACGATGGGTGCTGGGACCCTCAATTCTTTGAGAATCCGGAAAGATTTGATCCCTATCGTTTTCTCAACATGCGGAAGGTTCCAGGCAGGGAGAACTCCAGTCAGTTTGTTACCACGACGCCGGAGCACCTCGGTTTTGGCCATGGAATTCACGGTATGTTTTTGTCATTCACTCATTTGACAGTGGTTGAGAATGAAGAGTCTAATGAACAGCAGCATGTCCTGGAAGATTTTTCGCGTCGAACGAGATCAAAATTGTGCTCTCCCATCTTCTTACTCATTACGACTGGGAATTGGCCCCCGGACAAGGGCCGCCAAAGCCTTTGGTGGTCGGTGCTGAAATGATGGCAAATCCAGAAGCTAGACTCATCTACAAAAAGAGACCAATGTAACTGCCGCAGCAGCGAAGTAAGGTTTAAGAAGACTGCTGGGGAATAGAGAGTAATCATGTGGAAACCATACCGGAAACTAGATTAGTACACATTATTCGCGGGGAAATAAAATCATCTTTACATACAGCCTGATTTGCTCCCATATGTTAGAGATGCGAGATGCCGGGTCCCGGAACTGTTACTTTGGTGTCATCCCGACGATGGAATCTTTGGCCAACGCTTCCATTGCCATGTATTTCTTGAGACAAGATAATTACTGTGGCCCTTGGCCACCCAGTATTTTTCACCGGTGCCTGCTCGAGGTGTGGAGCGGGTACGGCTGTAGCGTCATAATGGTATGCAGGCTCGTAATAGAGTCAAGCGTGACGGCGTATGAGGAACTTAAGAACTCGTAGCGCCAACAGGCCTTTCGGCAGGATTGAGATCGTATCTCCTTCGGGTGTGGAGCTTTGGCATCGAAGGTGATGTCAGGCAGGGCAACTCAGTTCTAGAAAAGTTAGTGCAAAAAGGCAAGAAGGCAGATGTAGCCTTCAGCATCGCGGGGTCAAGTCTGGCTTCGTGCTTAAATGCTGCGGACAATTTCTTCACCTGGCTGCAGGGCAATGTGTACGTTTTCCCGGTCTCACTTTCAACTAGCAGAGACGATAAACACTCGGAGGTGGGACTAGGGACGAATAGAACTTCTGTTTCAGGTAAATATTATGCAGCTCTTCGTACTACTACAAAGTCAATTTACGCATCACTCTTCGTTTGCTCGACGAGCCAGCGCACTCCTTGACGGTAGTCCAGTCTGGCCTGCTCGATGGCATCGGCAAACTCCGGCAAAGGGATGAACCAAAAGGCATGAGGCAGGGCTGAGTAAACCTTCAGCTGTGTGGCCACACTGTATTCCTGTCGAAGATGTCGTTCGAAAAGCAGACCTTCGTCACGCAATGGATCCATGCCAGCGATCTGAAAGAACACCGGTGGGTATTCGGACAGGTCAACACCATGCGCCCATGGATTGAATAAGGGGGAGGTGAGGTCTGGATTGTAGTGACCTGGCGTTTGTGTCAGCTAAGTGTGAATTCCAAGGAGAAAGCCTAGGTCTGACCGAGGAACATGCGAACGTCATTGGAGTTCATGATGGGTGCATCAACTCCGCTGCCCGCGTACGATTGCAGCTCCGGACGAAGGTGCTCCGGAAGTCCAGCCTCGCCAGAAATCACGGGGACTTGGATGGCTAAGCCTGTGATAGATGGCGAGAAATTTTCTTGCTTGGCGAGATATCCGATGACTGTTGCCAGGTTGCCGCCTGCCGAGTTACCACCTACGATAAAGCCTGCCTTTGTTGGGTCTGCACCCAGTGTCTCAGCGCTCTCAGCAGCCTGTTCAAGATCAGCTTAGCATGCTTCCTCAGATTCTCCAGCTGGACTGAGATACTGACCCATTTCACAGCGTCCCAAGCATCGTGGATTGCCGTTGGGAAAGGATACTCTGGTGCCCGACGGTACTCGATCGCCAGCGCGACGGCACCGATTTCCTCGACCAAAATCTGGCAAGTCCAGGATTCGTCGAAGCGGTCTCCAGTAATATATCCCCCACCGTGAATGATGACTGCGAGAGGAGCGGGCTCAGTAGCTGCCTTCTTACTCCTGTGAAGTCGTGCTTTGGTCGTTGTGCCGTCTCGGAGCGGGATAGAAATGTCCTCTGCAATGATGCGGCCGTTGTCTTCATAGCTACTACCGCTGTTGCCGTTTGCAGATTTGGCTGCGCTGTAAATCGCACGCAGTTCTGCTGGTGTAGCGGGCCGGGGTGTTTGCAAAAGTGTGTCGTAAGCCTGAAACAGTATAAGCCTGAAGTACTGTGCATGACTGAGTCTAATGCAAACCTTTTGATACTTCGGGTCTTTCTTGCCCAGTTCTTTCCAGCTTTCTGCCATGATGCGAATATTCCGAGGTCACAATGAAAGACGATAATGAGGTAGGCGGTTGTGAAGACTTGCAGAAGAAGAATTGCACGTCAGTGAGCACCGTTTTATACTAGACCATTTTAACTCGAAGCAACTAAGGACCAAAAGAGGAGATGGTATGGATGCTCTGGGTAAACCTTTTGGCCAATCGGCAGATAGCCGGTGCGACCGGTGCGAGCCGCCGCACGTGCATGGAGGAAACGGGGGCTACTTTCCGACGAGAACGTCAATCGTTTCTCTCCCTAGTCACTCCGCCCCTTACATCACCACCTCCAACAACATTCCCTTAAACGTCCACTCCCGGTGTCGCCCGGTCCACGTGAAGCTCTCATAAAATTCGCCAGTGGGAAGTCTTGTCTACAATGGCAAGCCAGCAATTGTCCATCAAGGGTCGAAAAACCAGGACTGGGTGCTTACAATGCAAGCGGCGGAGAGTCAAGGTGAGTGGTGCTGTTGCGCATTGACCTCGGAGGTCGGAGTCCGCGTGGGCTCCGAAGCCACACCCCATGTAGATTGAGAAAACTGACAGTGGTTAGTGCGATGAGACAAAACCGAGGTGCCGAAACTGCACTCGTCTGGGGCTCCAATGTAGCTTCTACTACAGTACACCAAAACCCCTACTTCCGCAGGGAGAAGACGCCACAAACACTTCTCACGGAATTTCCACGGCAGCATCATCGCTCTACACAGTTGATGACATGCGGCTGCTCCATCAATTCACATCGTCAACTGCCTTCACCGTTGCGGACGGCACAGAAGTGCAGCAAACATGGAAGGGCTCGGTAATTGAGCTGGCCTTCGACCACAGCTTTCTGTTGCGTAGTATCCTGGCATTTTCTGCCCTTCACATGGCCCATCTCCACCAACAAGACAAAGCAATCTACGGCAACGTGGCCGCCAGGCACCAAGACAAGGCGCTGTCGGAGGTTCATTCTGAAATTGCCAATATAACCGCCCACAATTGCGAGGCTCTGCTGGCCTTCTCGCTTCTGACAGTATGCTACATTCCGGCCTCGAAAGAGGCGTCATCGGATGCCCCAAGTGCTGAGATCTGTGCGCTCTTCGAGTGGCTGAACCTCATCAGGGGCGTCGTCAGTGTTGTCGATCGTGGAAGGCACTGGATTCAAACAGGCCCTCTCGCCATCTGGTTGAAATTCTTCTTGCCTAATCTCACAGGCTTCACCCCTTTCACCAAGATATTTCTGGAAGACGACCACAAGTTGAGATGTCTCGAGGAACTCTGGGACAGCATTTCCTTTGATGAGATGGCTGAGTGCACCCATTCCGATGCCCAAATCGAGGCTGAGCTTTGTAAAGAAGCTCTTGCACAACTTCGGGGTGCGTTTTCCCTAGCTGAAGTAGCAAGTCTCGCCGGCAGCAAGGGCAGCGGTGCAATACCAAACGACGAACAGTATTCCTCGGTTGTCGCAGCTTCGCTGATCTGGCTATACAAAATCAGCGATGGCTTCCTCCGCTTGATACTCGCACGGAGGCCGTCAGCTTTGATTCTTCTCCTTCACAATTTCATCTTGGTTAAGCGCCTGGGTGGTGAAAAATGCTGGTGGGCGCCTTTACTGGCCACTCAAGTTGTTGATGCTGTCACGCCCTTGATTCCGTCTAAGTACAACGCCTTTATTTTGTGGCCTGTCGAAGAGATACGAGGCCATGGCCCGAGACGAGCACCGTGAGACACGCGTAGCATACAAATGGGTTCATCTTGAATAGCGATTGAACCTCTTGTAACTAAGGCTTGACTACGCATGTTCACTTGGTATTCCCCGTCCAACCAGGGCTGTTTTATTCAATCTTCAGCCACCAGCTAGTAGAATAACTACCCCTGTTAAAGAGCTGTCTATGTTGCTTTGTCAAGTGATTCCAAATTGTCAAGGCTGGGCAACAGAGCGGCCACAGCTTGCGCCTCTTCCCATGCACGTGTAAACGCTTCCTTCCCTGCGCCAGCCCCATCTGTTCCGTATCGAAGTCCAAATCCACCAACCCAGTTGTCGAAGGTTGTTTCCGGCTTTGTGCGACAGAGCCAACAAGTAATCCTTTTCAGTCCTTCGCGGTCGAAACCTGCGCGTGGGAAAGCTTCCATCACAGCACGGTATTCCGCCAAACTGATCAACTGTTCTCCGCCTGGCCCAGTGAGGTTAGGGCCAGTAAAGTCGGCAATGACTCCCAGGTGCGTCAGCGCAACTTCAGGCGCTGCGAACCGTGCGATTGACGGTGTAGAGTGAAGGGCAACGGCGTCCCACATCCGCTGAGCCCTAGCTTTGCTCCACTCTCCTGACTCGGATGTTCCAGGGTCGTAGTCCGCGAATGCTTTGTGTAGAAAGTCTCGGGCAATGTTTGCGCTGTCAACCTCGAAGCGCTTGTCGCTAGACAGTAGCTCCTGCGATCTCGCCCAGCCCATGTCGTGCAGGATGCAGCTGACTACTACTACTTCCAGGTCAACGTGGATCGTGCGGAATTCGGGAAGCTTTTTCGACAGGATCAGAGCCCAGTAAGCCGCCCGGGCTGCGTGGTTGTAGACTGCAGCATCGCAGTGTTCCCTTGCAAAATGATAGGCTTTCGCCGCGATGGGGAAGTCTGGGGCCTGGAGACCGATGGAAGGCACGTCCGGAAGTGATTTTGGGACCGCCATTGCGATAGTCCAGGGGTATCTGAGGTGATTCAGGAGAAGAGATTCAACGGTGCTTAGAATGACCAAATGGCTTCTGAGCAGTGGTTTAACCCACAAGTTCCATTCACGCTTTTTGAATCAATGGGAGCGGGGCGTAATCTCGACGCTCGAGTAAATATTTCCATGGCGCTTCAGCAGTGCAGGATGCATCCGGAAACAGAGGACCACTGACATCCGGTTGGTGCCCGCAGTAGGTGTGGTGTGTCTATGCTTCAGGCGAGGAGTCATAGCTGGGAAGCTTCCCACCGTATCACGTCATCCGGTCAACTCTAAAAGTAATCTTTGGCTAGCCAGTGGGGAGCACTCCTCCGTCGCGTGTACATACCATATTAGGCTATGTCTACGCTAGCGAGCGGAAAGGTGTCTATCGCCGCATCTTGGCAGGTGCCGTGTATCCGGGTCTCCTCCGCATGTGCCTCTCGGCCGAATCACTCAGTGTGGCATTGTGCGAGCTGTCATTCTTCATGCTTGAGCTAGGCGACAGCACTGTTCCTTTCCACATTCAGCGTGCACCAGCGGCAGCACAAGTGGGTCCTCTCGCGGTCAATAACTCTTCGCTGAAGCAATACTACTACTGGTTTACTATACTTTCTGTACAGTTTGGTTTGCTTTGTTGCACGACCTGATCTCCCGCAACCCCCGAAGCTGCTTCCCGCCGTCGTCAAAATTGTCTGCATGAAGCCAGGCCTCGATGTTGGCTTTCACCCCAGGCCACTCCGCATCCGTCATGCTAAACCAGATGGTATCCCTTTGCCGGCCTTTTACGATCATGTGTTTTCTTTAATAGTTAGATTAAGTGCCTCTTTGTCAGGTCATGATTATGGTACGGACCTAAAGACACCCTCGTACACAAATCCAAGCCGCTCTGCCGCAACTGCACTCGGCTTATTAAGTGCATCCGCTTTCCACTCTACCCTCAGATAGCCAAGATCTTCGAAGGCATGCTTCAGTAGAAGATACGAAGCTTCAGTGGTTGCTCGCGTCCGCTTCAATTGTTCCCCGAAAATGATGCAGCCAATCTCGATTCGGCGATGATCTGGTACAATCGATAGATACGACATGATACCAGCTGGCTCGGATGACGGATCCGACGCAGGCCCAGAGAGAACAGCGTAGTATTGTGGATCCTCAGCCACGCTCCAAGAGCCAACTGCCACCTTGCAATCATCCAAGTTAAGAAGCGGCTTGCTGAACATATATGTCCAGCTGTGGGCATTGGCCTCACCCCCGAGGTGTTTAAAAAGAGAAACCGAGTGTGTTGGCTGAAGAGGAACAAGCGACGTGTATAGTCCACGTAAGGGCTGGCGTTGCGGGAGAGTAGCCCGTAGTGGGAAAATGAGAGGGCTTGTTGGTAGCTTCATCTGACAAGGGAGAAGAAGAGGTGGACTGGTTTTAGTGTATCCTGCTGAAGACGACTAATCTAAACTTCTTTTAAAAAGCCGTGGGGAGCCGGCACGCATTTCTGAAAGAGCCACACAACGTACTAGCGTCAGATGCACGAGAGAAATTTCAATAGTTGTTTTCGTAGACCCGAGCTTCTCGCATAGAACTGCCGGATCCGGCAGCGAGATCCGATAGCCCACACTACATTTCAGCCCATGACCTGGACGTTGGCGTCAAGGGCGGCCAGATATGAGTCTTTAGTCCTCGCACTGCAACTCAGCCCAGTGCAGCTACGACAAGAAGCCTAGCAGCAGTGACAGGCATGCGCATGAGACAGTTGGTAGCCGTAGCGATAGCCAGTCGTAACCGCCCGCACCCGAGCTGCCAAATACTGATTGTCCGTATACATCTTTGGCGGAGCACCACGTTCATTTGAAGGCTTCTGGCGGCTCATATTCAGATTCGGCTATTCTTCCACCTATGACGTAAGCCGCTGTCTCCAGCATTCGTCCTTCAGCTGTGTGTCCACCAGCACACGGAGAATCAATTTGTCCCCGGCATTTCAGTTGAGTCACATTTTAAGCCATCGCGATGGCGTGACCGGTGGCGTTTATTAGTCTGAAAGGGCAGGCAGAAGCCTTACTGGCTGCCGCGTGTTGACTACCTCTCGGAAATGGAACATTTGTTTAGCCTTGGCTCGTTCCAGGCGAAGTACGAGATGCAGATGAGACTCCAGTAGCCTCCTTGTCGTCCAAGTAGGAATACTGACCCAAGAAGACCAGATCTGCTGTGTGGCAACGCGAAGCGTTCCTGCACAAGTTCACTCGCCACAGCAGCAAAACCACCTCCTTTCCATCCTGCCGTGCAGACTTACTCTCCCCTTAAATGGTAAGGTACAGGTAATGTCGATTTGTGCTACGATCATCGGCCCGTTTAGACTCTTCATTTAGAGTGTGTGACTCATAGGCTTTCTCTAACGGGCACCGGTCCGTCTGTTACCCAGCTACGTCTCTATTTAAAGGTTTTGAAGTGCTTCTAAGCGCAAGCATTTGAGTCATCCCACCTTTTCTAGTTTGTTCACCATGGATTTGCTCCTGACACCTGGAGAGCTCGAGCGCTATTTCGACCACGTTGGATTGCCCTACAAGTTTCGCAAGGAACAAAAGCCATTATTGGACATTACGCTGTTAACAGCCTTGCATACTCATCACATCTCGACCATCCCGTACGAAAACCTCTCCTTACATTATACAAAGGACGTCAGTATCTCTCTCGACGTACATGTAATTCTTGAAAAGTTTCTAGCGAATGGGCGTGGGGGCTACTGTATGGAGCACAGTATCTTTTTCAACAGCGTACTACGGGCGTATGGCATTCAAGTGTACCTCACTGGGGCGAGACCAAGACTTCGGAAGAATGGTGTCCCATATGGCGAATATCAGGGATGGTATGTATGAGCCTACAGCGTACTATTTCCTCTACTCTCTTCCACCGTAGGCCTCTATCTGCAGCAACTGTACATTGTCTAACAGAATCCAGGAGGCACGTAGTCAATATCATCACTCTCGCTAATGGCACCAGATGGGTATCCGACACCGGTTTTGGTGGTGACGGAATGCGGAAGCCCATGCCGCTCGTCAGACACCATATCACGCAGAATGTCGGCCCACAGGAGATCCGCTTTGACTATGCGAGCATTGACAATGCAACCAACACCTCACCACGGAAGCCCGAAGTCTGGATTTACCAGTACCGCAACGGTCCGGAGCGACCGTGGAACTCGTTCCTCTGTTTCACGGAAACTGAGTTCATTCACAATGACTTCGAGGTCATGAACTTCTACACCAGCAAGTCTCCGGACAGCTTTCAGACTGTGACGCCGGTAGTGGTCAAATTCCTTCGTGAGGACAACGAAGAGGGTGTGGGAGAGATCTACGGCAAGCTGATGCTGGTCGGTGGTGACGTTAAGGAGAACCTTGGTGGGAAGACTCGCGTGATACAATCATGCAAGTCTGAGCCCGAACGCCTGAAAGCTCTACAGGAGTTCTTTGGAATGGTATTCACGGAGGAAGAGCAGGCTGGCATCAGGGGAAGAGTTTCAGAGTTGCTGCCAAACTGAGGCGAGGAGACCCATGTCAGCCTGTAGGGTGGGGGCGTTGAGGCTCAATTGCGCATATTTCATTGGTATTCTCCGTCCAGCCATGGTAATTTCATTACATGTTCATCTTGGTCCATTTATAAGTTATTGGGCAAGTACCACTCGTGTGTTAGCAGTTGGAGGAAACGGGTCTAGGGTGCGGAACGAGCGGCTTGTTTCACTGTTAATTGATTTGACTGGTTTCTCCCCTGCAACAGGATCCTCATGCCTGCATGTCAGCTGCGCCACCCGAGCACCACACGGCATAGCCCCAACGCCACAATGATTTTTGGCCAATACTGTTCTCGTAGCGCCGTCCCTCGTATGCACGTTGGTTATTCTGGGTATTTACTGCAGGTGATGGCTGATCCTGGCGAGAACAGTTTTGCTGCATGCTTTTAAAAGAAAACTTCTCCAGTCCTACCATCAGTCTCACAATTGACCGAGTGTTTGTCTGCGGACACGGATTTTAATCCGGCAATTAACGACAGTTGCTACAATGTTCCATGGCATGCGGACCGCTAGCAAGGCACCGGCTTATAGCCCACTGAATTCTGGGCTGTCTGGTGTCGACATTGAACTTCTTGAGAATCGGTATGTTCAGCGTCGCGAATTGTGTGCGATTTGCAGCCTATTCACTGGAAATAGGGGCCATGTGCCGGAGCAGAGGTCCCGAAAGGAACCAGATGTCGTCACGGGTGTGGAGTACATCACAGATGAGCCAGCTGAAACGGATCTTCCTGATGAGGGGAAGAGATCATGGTGGCGAAGAAACCTCTCGGGCTGGCGTGGCGGCCTTGCGGTCTGCATCGCTCTTACTGCCAGCGTTCTTGCCATCAACATCGGCTTCCTGATTTGGGCGGTATTGCCGTCATCATCCGTGAAACTGGACAAGAAGAGCGGCCTAGGCGTTCTGTACCGTGGCGACAGTGACACGATGGATGAGCTATCCCGTGTGATCCACTTGGTAGTCAACGTCCTCGGAACATTGCTGCTCGGCGCCAGCAACTATAGCCTGCAGATCATGCTGGCACCGACGAGAGCTGAGGTCGATAATGCACATCGAAAGAGAGATTGGGTCGATGTTGGTGCACAGTCGCTCCGGAATCTGAAATTCATCGGGAGGGGCAGGGCGCTAGTTTGCGCGGCGCTGGCGGTGTCGTCGCTGCCTTTGCATCTTTTGTGAGTTTCCCCTTCTTCATTTATAGATGCGGTCTGAACGTATCCGCGGCGAAAGTCCAAAATTCTCGTGGCACAAGGTCTGTTATTTGTATGGCATAGAATTAGCACTCACACTTGCTAGGTACAACTCGACAATCTTCCCAGCTCTCGGCGCAAATGAATACTTCTCGATTATCGTCACTCAAGACTTCGCGATGACCAATACTACATGGACAGCAAAGTTGCTCGACTCAAACCGAACCCTGGACTTTTGGCAGAATCCGCACACTGATGCTGATTTTCAGGCTGTCTTTGACACACTAAAGAAACAGCATATCAATTCTTTCAAGAAAATGTCGAGCAGCGAATGCCTCAAAGCATACAGTGTACCGTTTCAGAGCGAATACCGGAGTGTCATTGTAGTGTTAAGCACGGAAGGTCAGCAGCCGGCCATGGAACGGCAAGCGCGGGCATACCATTCAATGCCCTTTGATGCAACGCCTGGTGCATGGCTGTGCGAGAAGTACTCTGCCACACGGTACGGGGCGTCTTGTGATATGGACAGCCAAGACGACGATGGAGAATGGGTGTTAATGGGAGCGGCCGTGTCGCACTGTCTCGTCCAATCCGGTCAGCCCGTGTGCCGGATCATCTTCAGCCTGCCTCTGCTGCTTGCCGTCATCGCTGCAAACGTGGTAAAGCTCACGTCAATGGTGATAATTCTCTGCCATTATAACCAACCAACACTCGTCACCTTAGGGGATGGGATTGCCTCGTTCATGGAACAACCAGATCCACATACCAGGGATATGTGTCTCTGGAGCAAGAAGGATTTCCGCTCGCGATCAGAGTATCAGCAGAAGGGCAGATGGAGCACAGTTCCAAAAAAATACGAGCCGATAACATATCCAAATTGGTCAGGATCAGCGGCCACGAAAGCACGCTGGAACGTAACAGTGGGGCTGTAAGTACAGATCAGTCAGAGATTGCACCAAGAACCGTACAGTGGCTAACACCCAGCTTCTTCTATATAGCCTGCTAGCCGTTCTCGCCACGACGGCCGTATTCTTCGTTAACGCATGCAAAGAGTTAAAATATATAAACAGCATGCAAGACACGACTATGGCGGGGCTATGGGCCCTCGGCCTCGGGACAGTCAAAGCCCAGTCCACAGTCACGAAGACCATGAATGCGTCGATTCCCACACTGGTCGTGCTAGCCAACCTACCGCAACTCGCCCTATCCGTCATCTACGTGCTCGTCAACAGGCTCCTTTCCGCCATGGCCGCCGCTCGCGAATGGGCGTCGTTCGCGCACTCACGCAAAGGCTTGCGTGTGACAGTACCGCAGGGTCAGCAGCGCAGCACGCTGTGGCTCCAGCTGCCTTATTCCTTCGCTATCCCACAGCTAGCCCTATCAGCACTGCTGCACTACTTCGTTTCGCAGAGCCTGTTCCTCGCGCAGATTGCCATCTTCAACGCTCGCGACGAGACCGAGGATGGAGGCGCCTCAGTCTCGAGTATCGGCTTCTCGGCGATTGCCATTTTCTGCTCGTTGTTGACCACAGGTGCCGTGCTGGTGGCTGTGGTGCTGGCTGGGCTCGTGGTCCGATGTATGGAGGGAAGTGTGCCGGTTGGGTTTTGCAGCGCCGCAGTTGCAGCAGCATGTCACCCGCCTATGTGGGAAAAGACGGGCGTGGAGAGGGAACTTCTGCAGTGGGGCGATGTGCTGGGGAAAGATGGCTTCTTTTCTGGGGAGGATGTTTATGGGCCGGTTGGGCACTGCAGTTTCAGTGCTAAAAAGGTTTCCTTGCCCGAGGTGGGGAAACTGTATGCATGAAAGGTGCTTGGTTGTCATGCGCCAGAGCTACATACTTATACGATATCAGGAGCGGAGGCGGAGGACGGAACGTAATAAGGTAAAGCTTTAAAATGAAAGCTTCTCAAAAAGTCGTAGGCGTCAGAAGTGATGAAAAGCATAAATCATGTCATTGGATATATCCCAGTAGCGGGCAACAAAGCTCTTGGTGGATATAAAAAACGAACGTCGGATTGATAGTCTTCGATGATAACAGCACATGCGCCCACAGGTCCGCTTCTATCTCCCAATCAGAAATCCCCTAAGAGTAAACCCCTCATCACGAGGTCTCCCAACGACAAGGCTCCAAAACAAAAGCCACCTCATTGTTGACTTAAGAAATCTCCGCCACGATAGTGTCGTCCCTGACGTCCAAGTTGTCTATCATATAATCGAAATCATCGTCGTCCTCCTCATCCCCATCCCACTCATAATCATTTGCCTGCTCATCCCAAAGCGTCGCGTTCCGTGGCAGAACCGTGACTGCACGCTGGCCAATGCGTGCGCCGCCTGGAATCTCAATTTCGAGACCAGAGCTTGTCAGATACCTGGGGTGCACTGTGTTCGTGCGCTTGACCTTTTTGCTGGGTGCATCAGCCTCGGGCTCGGGGTTGCCACCATCATCGTCGGTTCCGTCGTCGGCTTCGTCACCATCCTTGGCGGGCTCGCCAAAGCCGGGGCCCTCGACCTCGTTGTCCTTGTCGTTGCAAACGTCCTTGTTGCCGTTCATGCTGTCACACATGTCGATGTTGCCGGCATTGGAGAACTTGGCTGTGAATTCACAGGGCCCGCCGCCGCAGTAGGTCTTGCGGTAGAAGCTGTTGATGATGCCGCCTTGCTCTGTTGCTCTGGTCAGAAAATGTCATGGTTTCGTCTTCAGCTGCACTCACTTCTGTTTTCGCCCGCAGGGACGCATCTGTTGATGCGGGTCTGATCATCGCCGCCACCAATGACGGCGGTACTGGCGAAGGGGTACTCGTCACACTGGTAACCCTTGTCGTAGTTCTTCTTGACCGAGCAGCGGTTGCCGCCGGATTCAATGCATCCAGCAGCCTTGCGGCGGTTGCGCTTAGTCGTAGAATCGGGCTTGTCGTACTTGAGCCTCGTGCCGATGCCGACGCAGTAGGCGCCGTAGCACATGTTGTGGCAGACCTCGGGCATCTGGTCGCAGGTGAATATCAGAAGGTCGTCCGGGTTGTTGCGCCGGAGGTGAACGGCGCCGGCGTCATTTTCGCTCGGCGTGGCCGCGACGAAGGCAGCGAGAGCGGCGAGGAGCGCTAGGTACTTCATTGTGGATAGAAAGATGAATCTTGTTGATACGTAAGAGAGGAAGATGTTGTTGATTCTCTTGCCACCAGCCCATTGAGCTTGTACTTATACATTCACCGCGAGATATATTTGGGGTTTGATTCTGAACCTACTAGGTAGTTCTTACTGTGCTGGGCGGTGTTGGTAGAAATTTTTTCAGCTGTTGGCAACTAGCGCTGTGGAGAGTGGTGTCTTCCATTGCACAGCCCCATGAAGTCAGCTCTATTGCGGCGAGGGCGCAACTACTGCAACATCATCTGGTGAGAATTCAGTAAAGTTGTCTTCCTGGGTCAAGGAACTTAGACAAGGCGTGGTGCCATGTCTGAGGCTATGTAGGCGGCCTAAAGGGCTGAAACTTGGCATTACGAAAGTAGGAAATATTTTGAGGGCAGACATCGGCGATTGCGTGTGAAAAGGGAAGGGATGCGCAGGTGTCTCTTCTGATGGAGCACGATGGCAGTCGTCATATACTATTCTTTGCGGGACCAGGAACACTGTGGATGGAATAAGGCTGCGGCGAAGGTGGCGAAGGCTGCGGGCAAGGTTGGCCAATGGTATCCCGGCCGCCAACACGAAGATTCGAAAGTATCGAAGCAGATGAAAGGTAAAAGAGATAAGCAACGATCAGCGCGGGAGCGGGCGGAAAGTTCGGGTGAGATGTGGGGGCGGGGGATGTTCAGCTGGCGTTGGGTTCGTGTTGGCGTTGGCGTCAGGGATCGACGTCACCGGGCCCACCCCACCAGGCTCCAGCATCTCTTTTTTAGCAGCTTCTCCTGCAACTTCAAACACAACACCCTCTCACTACACTTTTCCCCAACATGGCAACCCCTCCAGATCTCAGCCTACCGCCGACGGCTCCAGTGGAGCGCTGCCGCGACGAGCCCATGTCATTGCTCCCGACTGCTCTCTACACTCTTGTTGAGCTGTCAGATGCCGAGCTAGATGAGCTGCAGCGGGAGTGCGAGTCTGAGATCCCTGATGCAACTCCGGGCGACAATGTACGCCGCCCTGCAGATACGCAAGCGCGCTTCGTGGGAAGCCCTTTGCGCGCCGTCTACGACTATCACCTCGAGCTCGGCCCTCTGCACACCTTCGATCCCATCTACTTTATCGTAGCCACCGATAAAGAATGGAAGACGAAGGGTGTGTTGCTCGTCACCCTTGATGATGGCAACGTTGATGAGCCTGGCTGCAAGACCGACTCGTTCTTCATCAAGGCTGGTGACGCCGGACTGACTGTTTCCAACCTCCAAATTGGAAACTCGGACTGGTTTGAAGAGAAGGAGTCTTACGAGATAGCGCCCGGTGGAGACGACGGTGACGATGATGATGATGACAACAACAATGGATCCAAAGACAAGGACACGGCGGGCGACGACAGCGAAGGCAACAGCGACGACAGCGGCCCAGACCCGCCGCCAGCCCACATCAAGCACATTGACACATTCGCCCCGCTCTACGTCGTCTCCGGGATCGACGCGGAGAAACTAATCTACAAGCTCGAACCCGGCTCGTCGCGCAAAAAGAAGCCCGAAACCGACTATATCATCCGCTGGCAAGCCACTCTGACCCCACAAAACCTCAGCTTGGCCCACAGCTCCAACCCAATGACGCCCCCTGATCCAGCCGTCACCGCCGACCTCGTTACTCAAGCTTGCGCCCGGCACCCTGCCCGCTGCCGCAAGAACCCGCGGCTGAACAGGACGCAGCTGCTTGTCGCCGACACGCCGCACTACGACGAGCACGGCCTCGCGCTGGTGCAGCTTTCTTGGGACGATGGCATCACCAAGCCTGCCCACTACCAGCGGATACCGGCCGAGGAATACGCAGGCTTCCAGCAGCGCTATCTCGACGCCACAGGGTCACATCGACCGAAGCACCCGCTCGTCCTCATTGTCGAGCCGGGCGTGGGGACAGAGGGCCACGCCATGGCTGGCAGACAGGCGCTAGATCCAAGCTGGCGCACGCGGGGCGAGCACGACAAGCGGGTCGTGTACGCGCCGCCGCGCCGAGTGGTACCGGGCCGCGTGAATGAGAGGATCCAGTGGGAGAAGCTGCACGAGGCGGCGCGGTGGTTTCCATGGGTGTGTCGCACGCGGCGGTTTGAGCCGGCGCCGTTGGTGCAGCGGTTCTTCGTGTGGGTCGACCACGCGGAGCTGGCTGAAAAGGGAATAGTCGTGGTTGTGCGGGTAGACTGGGATGGAGACGTGCATCGGTCAGACGAGGAGCTGCTTGCATTGGATCTTGATGGAAAGGTAGCAACGCTGCGGGTGCCAGCGGGACAGGCTTTGGATCTGATCGAGGCTGCTACGGTTGGAAGGAATATCGAGGGGCTTAGCAACGAGGCAGTCGAGTTTTTTCACTGAGAGTATTCTTAGAAAAACCACTTAGTGTCACAACCCACGTGGAGCAAATCAGGGCGGGAATACTAGCGCACACTACAAGAAGCGACACTGACGGAACGGCACGAAGGAGACGGCGTCGGCGACGGCCTGCCCATCCCAGACGAGGGTGGCGAATGAGTCGACTTCGGTGACAACACAGCACTTGAAACAGTCTCCTACCATTCGAAAAAGCTCCAGGCGGCGGGGAATCTTGCTGTAAGAATGCATGTTTGAATTTCATTGGCGCCGGTCATTGCTTCCAGAGGAAAGGTAGGCCACATTTTTTTGTCTTGATGAGCAATCCGGCTACTTTCTCCGATCTCAATCGGAGCTGTTTTCTGGTTTCAGACGAATGCTTGCTGATCCCCAGGCTTGTAAGGGCCAGACACTGCAGTCGTTCAGCCACACCCCACAATGAGTTCAGTGGCTTAAAGCTTTACCTTTGGGCAGCTCCGCCAGCTCACGGCTCGTTATTTGCGGGGCCGGGCTGACCAGCTGAAAAAGGAAAGCGCTGAGCGGCACGGCATATCAACCGCGCCCACGGACTCGGTCCCGCGTGTGTGTACTTTTCGGGGCTAACTACCCCGCAGGTGCGTGTTATCCTGCATTCCAGCCGTCTTGGCTCCGCCTTCTACCACCATGCTGCGCCTTCTAGACCAGAACCATCGCTAGGTAAATCGCCATGGCTGCGCATCACACGTGGCCAGCGGGAATCCCACGATGCAGATCAGAATAATGTTCCGAGCTGCCTCGCGGTAAATGCCGCACAGCGACGTCTTTTTTGCTGTCATATATCAACCGTGCGTTTCCCACCTCAGGCCGCCTGCACATTCGTAATCGGCGCCTGAGCTTTCTACCTTTTCTTTGTTTCCCTCGTTCTGCTCGTCGGTGTCGGCTGAGCCGCCTGAAAGAAATCACCGGGGGCAGGCTGTACCAGAGAGCTGCCCTCTGGCTGCAGGATTCGATCTTGTCACCGCCGCCTTGGGCTTTTGTCACACATTTGCTTGACGACGCCAGTGGAATACTGCCGAAATGCGTGCCTGTCAACTTTTGCCCGCGCTCCACGTCAAGACATTCGCCTTCATCCTATTCACCACGTCATGCGTTTTCGCTCGTAAGTGGTAGAGCCGTTATGAACCACAAGCTAAGACTGACTTCAAAGTTAGAATCCCCGTCCAGCTCCACTTCGTCCACTACCACACACTTCACCTCGCCCGATGTACGCTCCATCTCGTCGAACCTCACCAGCCCCTCCTCCTCTGACTCCCCCGACCCCAACTCTATCGCCAGCAGCGGCGGCCTCTCTGGAAGCGCTATAGCCGGCCTCTGCGCCGTCGGTGGCTTCGTTCTCGTCTTTGTAATCGCCGCCGTCTTGTTCTTCTGGAACCGCCGCGCCGACCGCACCATGCGCACAGAGCTAGACGTGCAAGACCTCGTGCTAAGCATGGCCTTCAGTGGCGATGAAGAGGCCGCTATGGTGAAGCATGCGGGCGTGCTGCCTGGGGTAGTCGGGCCCTTGGGCATCATGGGCAGCTCAATGAGAGCAGTCGACCCTGACGGAACGCTGCGAATAACGCCACCACCGGCTGTATATAGAACGAAGAGTATGGAGGATTATGGAGTGGGGCTGCAAAGGGAGCTGTGGGATGTAAGCGAGCTGGGGGTACTGGACCGCATGTAGGCCAGCCGAGACCGGATGGGAAGAGTGGAGAATTAGGTAATTGTAATAGGCTTGCTTCTAAACATATCTCGTGATTCTCAGTGGTGCGTTTAGCCTAACTCGCGGTATGTTGCTTTGCCTTCCTTTCCTTACCCTGCCGTACCGTGTCTTGCTTTTTCTTGGCTTGCCATGTCTTAACTTTCCTTGAGTGCATGTGCGGCTCCGTAAGTTACACTTTGCCTTATTATGCTGTCGAGCTGAAAGTGGAGCGCATGACCCGTGAGTCGCTTGTGTAGGTCTGTAGGCTGGCGGACTCTTACGATGGCCCGTAGCTGAGCAGCTAAGCCGGCGATTGGCTAGGCCTGTGGGTGGCAAAGCTGCTGGCTGCGTTGTGTGGAACTCACGTCTCTCGCCTCGGTAAGCAGCGCCCACCATCAGCTCGCGGCACTCCGCCGCGCTGTTGAGCAAACCAGGCGCCGCGTGTACTAGAAGGTAGCTGAATGATGTATCGTAGTAGCAGCGCTGTGAGCGCGTCTCACGCAGGCAGCTGACGCCACCGCTCCTCCTGCTGCCTCTGCTGCCGCTGCCGCCACTGGCGACGTATAACGGCCGCTGCTGGATACGGTGCGCGGAACTAACGCCTCTTACTTCACAGCGCCCGCCACCAGCTTACGGCGCCCCGTATACCTTCCTCTATATGTATATTTAGCGTTACTGCGAACAGTAGAAGAGTTATTAAGTTGCGAAGTGCACAAAATATGTATACCAGACAAATGCTCTGTTGTTTTTCGTCTCAGCCGAAATAAACTTCGCGGAAGGGTGTCCGTCGTGTTTGATAGGGCTCGCAGGGATCTCGGTTATGTTGAGTCGTATACAATTTCTTTTATAACTTTGTGAGCCTATTAATCAGACGATGCTGACTTATGTACCATTTGGGTCGGAGAATTCTGCTAGGTATCCGGCGTCCCCCGCGGTAGCTTAGCCCAGGATTTAAAATTCTAGGGTCCACCACCCCTCGAACTTGGGCAATCCTCCGTCTCTCTTTGATTTTCCAAACATACAGTCACTCTTTTTTAAGTCACTCTTTTTTCCCTCTTCCAGAATGTATTCTTTTGTTTCTGTGGGGAGCGTTAGTGCTCTCCTGTCGATCCTTACGTCCACCGTCACAGCCAAACCGCTTGGCCCCCCATTCTCTCTCGGAAACACGATATCTGTTGGAATCGAAATCGAGACCAACGATGTCCAGTACACTCGCGATGCTTACTGGCACGGCGAGACTTTCTTTGACAACTTCGACTTCTTGACCTCCAAGGAGTATATGCGTGATCCGACGCTCAACCGCTCTGATCCGACCAACGGATTTGTCAACTACGTCGACGAGAGCACTGCGATCAATTCAAGCCTTCTAGAAATTACTGGAAATGGAAACCCGCGCTGGGGCGTTGACACGACCCACAAATACAAGCTTGGGGCCGACTGGGGGAGGCCAAGCATTCGACTTGAGAGCAAAGACAGCTGGACCCACGGTCTTTTCATGGTCGATATCGCTCATATGCCAGGCCAGTCCTGTGGCGTATGGCCTGCGTTTTGGACTCTTGGCTCCGGAGCCTGGCCATACAACGGGGAAGTCGATGTGCTGGAGGGAGTCAACCTGAATCCGAATAACCAGTTGACCCTGCACACGTCCGACAACTGCACTATGGTCACGCCGCTGGGCTCGTCGCTTTCTCCAGTAACCGATCCTCTCAACAAGACCTGGACTGGCAGCCCTTTTGCGTCTGGAGCCTGCTCGACCAACTACAGCTCCACCGGCTGCTACGCCAAGACCACGATCCCAAACAACTACGGCGACGACTTCAACGCCAACGGCGGCGGCATCTACACGATGCAGTGGACCAGCCACTTCATCAAGATCTGGTTCTTCCCCCGCGACGACATTCCTCCGGAGGCCCGGTCTGCCCTGAACGGCGAGTGCGACTCCCCCGACGTCTCCAAGTTCGGGCCGCCGCAGGCCAACTTTGTCGGCGGGCGCGGGTGCAACGTGGACGCGCACTTCAAGGAGCACCGCCTCATTTTCGATACCACTTTCTGTGGAGATTGGGCCGGCAACGCCTGGCCGTCGACCTGCCCGTCCGTTGCCGGGAAGAAACCGTACGAGTCATGCGCAATCTACGTCGGAGCGAACCCCGAAAAGTACAAGGAGGCGTATTGGGAGGTCAACTCGATCACCGTCTTCAAGGAAAAGCTGGGGTACTAGTTGGCGCAAGGCTGTCCCTAATTAGATTGGCCTAAAGGGTCTTCGGCTTCTTCGATTTTGTTCTGTCTTATCACCTTTATTACCTTGCTTTCTTGTACCATATTAACCCGTCAAAAGACTCGCAGATGTTGAGCTTGAGCTTCAAACTGGGGTTGCGATGGTGTTTAGGCAGGGGATGTATGAAATAAGAGATTTGAAAGCTCAGCTCAGCACTTGCGACCCAACGATTCCAGTACGATGTGCCACCGTGAAGCTGCCCAGCGTCCCGGAAACGCAAAGCTGGAGATTGGCTGGTAAGTCCTTAGGAAAAGTACTAATATCTCAAAGGGACGCGTTTTTGGATGACCAGCGTTCTTACGCGGAACAAGGAGGAAAAGGATGGTGAGTTGGATGCAAAGACGGAAGTCGTCGGACTACTGAATGGTGGAAGTACTGTGCAAGTTGGAGCTACCAGATTCGGCCGAGCTTTTGATGTGTTAGGCCTTCGCTACGGTCTAGACGTCTTTACAACTAGGATACTTCTTCGTTACCTCTAATAGCTTATTGTTAACGATCTTAATAATATGGCGGGCGTGCGAGGCGTTCAGGTAGACGGGAAAATTGGACTTCTTCGGGTTGAAGAGGCGGAACATCTTGTCGCGCCCTGGCGGCCTACGCGGGTCGTTGGACCTCTTGAGGATCTCTACACGTAGGCCCTAGTCTCCTCCAGGCATTGGTTGTCGTACTCGTGGCACATGTGGGCGCATCCGTCATCCGCCCGCAGGTAGACGCGCTCGCGGCCCTTCGCCTGCACCTCCTCGGTAGAGCTGCCCTCATGCATCTCCACCCAAACCGGTTCCTCCTTCTCGAAGCTAACGACGCAGCCACCACATGAACCGCTGTGGACCTCGCCGGCCAGCGAGCACTACACGCCGTGCAGGTAGCAGAGCGTGCAACCAAAGGGCGCCAACTTCTTCTGAAATGCGTAGGCCGTGACGTCCTTGCGCTTCAAAGCCGTATCACCACGCGTCGCCCTGCTCTCGCTGGCTGGGACGCTGCCTCCGCCGCTCGCACCCGGCACCCGGATGGCCGACGCATGGTGCCAGGTTTACCCCTCTACCCGAGCCCCAGCGTAACACCGACATGGTATGGGCTATCGAGCAAGCTACAGTATACGATAATTGCCTAGTGTAGGTTTAGAGAAGGTCTTCTATGTTTCGTGGTTTAAGCTTTTAGGCAGGTGTTTCCGTCGGGCTATTTCAGTTTTAGGGAAGATTAGGCAAGAACACCCGCTTCTCTTAACTCCGAATACGGTGAACCTACTGGAGAGTTCCGGCACTCGTCCGTGGCCAGTGCTCAACCAATGAGATCGCTTTGACCCCCCGCACATACGAGTAGTCGTCGTCAAGTTAGCGCGCTTCACTCCGACTGGGGTGAAAACCAGGCTTTGTCGTAGATTTGGGCAAGAGAGTTGGTCGAGAATGTGTCACGGCGCGCCCCCTCCCCCCGCTCTAAGGTATTGGCCCATTGGACAATCACATAATCAAACCCAACTGTTTCGGATGCACGCAGGTTCGAGGCTATGCAGCCAGCAGGTCGAATCACGGGCTTCGACGCGCGACAAGCACATCATGAACTAAGGGGTTGCGGAGCACCACCAGCCCGAGCCGGGTCGTATGCATTGAATTTGGGACACCTTGACCGGCCGAATGAGCGTTCCGAGTCCGAAGTTAGTAGAAACTATATAGAATGATCGAACTAACGTCGAAATCTGTTTGTCGAATCTTTGTTTCAAGATGGTTCCAGATGCTCCCGCAGTCATTGAGAGGGCTTTCTCGCAAAGCTACTCGTTCATAATTGCTATTATTGCTATCATCTTACCCACTATCGTCTACTTAATCCGAGCCGATGCAACTTACCCCGGCATACCACTGTTCGGTATGGAGAGTGGGGAGTGGACTTACAACGAAGCAAAGAAGCGCTATTTCAAAGACGCTACCAAGATTATGAAGCAAGGAATGGAAAAGGTGAAGCAACGAGGCCTCTCAGTGGTCACAGATGCTGACATCCGGATAAAGTTCCAAGGCATGCCGTTTCAGGTCGTCGATAAGGATGGGCCAATAATTGTTCTCCACCCTCGCTTTGCCGACGAAATAAGGAATGTCCCACATCTTTCCTTCAATGCTTTCACAGAAAGGGTATGTTCATCTGTTGTTTGTGTGTCGAATGAGAAATTCTCTAACGTTGGAATCAAGGATTTGTTTACCTCCTACCCAGGATTTGATGCATTTCGTGTGGTGACGGGCGACAGCGTCATCTTTCAAACGGTAGTGAGGAAAAATTTGACGCAGGCTCTTGGTAAGATCACCCATGTGCCATTCGCTACAGAAGACGGTTAACGATCTTACAGGTGGGATGTCTGAGGATCTGTCCTGTGAAGCTGCGTCCATGCTGAAAGCGCTGTTACCTGCAACGAAAGGTCTAATCTATTTCCCCTAGAAAAGCCATCCGGGCCAATGCTAACGATATTTCAGACTGGAGTAGCATCAAACTGTCACAGATCACACCAAGAATTGCCGCTCAGTTGTCGGCCAAAGCATTTCTTGGTGATCCCCTCTGCCACAACGAGGACTGGCTGGGAATTTCGATCAATTATACCGTGGACATCTTCAAGGCAGCGCGAACACTACGTTCCTATCCATCCCTCCTACGGCCTTTCATTTACCGCTTCCTACCAGAGGTTCATACCATACAGGATCATGTCAAGAATGCTCGCAGGATCATCGAGCCTGAGGTCATAGCACGCCGTAGAGCTCGCCAGAATGCTAACACAGATGGTAAGCGTACCAAGGCCACCGATGCTGTCGGCTGGATGGATGAGGTGGCAAGCGAGAAAAACCAACCATTCGATATTGTCGCCGCCCAGCTTCTCCTTTCCGTCGTGGCAATCCACACCACATCTTTCACTCTCATGGCCCTTCTCTACGATCTTACTGCGAACCAGCAATATATCGATGAGCTACGGGAAGAAATCATTGGGGTTTTGAAGGAGGACGGGGGCAGGAAAAAGACGGGTTTATACAAGATGAAGCTCCTCGACAGTTGCATGAAAGAAAGCCAGCGACTGAATGTTCTGTCAGCCGGTAAGCCCGTCATCCATATTTCTGGAGACCATGTTTTGACGAGGTACAGCATTCATGTCTCGCCGCGCGATGGAGTCCTTCACTCTCTCCGACGGCACTCGCATCCCCAAGGGCGCATATCTCCAAGTCCCCACGTTCGACATGCCTGATGGTGATAGATGGGGACCCAACAAGCACAGGTTCGATGGCCGTCGTTTCCTAGACCTGCGCAACCAGCCGGGGCAAGAGAACCGCTGGCAGTTCGTCACCACATCGGCAGAGCACCTGGGATTTGGACATGGGCAGCATGCTTGCCCGGGTCGCTTCTTCGCAAGCAACGAGATCAAGATTGCCATAGCCCATCTATTGCTGAAGTACGATTTCAAGCTGACCGGGCCGCCCCCAAAGTCACCTATTGAGTCGGAATGGATGCCTGACCCGAACTATACCATGCTCTACAAGTCGAGGCAGCCAGAGATCGACCTTTAGTCAGACGTCCATCGTATTGAAATTGCTGTATCCGAATTGATGGCCTTCGAAGAATTCGACTTCGATCGTCCAAAAAATGGTCCAACAGTGAGTATTTAGTGCGAACATGGCGCAGGCGCGCTTTCATGTACGATTCAGTTCTCATTAGCATGCGTTGAGCATCAGTGGAGGATAGCTTACTTGCAAAGGACATAAGAAGGGTTAGTTATTATATAGATTATCCCTTAGCGTTACGTGAATCACGTGGGTCCTTTTCACGCCGTACGTGTGCACCTTACCTCTTCCCTTATTCTGACACTAACCCGGTGGAGGCTGTGCCGTAATACAAGGGCATCGGCCGGCCTCGTAGCATTAGCCAATAACGGATTAAGTAAACAAGCGCGGCGAGCTTCTTCTAGGTGCTTGGCAGCAATGTGTGTACGAAGGTTAGATGGTGGGACGGCGAAGGCGCACGGCTTGCATATGAGTATGCTGTAGTTCTTACGGTGATCGAAGAAGTCCATTTTCCCTGTTAATGATGCGTAATGTGGCGGTTAGAGGGTGAGAGGTGACTAACTCGCTAAAGGTAAGCTCGTTCCAATGATTTACAGGAGAGTGAATGCTAAAAGTCGGAAGGGCGGTTTTCGAAACAGAGGGGACATAAGGGAAATTGTTCACGCCCCTACAGCACGTGTGTCTACCTGGACGTGCTTTCATACTACTGGTGGAAAGACCATTCTTTACGAAGACGACGTCGAGGTGAGGATACGCATAGAACACGTGTATCTCGCCCTGAATAGGCATTCGAAAGCGAATATCATTCCTCATTGGACTATAGGCTGAATGTCACACAATACAGGACGGGGATTGCTGAATTTCCAATCATTCTCACAACAAAGCAAACAACACTGCCTAGTTACACCATCCAACACCCGCAAACATGCAGCTCCTCTGTCTAGAGCCTCGCGCTGATCGGAGTCAAGTCCCCACCCAGCACCGCCGCCTGCTCCTCGTCCTCCCCCATCGGTCTCGCCGGCAAATCCGCCAACGCCTCGTCGACCAGCGTCGCCACGTCGGCCGCGCAGCCAAACGAAAGGCTCCACCCGGCGCCGCCCTGGCCATAGCTATGCACAATCCTGCTCGGCCTGCCGCCTTGGTGCACCCTCAGCTCGCGCTCGACCCTGACATTCCTTGCGCGAAACGGGCGCAGCCCCTGGGCGAGCGGGTAGTCGTCCAGCTCGGCGAGCCGCAAGTCGGGCAGGAAGCGCTCGCAGCGCTCGCGCATACGGCGCACGATGGGCGAGTTGAGGGATAGGTCGAGCGTGTCTTTGCCAGGCTCGGCGATGCCGCCGATCAGCAGCACGTCGTCGTTGCGCGGCACGAGGAAGACGATCTCGCTGGCATCGTGCACCGCGTCGGCCGTGATGGTCAGCGCCGCGCGCACCTGGGGAAAGGCGGCGCCCGTGTTGCGCACGCGGATCAGGGCGCCGCGGATCGGGTACGCGCTGTCGTCGGCCGCCAGCTCCCTCGCGCCCTCCAGCCCCGTGGCGTTGACGAGGGCGTGCGCCGAGTGTTGCGAGAGGAGGCGCTGCTCCTGGGCGAAGAGGTCGCCGTGCAGCGCGGCGGTGACGAGGCGGGCGCCCTTGGCGGCGACGAGCGAGCGCAGGAAGGCCATGCAGGCGTCCGTGTCGATGATGGGGGCGAGCAGCTGGTACGCGTCGGCCACGCCGTAGCCGGCGGCGTCGACGCGGTGCTCGGCCATCACGTCGTCGCTGCTGCTGTGGCGCCGGAAGCCGCGCACGCCGCTGGCCATGATCTCGCGCATCTTGGCCAGCTGGTCGGCGTCGTGCTCGACGGGCGCCGGGAAGAAGAAGGCGGCCGGCTTCATGCGGACGCCCGTGTCGCTGGCCGAGAGGCCGGGCGCCGCCGCGAGCGCGTCCCAGATGTGGTAGGCCGTCATGCACCACCGCTTCGAGTGCGCCAGCGAGATGGCGTCCGTGTGCTGCCCGCAGACGGCTGGCGGGAACTCCCAGAGCGCGCCGGCGATCTGCGATGTCAGCCGCTGCCCCTTGCCGTACGACGCCCACTCTTTGGCCAGCACCGTGACGTGGTATCCTTTGTCGAGCAGCACCCACGCCGTGACCAGGCCCGTCACCCCGCCCCCGACGACGAGGATGCGGGGCGAGGACGCCGTCGGCGCACGCAAGGGGGCGGGGAGAGGGCTGAGGTCCCTCCAAAGTGCAAGTTCCTGGTTCATGGTGAAGTTGAGGATTGAAGACTTTCAAGAGAAGAGCGGATGCTTGGTCTTAGCAGAGCTGTGAGAGGAGTGCGTAGCTTATATATCCGCCGACGACTGTTGCTTCAGCGAGCTGCCGAAACCACGCCTCTGGACGTCAGACAGGAGTCGTGGAGGATTCCCCCGTCCGCGTATGCCTGGAAGTGTTCGTACGATAGTCACATCAATGCGGGGCTTGATGTTGCAATTCCCGCAGCGAAAGTCGCCGGAGCTGCGTGTGCCTGATGTGACATTGAGCCTTCTGGTCCGCTCATGGCTGGTTGGAAACCCAACAGCCTCCGGTACGTGACAGGTCTCCGTTCCCACAGGATGCGGACCCTGCCCTCAGGATGCTGATTATATGGCTGGGGGCGAGCCTCCGTCAGCCGCTGCCAAGCCTCTGTCAAGCCTCTGTCAAGCCTCTGTGAAGCGTCTGTGAAGCGTCTGTGAAGCGTCTGTGAAGCGTCTGTGGAGCCGCCGGCAAGCCGCCGGCAAGCCGTCGGCAAGACACACGCGCATGGTTTATGGATTTAAAAGCACATGAGGCGGGGAAAAGGCGCGACACATGCAGCCCTGTGAGGAAGGCTGACAAAGCCACCGGGTGGATCCTCCGGAAAAGCGGGCCTACCAGCCGCGTATAAGGCACCCAGCGGCGGCTGCCTATGCAACTTAACGCCCTGACCCCCAAGTACTCGTTCGTCTTAGCTGCCGTGAAAATTCCAGACTTGCATCTTGCTCAACCCATTGCTCTACCCTCGACCCGTACTCAGCTCTCGCCATGTCGGCGGACGAGTCGAAGCAAAATGAGTCCGCCTTGGCCACGGAGCCCACAGACGCGGGCGACGTTGTCCACGTCATCCCACCCGCGCCGGACGGCGGCTTCAAAGCCTGGACCCAAGTCTTTATGGGACACCTAGTGCTCATCAACGGCTGGGGCTACTTGAGCTCATTCGGCCTCTTCCAATCCTACTATACCACCTCGCTCTCGGCCACCCCTTCGGCCATCAGCTGGATCGGCTCTATACAGATTTTCCTCGTCTACCTCGTCGGCACCTTCTCCGGCAGAGCTCTCGATGCCGGATACTACCACACGGTCCTCACGCTGGGATCCTTCCTACAGGTACTTGGCGTGTTTATGACGTCCATCTCAACGCAGTACTGGCAGCTGTTCCTCGCACAAGGTATCTGCAAGGGCCTAGGCGATGGCCTTGTCTTTTGCCCGACTGTCTCCCTCGTCGCGACCTACTTCTCCAAGAAACGCTCTCTGGCTATGGCATGCACCGCGTCCGGCGGCGCGACAGGAGGCATTATCTTCCCCCTCGTCGCCCAGCAGTTGCTTCCCAAAGTCGGCTTCGGCTGGACCGTCCGCACTATGGGCTTCGTGATCCTACTAAACGCAGCCGTCATCGTGTCCATCGCCCGCGTGCGCCTCCCCCCGCGTAAGACTGGCCCGCTGGTTGAGTGGAGCGCCTTCCGGGAGCCGTCGTACACGCTCTTTTGCATCGCCATGTTCTTCAACCTCTGGGCTGTCTACTTTGCCTACTTCTACGTACGCCCCTACCCCACCCCACAGCCTGCTCCACCCCGCCTGACTGACCCCCTACCCCAGATCAGCACCTTCGCCAAAACCATAATCGGCGTCTCCGCATCCGAGTCCCTTACGCTTCTCCTGGTGATGAACGCCGTCGGCATCCCGGGGCGGCTAGCGTGCGGGCTCACGGCGGACCGGCTGCTGGGCCCGATCAACACGCTGATCCCGGTCGCCTTCTTCGCCGGCGTGCTCTTCTACAGCTGGGCGGCCGTGAGCACGGCGCGCGCGCTATACGCCTTCTGCGTCCTCTATGGCTTCTTCGGCGCCGGCATCCAGAGCCTCTTCCCCGCGTCCTGCGCCAGCCTAACGGCCGACCTAAAGAAGATGGGCACCCGCACCGGCATGTGCTTCTCCTTCATCTCCGTCGCCTGCCTGACCGGCCCGCCCATCGCTGGCGCCCTTATACAACACCGCCACGGCGACTTCTTGTACGCTCAGGTCTTTGGCGGCTCCGCCTTCTTGGGCGGCACCTTGATGCTCGTCGCGGCGAGGATGGCAAAGAATGGGCTGAGTTTAAAAAGCCGCATGTAGATACTACTTAGACGTAAGCTCGTGACAAAGGCTTTATAATGTAAACTTACTGCGAGGAGGGGTCGAGTCCGTATGGAACTCTGGTAGAATACTAGGAAACTTACTAATATTGTCCTTGAGTTAAACCTCGTTATCTCTTCCTCTACATCGAACGCTGCTAAAAATTGTTTAAAATCGTCGTCCTTATCCAACGTGCCGTGTCCGATATAGAAGATTGGGCAGTTCACATGCCCCGAGGCGATAAGTGTAAAGTGCCCGTCTGCCTTCTCGATAGAATACGCGGGCGCCGTTCCCAGCGAGGCACAGTACTCTTTCCCGGCGGCTTATTGTAGATTCCCTGGCTGCCGCCAAAGGTGCCGCAGCGGCAGCAGGCCCTTGCGCCAGCTTCCAGGCAGGAAAGTCAAATCTCGGCGCTGCCAAATTTGGGGAGTGGCGGGTGATTCGCACGAAAGATGAAGTCCAAAGACTGGGCATCGTCCACGATCACGTGGAAACGTTGAACGAACACGTCCTCGACGGCGGTGCCATGCGAGTAATCGGGGAGGAGTCGCCCGCGATGCGCGTCCTGGGGCAGCGACAGGAGCGAGTACACCACGTCCCGAGGGTCGCCGCAGCGCGACGTGTCGAACCTGGCGCACAGATAGTCGAGCTCGAGCTCCGGCGCCGGCTGGCCCCTTTCCACTGCACCGTAGGTGTTGTGAATGGCTGATACAAGGTAGACCGTCGCGTGGAGCTCCGCCGAGACGCGGGCCATGCCGCCGCATCTTGCCTGCCGTAGCAGGAGCTCGGCCAGCTGCGCCAGGTCGTACTAGAGAATCCGCCGGGCGCCGTAAAACAGTACAGTGCCTTGTAAGATTACCTTATACACATCTAAGATCCGGATAGTTCCTCTTAATAGTTCTTTTAGCCTAACCGCCCGGCCGTTAGAGTTTTATATAATAGTAGACCTCTACTATTACGCTAGGACTTAAGAAGAAAGATAAGACAAGAACGTCGGGGAGATTTATAGCGTTAAGGGTTTACTACCGCTATCTAGAATGTTACTATTACAAACCCTAGAAAATACGGGCTTTATAACTCTAAGAGTAGAAAGCCCGTACGAAAAGAAGTATTATAGGGGCTAAAGAGCCTTACGAGCGAAAGCGTCGTACGGTTTTAGATTTCGTATAAAAAACTAGAAAATATAAAAAGACGGCGCGTATAGAAATACTAGTAGATAGTAGCTACGACCCGTACGAAAAGTCCGTTCTTAAGGGCGCGATAACTTAGAAAAAAAGTACGAACTAGAAAATTCTCTATAGAACGAAGAACTATAAGATCTAATTAGAAATTATAGATCTAAATATATAATCGTCTTAAAGTAATACGTAAAGACGAAAAGCTAAAAAGTAAATAGATATTATAAAATATTTATAGAAAAATAGAAGTTAAGAACGCGACGCTAAGCGAATTATAACGATAGACTTCTTCTACTAAGCTTTAAAGTTACTTAGTAGGTAGTTAGACCGTAAGGGTTTATCTTAAAGAGATAAGAGAAAGAAGATAATAATTAGATAAGAGAGTATTACGTAATTATACGATATATAGTAAGCCGGTTATCTCTAACTAAAGAGTCTTAATTAGAACTTTAAGTTAACTATAAAGAGTTAAATATCTAGCTAACGAGTATGTCTATATACTATAAAAAAGCTAGTTATAATCTAGTATTTATAAGTTTAGCTTACTAAGACTTTAAACTACTAAACTTAAAAGTTTAGTAGGTTTAGAGCGCTAAGACTCTAAACTTCTAAATCTATAGGGCGTACGTAACTCGGGCGCTTAGAGTATTATTTTAATATTCGTCTTACTAAGTAATCGTAATATCGTACTATATCTTACTCGTTTCTCTCGTCTATCTATCTTTCGACTTTCTATCTTTATATATTACTTTAGGGCGATTATACGTCTAGACCTACGGTCTCTAATTAGATCTTATAGCTCTTTATCCCGTAGAGAATTCTCTAGTCCGTATTTTTTTTCTAAGTTATCGCGCTCTTAAGAGCGGTTTTCTCGTACGGGCCGTAGCTACTATTTACTAGTATTTTCGTACGCGCTATTCTCTCGTATTCTCTAGATTCTTATACGAAATCTAAAACTATACGGCTCTTACGTTCGCGAGGCTCTCTAGCCCTTACGATATCTTTTTTCGTACGGGCTTTCTATTCTTAGAGTTATAAAGTCTGTATTTTCTAGAGTTCGTAATACTACTTCTTCTCTTAGAGATCTTCGGCCTAAAGATTATTTCGAGCTACTATAATAAATATCGTAGTTATTTCTTATTTCTTCGTTCTTTTTTTTCTCTATAAGTACTTTATTATATCTAATTAAAAGCGTACTTAAGACGAATCGATCTATCGCGCTAGTCTTACTACGGCTTTAAATTTCTTTACGTCTATTACTCGTTCTTATTTTAATTATTTCTCTAACGAGCGTTTTTATAGAATTAATTCTCGCGCGTCTCGTTGTAACGAGTACGTTACGCGTGGGTTAAGTATATATAACGCTTAGCGGGTTTCTATTTCTACTAGTAGGTTCTCTTTTTCTTAGGTTTTTCTTCGCTAACTTTCTACGTAGTATCTCGTCTTCGCCGTTAATAGAAGAGAATTTATTTCGAGAAGAAAGTCGCGTATTAAGAGTTTTAAGCGGCTTCTAAGGCCTTAGAGAAGCTTTAGTCTTAGATACGAACGTCTTCTATTAAGCTGGTTCGGTTACGTAAGTAGTAGAAATTACTTAAGAATCGAGGTTTCTTAATTCTAGACGGCGAGCTATTCTTAAAGAATGTATAAGTCTTAGAGGCGGAGGATTAGAAGCGCTTAGAGCTATTAGCTTTAGGGGGTCTTATTAACTCTAAAAGTGCTAAGAAGGGGTTGGTTAGGGTTAGGGTTAGGGTTAGGGTTAGGGTTAGGGTTAGGGTTAGGGTTAGG